CGATATCTAAAACGGGGAACCGAGGTGTCGGGCCAAGGAGGGTGGAGTTGGAGGCCAGAAAATGAATGGGGAAGACAAATGGATAAAGGGGGTTAGCCGACTGAATAGTAGTAAGAAGGTAGTCATGCTAAGAATGGGAGATGACTAATAAGTGATAATGTGAGGGAGATCACCGAAGGATGCAGGTAGCTCCGAAAGCGGAGTTGCGTATCCGAAGGATGTTGGGTGACTCAAATAAATGAAATGGGTGGAGGAAGGGTTTAAGGGCATGTCACGGGATGTCGGAGGTCCGTCAGGATATCGGAGCAAATCTGGGATCTCCGAATGTTCCAACTCGGGACCGAGGTTCCGGGATGGGAGTGGCCAAGGTTCAGTGTGCCGCAACCAGACCGGAGCTGAGACAGTCAGGAGGGAAGGTGACTTGGAGAGTGGGGAGGCAAGGTGTAGGGGATGGTGAAGTTGTTAGGAAGGTGTGATGTGGTGGGAGTGCGTGGGGTCGGGATTCCGGGATATGACAACAACGAGGGGCTGACCCTCCTCCAACCAGCCTGGTTCGAGGCCCGTGTGACAGAAGCAGTCTCAGTGGAAGGTGAGGAGGCAGATATCCTAGGGAGGATACGAGGAGCGAAGGATCATGACGAGCGGGTGGTGAAGGCCATGAGAGAACTGGGAGAAGGGACGTTAAGGTCTATTGTATCTCAGCAGGATACCTCAGTCTGAGTAGCAGTTTAGTGTTATTACAGTAGTAAGAACAGTAAAGAGCGACTTGGCAGTCACATGACACTATATGGAGCACAGATTGAATAGAAATGAAGAGAACTAACTACAACAAGGTCGGACAAGTGGGAGAGACAGGGAGAGTTGGTCCTCTACTGAGGCAGGGTGTACGTTCCAAAAGACCCACAACTCTGCCACAATCTGGTACAGCTACACCACGATGCGCGGGTGACAGGACATCCAGGGCGATGGAAAACCCTGGAGCTCATCTCCTGCGACTACTGGTGGCCTCAGATGGCAGAATATGTCAGGCGATACGTACATGGATGCGACACCTGTAACCATGTCAAATCCTTCCCTGCACGGAAGGTCAGGAAGCTCACCCCAAATAAAGTCCCTACCCACCATTGGCAGGTAATCTCGGTAGACATGGTGGGAGAGCTCCCAGAGTCGAAAGGTTATAATGCCATCCTAGTTGTAGTGGACCGTCTGTCCAAACACATCCATGTGATCCCCACCGTGACATCTGTAGACTTGGCTGGTATCACCTGGCTTTTCCTGGAGCACGTCTGGAAGCACCACGGGCTCCTGGAAGAGATCCTCAGCGACAGAGGGAGCACCTTCGTCTCGTGCTTCTCGAAAGAACTTGCAGATCTCCTGGGGGTCAAGCTAACCCCTTCAATGCCCTATCACCCCCAGACTGATGGACAGACAGAGCAGGTTAACCAGGAAATCGAAGCCTATCTCCGGGTGTTCATCAACCACCGCCAGGACGACTGGGCAGACTGGCTCCCACTGGCAGAATTTGCCTACAACAACCACGTCCACTCGTCCACCCGTCGAACCCCCTTCGAGCTTGACACCAGGCAGCATCCCAGGATGGGGATGGAGCCCACACATATGTCCGAGGTAGAAGCTGCCGACGCCTTCTTGTCCAGGATGATGAAGATGCAGGAAGAGGCAAAGGCAGCCCTGGAGCATGCAGTGGATGAGATGGCCTGCTACTACGACTGGGGTCGAGAGACAGCCCCCAAGTACCAGGAAGGCGACCGAGTCTGGCTCAGCACCCAAAACTATATGACTGACCACCCAACCAAGAAGCTAGACCATAAGTGGCTAGGCCCCTTCAAAGTCATCAAAATCATCTCCCCGGCTGCTGTCAAGCTCCAGCTCACCACACAGCAAAAGGGAATACACCCAGTCATATCCGTGATGAACGTAAGACCCTACTGCCTGGACAAGATTGCAGAACGACCCCCCAACCCCTGCCCGGGCCCAGAACTCATAGATGGAGAGGAGGAATATGAAGTAGAGAAAATACTGGACTCTAAGTGGTTATGCCGGAAGCTCTGGTATTTAGTAAAGTTTGCGGGTTGGCCGAACTCAGAGAATGAATGGCTCCCCCGAGACTGTCAGAGACCAGATTCGAGACGAGGGAGAGTCTCCGTGACAGAGGGCTTTGGCCTCAGTGACTTATGCCAAGAGCGCTGTGCCTAGTGACACGTCCGTGCCCTAACTTACTGACTGGCAATCAGAACCGAAGGGGGGTAACTCTAGTTGATTTTATTACTGGAGTGTAACCTATGTACAAGTTGGATATATATATGGTTACAGCGAAGACGGGTCCACAATTGGTGGAGCCGAACAGAGCGGAGCTAACGGGGTTAAACATTAGCTGACTGAATATTACCGACGAGTCAGGTCGCGGGGTTAGCGGAAAGGCAGGCGATAACCCAGAAACGGAAAGGAGGGATAGGCCCGAAGGTGGGCTCTGCAGGGCAGGCGAGTGTATTGCCCAGCGGAGGCGGGAGTGCGCTAGCGGACGTCGGAGCTGTCCGGAAGTCTTCGGGGCTCCGTACTTAGGGAGGTGTAGGTAATAAATTGAAATGAGGGGGTGGTGACCATCGAGGGGTACCAAGAGGATTGCGGAATACGGGAGCTCCGAGGTTAGTGAGGAAGGAGCGGAGTTAGACCGGAGGGATCGGAGGGACCGGAAGTCGATGGCCGGGAATGGATATGACAGAGACCAACTAATCCATGCCCCTGACTGGATGGAGGAGTTCCACCAAACACACCCCCACACCCCAGGAAGGGAGAGAACGAACCCCCTGGCCGCTTTGAAGCAAAGCGGCTTAAGGAGGGGGTGATGTCAGGGCACACCTGCCTGACCCGGCTCCACCTGCCCTGACCCGGTATCCCACTCACCTCTACCCCCCACCCTTCATCACGTTTCCTCAACTCTTGTTCTTCTTTCTATCCTTTTGTTCCTTTATTCCTTAGTTCTTTCTTCTATCTTTATCTACATGGACGACCTTTCCCCATACCTATGTATTATTGACCTGCCCACGATGTGCGCACAACACACCCAGCCCCAGACGACCTGGACGGCCTTGCAGTGCAACCCAGCACACACGCATGCAGCACATGCCCTCAGGATCCCCCACAGGGACACCTGGATGACTGCAGCTGTATGTGGGATGATGTGGCAAACCTCATGTGACCCAAGCCACATGTACATAAAGGTACCTGGGGTGGGAACCGAAGAAGTAACCTTCTTCTCACAGTTCCCACTTCAGGTAAGTAGCATAGCCTCCCCTTTTAATAACAACTCACAGTTCCCACTTCAGTCTGAGTGGCCAGGGACCATCGTCCCGGACCGGGCTCGCCAGTACGCATGCCTGCTCCACACCCCATGACAGCCTCAGTGCTGGCATTACCCCTGGGCTGCCTCGACCCCGGATGCGTCCCTGACAGCGCCTGGATGTGTCACCCAGCACTGAGGGCCCAATAGGGTGTAACACGGGTGCGTGTACTGACAGGCCCGGCACAAAAGGGCGTCCCTGGCCACTTAGACTAAAGTGGGAAGTGTGAGAAGAAGGTTACTTCTCAGTTCCCACTTAGGCTGTGTTTATGTACATGCAGTTGAAGGTCATGTGGGGGGCACCATGTCATCTATGCACACAGCCGCATCCACCTGGGTATCTCTGCAAGAGATCCCAGGAGTGTCCGGTGTGCAGGGCGTCACCCAGTGTGTCCAGGTCCGGGCATGTTGTGCAGCCGGGTTAATGGTACATTGATGCAAGGAAAGTCATCTGTGTAATAGAAAAGGAAAGAAGAAAGAAGAAAGAAAGAAGGAGAGAGGTGGGAGGAGGGAGGAAGGGAGGAAGGAGGGTGGGGGCACTGGGTGAGGGTAGTGGGATCGGGTGGGGCCGGACCAGGTGGAGTGGGGTCAGGTGGGTGTGCCCTGACATTGTCCCCACAACATCGCTGAGGCCAAGGTCCCTCCATGATAAGTCTCCAATTCTGCTCCGGAATTGTCTGTACCAGCACCGTTCTAACAGAACTGTAAGGGGTTGGTGTAGGTGCCAACCCTGGTTAGCCTAGTTCCTCAGGCTGTCAACAAAACTAACTTGTATGAAGTTGTATTTGCAACAGTTGTGGGAGGAAAGGCTAAATTGCTCTTTCCACTTTCCCACACTATTGTATGTACTTTGTATATACATGTTTGTTACAAGACAATTATACAATATGTAAGTGGGAAATAAGGGGTGGGGTTACCACTCCTTACAAGAACACTCCATATTGCACAAACTGATGTGCAGTCCCTGTGTCAGAGACCAGATTTTAAGACGAAGGAATGTCTCCGTAACGGAGGGCTTTGGCCTCAGCGACTTCTGCCAGGAGCGCTGTGCCTAGTGACATGTCCGTGCCCTAACTTACTGACTGGCACTTAGAACCTAGTGGGGGTAACTCTAGTTGATTTATTTGCTGGGGCGTAACCTATGTACAAGTAGTGTATATATATGGTTACAGCGGAGGCGGTTCCGCAATTGGCGGAGCCGGACGGAGCGGAGCTAACGGGGTTAAGACATTAGCCGACTGAATATTACCGACGAGTCGGGTCGCGGGGTTAGCGGAAAGGCAGGCGTTAACCCAGAAACGGAAAGGAGGGATAAGCCCGAAGGTGGACTCTGCAGGGCAGGCGAGTGTATTGCCCAGCGGAGGCGGGAGTGCGCTAGCGGACGTCGGAGCTGTCCGGAAGTCTTCGGGGCTCCGTACTTAGGGAGGCATAGGTAATAAATTGAAATGAGGGGGTGGTGGTCATCGAGGGGCACCGGGAGGTTTGCGGAATACGGGGGCTCCGAGGTTGGTGAGGGGGGAGCGGAGTGAGGACGGAGGGGTCGGAGAACCCGGGAGTCGATGGCCGGGGATGGATATGACACCCTGACACTGACCTGGGTAACTCCTCACTCCTCAGTATGTCAAAATCTAGGTTGTATGGAGCTTATGATTCAACATGGGGTGAGGGTAAAGAATGAAAAACCTTTTACCCAACCCTGAGCCATATACAGTTCTTTTACATTGTATACAACAAAGAATAAAGACAAATAAACATTCATCACTGCTCTACCACCCATCCATCCCTTACACCCATGTTTGAGAGCTTTTGGAAATATAGTTTAAAAACCTTATTGTACCCTGACAGCCATCTCTGCCTGAAAGAAAGACCAGCAGTCATTTGCCCATAACACAACTTCATTTACTGCCCAAGCCCAAGCTTGGTCAACACATAGAACTTCATTTCAAGAAAGCCTGCTCAAGATATCTAAGAACTCCAATGGGCTCAAGATGTCGGTGCTCCCATATGTAACCAACTTCTGGGCACCTTGACCTTTTTTGCCCCAATCCATAAGATTGGTATACTCCACATAGCTTCCACCTCCAACAACAAATACAGTTCCTTCACCAAATGGCATTCGCTTTGTCTTCACCAAGGATGACCGGGGTATTTTGGGATCCAGAAACAAGTAATCATCAGTGGCCTGAAGTGAGGCAGATGATGCTGAGGTTGGCTCCATAATTGCATCTACTATCCTTGTCAAAGGTAGTAGTTTACTGGTGGGGAGAAATGTTTTGACTCCTGATAGGATGCCCTCAAACCCACCCTCTTTCAACCTGTCACTTAGCTGACATAACACATACACAGCATATTCAAACAGCACCGTAAGTTGTACTGACTTTTGTACTAAGGGTGCTAAACCCCTTGAAGAGCTCCCCACCACCTTGAGTGGCACTTGTGACTGCACTCATCGCAAAGCTGGGCAAATGGCTGATCTCACGCATCCTATCATATCTCATAAGTGCCCCAGTACAAGAAATAGAAGACTTCGCACCTTCTGGCATACTGAAGAGGCCTTAGATCAGCCCCCACCTTCCTTAGCTCACCTTCAAGTTCAGCCCATTCATCCTTATTGATCTGCATAGATGATGAGGACAGGAATACTACAAGGAGCAACCGAACTCTATCATGGGGCAGAGGATTTCCATCCACACCCTTCTTTAGTGATCGGAGAAAATCCAGGACAGAATTCGCGCTCTTGAAATTATAAGTATTTCGCCCTTGACAAACATAGTCATATAATCATCACCTGTCTCGCTGCACCCTCTTCGAATTGGTAAAGCTCATCGAGTGCTCGTGACTTGATGATATCAAGGATGCTGGTAGCGATATTCATGTGCGTGTCCAAGACTTGCTTCCGTGCAGTGAGTTCTGGCAACGCAGTAATAGCAACTCTTAAATGGGAGGTAGATGCAGAATAGTCGCTGCAATGACAATCATCAGAATGCAGTCCGTCTGGCGGCATACTTCAACCTACATCGGACCTGGCTCTTCCAAATTGTCGATGCCAGTGACGCGAGTCACTTCTGCCGCATCTTGCTTGTATCTGAATCATCAATCAGAGCAGGAAAAGGGGGTTGAGAAACCATCACACTTATTTAATTCTGAATCTATGTCTTCAGCGACTTGGGGGAAAGGATTGCTCGCATTCTTTGCCCAAAAGAAATCGCTTGAATCCAAGTCATACGTTCGCTTCGATGCAGCGGACCCGGTATCGTTTGACTGGAGCCATAAATCAGAACGGGAGGAGATGGTGAGGCAAATCACATACTGGCACTGAGACTCGATTCAGCCTCATATCCAATACATCATGGACCAAAGCTTGATAGGTCCAAGAATGAGATAACATAGAAGCAAGGTCAACGTCGCGATCAACAATGATAAGAACTGTGAAAATTCAGAGCTGAGAAAGTCATTAAGGGCAATGGTTTCATACAAACCCGGTCTTTCTAGCGGGCTGATCCCAAGAGAGTTGTCGAGGGCCCCGTTTGTTGCACGTTGGAGGCCACCATTGCGAAGACCCATATTGTTAGTTCCGGAAAATAGGTGGTCCCGCAACTTCGCTTCCAATTTGCGTGCAACCATTTCGGCAGCATTACCCCTAGGAGCACGGATGTATGGAACCTGCCCTGCAAATTCGCTTGAATTTGAGTGGTTGTCACCACTAGACGAGGACCAACCTTGTGTAACGGTGACCGCAAACAGCCCTGCAGCAATTCTTTCGATTTCTGTATCATTTTCAGCTTCACCAGTCATCGGCGAATTCAATAGCTCGTAGGTGGAACGAACAAGGGAGTCATGAGAGGACTGATTGCGCGGTCTCACCAGAGAAAAGAGAGAAGGCGAAGGTGAGATAAATTCGACATATTGATCCACTACCTGGAAGTCAAATAAGCGGTTTGCCAACACGGAAAATTCCCCGGTCCTCACAGTTTCGATGAGATCTCCAGTTCCGTCCCTCGCCACAAGAAGGGCGAGTTCCTCGAGGACTACACGAGGGAGAGGCGATGTGAAATTCAGATGGAAACTTTCGTATAAGTGTTGAGAGAGATCCTTTCCAAAGAATGGGGTTATTTCAAGGCACGGTCAGAGGGGCAAGCACCATACTTCGGCTATCCTTCGGACATTCTCGAGTGTAGGAGACACTAGATACACAGCAGGCACATCAGAGAGTTGCGGCCTTGGGTTGTGCAATTGCCTGAGATGGCGGTATTCAGTAGTTTAACAGGAGCGACACATGGTCAGTATCTGACATATGTAGAGTGACGCCAACATCGCGGAGGTCCTGAACCCTCAACACAGTCGCTAAAATATCTTTGGAAACTTCATCAAGAACTAAGACTTTCCAAACTGGTGCAGAGTTGCCCTGTGGTTGAGGGGTGGAAGAACGCGAATTGGCCTGGAATGCGCCAGATTTTGCGCCAGAGAGATCGAATATGCCCAGCAAGGATGTGGTGTGAGCGGCCTGAATTGAAGGCATATCTTCAATTCAGGAGAGAAACAGTACTGACACGTTTAGGAATTCAAAATCAATGTGCCAGCACGTGATGGCAAGCTGAGCCCTTTTTGTTGATGATGGCGCGTTTCCTCTCCGACTTCACCACGCGTGTCAGTGGAATTGAAAGAGGAGACGATGGACTAGAAGCACATGAGCGCATAGTTGCGTCCAACCCCCGATCAGTTCCTCCAACTACACCCCCCCCACACTCCACTTCTCGTTCGAATCATGATGTAGCTCCCTCGAGAGACACATACCATTCTGTTCGCATCCGCCGTCGGTCCTCTCATGAGCTGAACGACAGGCATGTATATCGTGATTTATGCATAGCCCATATACCTGCTCACAAAGGCTTTACTTCCAGATTTATCCCCGAAACATTGTCTCTGGATCCAAGAGCGGCATACAACCGTATATCAGAAAGCATTTCACCTTCTTCCTCGTCGCACAGACTAAGGACTGTGATACCATCTGACTCGGATGCCCAACAAGGTTTGTCCACTGTCTCAGACTGCTTTTGTAATGACCGGAGTTGATGAGAATACCGAAGACCAAGCGAATCACACGTATAAATCCTTGCTGGCCAGCGAGCTATTCCCAGAATCTTCCTTAGAGGAAGCATCCATGTCTTCCTCAGCAAGCACCCCCCCGCAAACCCCAACTAAAAGACGAATATTCAGTTACTCGAGTCCTGGGGCATCTGGCTCGCGCTCTTCAAATCGAAACCGTCCCGGCCTGGACAGTCCCTCCCATGAGGCTTATTCCACCAGTCCTCTGCGGAACACAAGCCAGCGCCTCCTTACAAGTCCTCAGCGGCCTGTGCGAGTGGTGGGGAAGACTCCTTATAAAGTCCTAGATGCTCCAGACCTGGCAGTCCGTACCCCTTATGTTTCGGTTCGCTTGTGTGGGCTGATCCTATGCAGCATAGGATGACTTCTATCTCAATCTAGTTGATTGGTCTAGCACCAATATATTGGGAGTCGGACTAGCATCATGCGTATATCTCTGGTCCGCAGAAACCTCTCAGGTGACTAGGCTACTCGATTTGACAGCAGAGGATGATTCCATCACTGCCCTCAGCTGGGTTCAGCATGTAATTACTTTCCCTGGCACCGAGGCATAGAAGCTGACCCAAGAGCAGGGCTCCACCTTGGCAATTGGCACGAAAAGGGGATTAGTGCACATATGGGACGCGAACACATGTACCAGAATTCGGAGTATATCCGGCCATACACATCGTGTGGGCTCCCTATCGTGGTCGGGGCACACCTTAGCCTCTGGATCTAAAGATCGATCGATCCATCTTCGAGACACACGTACGTGTGATAACTCGTATAGAGAATTTAGTGGGCATAGGTTCGTCCAGCGTTTTTTGCTGAGCTTAGACCGACGCGAAGTAGGCAGGAAGTTTGTGGCTTAAAATACAGTGTCCTACAACCGACGTTTTTGGCAAGCGGAGGGAACGACAATAAACTTTTCGTCTGGGATGAGCGAAAGATTCGCATCTCTTCGGCCAATGCAGTCCCTAGCTTTGGCCCCCAATTCCAAGCCACAGCTGCTCTACATAAATTTCATGAACATACCGCCGCTGTGAAAGCAATTGCTTGGAGTCCGCATGCACTGGGAATTTTGGGAAGTGGTGGGGGCACACAAGATAAAAAGTTGCGATTCTGGAACACCGGAACTGGTTTGAAGATCAGCGAGTTGGACACAGGATCTCAAGTTAGTAACATTCAAATGCTCCAAGCAAATCTTTTCTCAGCTCTCAATGTAGGTGTGTAATTTGACCTGGTCACTCAATTCCAATGAGGTTATCTCAACGCATGGCTTTTCGTCAACACAAACGCAAAACCAAATATGCATTTGGGTGGGTTTCATGCCATCAACTCGAGGTATATGATTGACCTGTGGAATGATAGCGCTATCCATCTCTTGACCAAACTGCGACGTTCTCTGGTCACACACACCGAGTATTGTATCTGGCCATGAGCCCAGATGGGAGAACCATTGTGACAGGGGCCGGGGATGAAACCCTCCGATTCTGGGCCGCACTTCCGGAACGAAAGGATTCAAAACGAGAAAAACGCGCCGAAGATGTCATGGGAAGGATCCGTTGAGGTATCATTATATATTATGTTCAAATTGTATATAGTTGGTTACCAAAAGTGTCACAAATACGAACCAAAGTCAGAGCCTGTATACTACATCTTCACTCAATAAAATATCGTTTCCTTCAGTCATCGTTAACGCGCAAAGTTTTGCTTCTGCTGCACCAAACATCATCGAAGAATGCAAGCTCTCATTGATCACTTGAAGCAATTGACCCATTGGGACTGCGTCATCTTGCGAAAACGTTGTGGAAAACACATCAGCCAGCTTCTGCCGGAAGAGTTGGAGCCTATGAACCACATCTCAGTGCATGGTCGAAGATGAACCCGCATGAACGCACCTTTCAGGTGCCAGCTGACTCCCCTCTCTCCGAGTTTCAATTTCCATCTCAGTCCCCGGGATAGATGACCCAGTAGTGATTGTCTTGCTGGGATTTTCGTCAGGATCTCCCTTCATCCGCTCGGTTTCCAGTTCTGAGCCGCTGTCTGTTTCGCTTTCGATATCTCCATCTTCCACTGCTGTTCCACGGTTGAGTTTCCGGCGTTTGCGCTTGACTGGCTTCAACACTTCTTTAAAGAGAGCGTATTTTAAGATGGACTCTGCCACGCCAGCATCTATCTCATCTATTGTCGAAGATAACCTCGACTTGGCATGAGCCGTAGCGAGACGTATGAGAGTTTCGAGGGTCCTCGCGGTCAGAGGGGATGTCTGGAATATGGAAAACAAACAATAGAGAATTGTCAGATAATGGTGCTGGGATGAATTGCTTACACGTTTGGTGTTCTTGTCAATATCATCGTTCCTAAAGTTCGTATATACTTCTGCTATCCAATCCGCAGCTCCCCGAGTCAACTGGGGCGGAGGTCGTGCTTTCGCATACTGGAGGTATTTCTTGACGAAAGTGATTGTCAGAATCTCTTTGTTACTTTTCCTTCTTGACTTCCTTCTAGACCCCTCAATAATACCCGCGTGGAGCAAAGGATTATACCGCTCAAACGGACTCTGTGTGGGCAGAGATGAGAAATCAGCCGACGGAGCTTCCACCGCAAGCCACTGCAGACGCGAGTCAGATAAGGGAGCCCCTTCTTCAGCACCTGGGGGAAGGTAGCGATGCATACGCAATATATGATCGGCAATATTGCGGTCCCGTATCTCGTCTACATCATCTGTGACAACAAATAGCAGGTCGAAGCGTGACAAAAGTGAATCCGGCAGTGCGATATTGCGATGTGGATCCTTGTGAACGTCATACTAGGCACCAAAATCATGATAGCCCGAAGGTAAGGTGGCTGCGCAGAATCAGAGCTGCGGATACCTACTTGGCCATAAGTGGGATTGGCAGCCGCTATGACGCTGCATCGAGCATTCAAACTTGTATGAATCCCAGCTTTCGCAATGGTTACTGTTTGCTGTTCCATAACCTCATGCATAGCAGTACGATCGATGTCCGACATCTTATCGAACTCGTCGATGCAGACTACGCCCTTATCTGCCAATACCATTGCGCCTGCCTCTAATCTCCTTTCTCCCGTTTCCTTATCTGATGTCACGGCGGCGGTGAGACCCACTCCACTCGAGCCCCTACCCGTCGTTGCAATGGCAAGAGGGGCAGTGTTAAGAACAAATCGTAGCATTTGAGACTTTGCCGTAGATGGATCCCCAATCATGAGAATATTGATGTCTCCACGAATATGTGTTCCATTTGGCAGGTTCTTCTCTGTACCGCCCAGCAGAAGAAGCAACACAGCCTTTTTGATGTATTCATGCCCAAATATAGAAGGGGCCAGCGAGTCTGAAAGAAGAGTAAAAATATCAGGGCGCTTGGACAATTTGTTGATATAACGGATATCAGTGTCCGACAGAGATGCTTGGGCCAGTGACGTTCCAGATTTGGATGCAAGGAGGACAGCGTAATTCGCAACTAATATCGCCCTATAGGTCAATTAGTGGGCAGCAAGCGTGAAAAAGTTAAATAAGGCAAACTTAAAACCACCACCCCCACCTCCCATGCTTCGATATACCCCCACCAACTGCACTCTATCGCCTGGTTTGCAGGTATCAACCAAATCATCATCCATGATAACATCGATACTTCGCGGCAACAAGCCCGCAGGGGCACACTCGGGCATCTCCTGAATGCTAATCCTCTGATGATCCCTGAAGGTGCTGAGCCCAAACTCCATCTGCAAGTGATTCCCATCGTCATCGGTATGGGGGATGACGGAAGACGTTGGAGCGTGAGTGGACACACTCATCCCATCATGATACTCTTTTGCATGGAAAAAGGAGGTGTCTGAACAGTAATGAACTGATCTTAGCATTTTGGGTCGGACCAAAGAGCCTGAAAACATTTGCATGAGAGAGAAACCAGAGTGGTAGGGCGGCAGACATACAACGAGTGACGATGCCCTCCACACTAATCATCTTCCCCAGATGAGTTGCCCGCAGAGTACGTGGAGTGAGATGATGATCTCCGAAACTCCCATTGAACCCAAGCTTGTAGTCCTTTCCATCAATATTGTGCTTATCGGGGTCATGCTTTAGATGGACGCTTTCCCTGAGAGCCAGTTCACAGGCGGGGATGAACTCGTTCGGGCGCTTCAATAGTCTAACAGGAAAAAAAAACTCCAAAACACATCAGAGAGCGAAGAATCGTCCTTACCCTTCTGCCAACTGCTGCGAGGTGGCACTGTGCTCTCTGAGGTCATCTAGATTGACTATCAACCGCGTTCGATCGATGGCCAGCATCTTCTGAATGGCGTTGTCATAGTTGAAAGTCGCATGCCTAGTCTCAATCAAAAATTGAGAGAAAAGGACACCTGCAGCAAGTGTCGCTCATTAATTCCCCATGCCGCTGAATTGTTGGCTGACACGCACTGCGCTGCTGTTCGAGATCGTCTGGGACGATTTGTGCCATGGTTATGGCTTCCAGTGGTCGCGCGGTCGTTACACAAAAGTGGAGGTGGCAGAGCAACTGATGTCCCCCGGATTCAAAATCGTCACTTTGACCAAGTCGCTCCGTTGTGTACCCTCGTTTAGATTGCGCATCAAGTGCATATGAGTGGTACCCAAGTGATCTCTTCATCTATGCCTTCACACCAGCTGAACAATTCAGGGAATTTCAACATCGTCGGAGTCCACTACCGCGTCGGTAAAAAGATCGGAGAAGGAAGCTTTGGTGTAATTTTCGAGGGTATGCTCCAATTTTAATATTGGCTCCGTAAAGCACAAATAGCTTATACCTTCTCTCAAGGCACGAATCTTCTGAATTCGCAAACTGTCGCTATTAAATTTGTGCGTCAAGACAACAACACCAACAATAGAAGGAGTGATTCGACGTACGTTTGCTAAACAGGAACCACGGAAGTCTGACGCGCCTCAACTTCGGGATGAGTACCGGTCCTATCGTATCCTGTCAGGCTGCGGTAAGAGGACCGGTGTCAGAGATTGAGGCTATCTGACCCCTGAGATCACAGTCGGCATCCCTCAAATTTACCATTTTGGTCAAGAGGGTCTGCACAATATTCTTGTAATCGATTTGCTGGGACCAAGTTTAGAGGATTTATTCGACATGTGTGGACGGAAGTTCGCCATCAAGACCGTCGTAATGACGGCAAAACAGATGCTAACCCGAGTACAAATCATCCACGAAAAGAATCTTATTTATCGTGATATAAAGCCAGACAATTTTTTAATCGGACGGTTTGGAACAAAAGCCGCTGATATTATTCACGTTGTCGACTTCGGTTGGTCTCACAGCGCCTTTTCCAACCCCCGGGGGCTCACTCATTCGTACATTCGGTTAGGAATGGCAAAGCAATACCGAGACCCCAAGACGAAACAGCACATTCCTTACCGCGAGCGGAAGAGTCTGAGTGGCACCGCTCGCTATATGAGTATAAATACACATCTAGGCAGAGGCATGTGGATCTCTTCTTGCTGCATCGTCGTGCCCGGCTAAGTATTTCTAATATCAGAACAGTCGCGGCGGGATGATTTAGAAGCACTTGGCCATGTCTTTATGTCAGAGATGACTTTATCTTCAATGTCACCGTCCTCTGATTGCCAATATATTAGGTACTTCCTCCGAGGTGGCTTGCCTTGGCAGGGACTAAAAGCAGCAAATAACAAGCAAAAATACGAGAAAATTGGGGAAAAGAAGCAGTGCACTCCCATCTCAGAACTTTGCGAGGGGTTCCCAGGTTGAGTCCATGATGATTTCTTGATGTATCGTGTCTGATCATCAAGTGCAGAGGAGTTCGCTATTTACCTGAACTATGTTCGCAAACTAGGATTTGAAGAAACTCCGGATTACGATTTCCTGCGCGAGCTTTTCACGAAGGCCCTAAAGAATATCGGTGAAGTCGAGGATGATGTATATGACTGGCATCTCCTGCATAGCGGAAAGGGATGGGAGGCTAATTCAGTGTGCCATGGCCCTTTCTTGATCCCTACCTCGCTGATTAATGTATTTTAGTCTGGCACACATCTTCTTGCGCATGCCAATCAAACCAGTGCCCCTCAAGGACCGGGGGTAAAGGTAGTCCATCGAACCACAAGGCGGCAATTATCAAATCCTGGTTCACCGGCGTCACCAGCTCTTGGGAATGAACCCTCCAAGCAACGTAGAATACCCGATGTTTTGTTGCCTCGCATGAGCGGTGCAGGGTCGGCAACTCCTTCATCAGCCGCTGCAAACGTCGGTGTGCTAGTCCACACCCCTAGCCCCCAGCGTGTCAGCAATGTCACCGCATTGCAACGGCAATCTCAGCACCCTTACGCCAATTCCATCGGCATGGCTGGGGATAGCTTGAGGGGCTACTACAACGGTAACGAGTCAACACCCTCAAACTTTGATGGGTCCCCGATCAATGCGAATGCATTACCTAGAGGAAACGGGAGACCCGTACAAGATGATGTGCCAAGGCGTAGTTTCTTTGCATCTTTGTGTCACTGTGGATAGTATCATCGGGTCTTGCTTGGTCTGCTAACTTTATGACAAAAGGGACTTTCTGCGCCATTCAGCATCAGTTCTGATACCGTAACAAATACCCAGCATCCATAACCTCAGTATGTGACTACATGTCAACGCTCATTTTAGCATCGATCTATATTCAGTTTAAGTACCCCGTGTACAAAATAGCCCCAGAATAGGATGAACTCGAAATCATTATCTGTTCCCCCCGGATCAGCAGTTGCAGTGGTCCAACTAAAGGGATATTAAGCAGGCAGCATAGTCCGGTGTTCTGGGGGCTCATTTTCCATTTTATGTCTTGTATCAGTTTCGGGGCTGCCAGTCATGCTCTCGCGGGCGCCAGTGGTCTCGGTGGCAATCTGGATGTCACGAAGTAAATCCTGCAATTCAGCATCTGCGTTATCTGACACCGCCTCGCCGGCACCAAGGGTGTCATTCCCAACTGTAATTGAGTCATCGATGTCCGCTTGTGTGTCCAGAGCCTCTGATAATAGAGACATGGTGTGTTCGATATTTTCAAGTTGGAGGGTTGGGTGTTGCACCAGGGCTTTCAATGTTTTTGCCGACACGTCGTACGTGCGCATTATCTGGCGAATGTCATAATCCAGTAATGCAAAAGGGAGACTGATTGGATGATATTACCTCTATATTGCCAGCCGCCTTCTCTATGTTCAAGAGAATGGATTGAATTCTTTCCATAGACTTGATTCGGTCATCGAGCATGTCACTAATTTCATGCTTGAATCGAAGGAGAGAGCGTGCCCTTAATTTCTGCCCCACTATCAAATATTTCTTGGCATTGATGTTGCATCTATGTGGTATCTACCCTAGCGGTCATCGGGAACATGGCAGGCAAACACTCACTCGACCATTTTGCTTTGAAGGTCTTGAACCTGGCACTCTAGCACGTCCATGACCTTTTTCAACTTCACCAAACTTACGTCGACTTCAGTCACCGAACGTTGGCGATCAAGTCCGTCAGTGGTGAATTTGATGACCTGGCGGATTAAGCGGATAGTCATCGTAAGGGCTAAAGAGTTATGACTAACAAGTTCACCTCTTTGTCTATCACAATACGCTGTAAGTCTCTTTCCAAGTATCGAACAAGGACCGATGCATCAAGTTCGGCCAATATTACGGCCGGGTCATTCAGCACTACCGGTCCAAAATGAGTGCGGAACGAATCGATGTCGAACAACGACTCAAGGAATAGAGACCGCTCGGTACCCCCGATATGTCGGACAATTTTCTGCGCAAGCTCCTACCAAGGAACATAACGTATATTTTTAAAGGACTGACTGCTGACATTACCTCCACAATGGATTTGAAAACATATGTCCCCCGGACACTATTCCAACGGGATAGATAAGACTGCGATGCGTCAAGAGCACGGACAAGGCCTCGACGCCCTAGAGCCCAGTCGATAGGTCGGGTAACGAGATACGACATGGCACTCGAGGCAAGGCTTTGTGTAGACGAACTGGAGTCGCCCATGAAGAGTGTTAAATGTTGCAGCTCGCCAGAATGGACAAGCTGCGCCTGGTTATAACGATTTCAAGATAATTCTTTCCGTTGAGCTGCAATAATCTCACTATGACGCTTGGGATAGAAAGTGGGGTTCCGAGCGGGCCCCAGCGGAGGGTTTCCAGCAAACGGTCATCGACGTGAAGGACAAGATGATCTCCTCCAGGAAGCAATCCCTGCTTCGCCGCGCCCTCGAGCAGACCCTTCCACCATCCAACGTTGGCAATAAAACCCATAGGATTGGAATCCCTCCTTGTGACAATGTCAGAATACAGAGATTGTAAACGAGATCGAGCGGTAGTGTTCGAGGAGAATTCCGTAATGGTGGACAAGTAACCCGAGATGCTCTTCTCGCCCATGATCCTGGGGTCGGAAAGCCCGAAGCTGTAGCCTGCTACAAGTCGATGATATATTAGATTATGTGTGGATCCAGAGGAGAACCAATTTCCACTGCTGTCGATCAGCAGCCATCCTTTCCGCACAGCAATACTCACATGATTTACAAGTTATAAAGTAAATCTACTTAAACATATGTCAAGCGCCGTACGGTACCCCCAAACAAGATGGTACCTAAACAATTATCAGACTAATGGATGGATGGATGGATGGATGTATTCATTTTAAAGTACGTAACCGTGCCTATCGGCATATGCCGTACTATAGTGACTCGGGTGAAAAAAGTTTGGAGAACATAAGGATGTGAAGAAAGGAATTTGTGTGACCTAGGAAGTATGAGACATCGAGTAATCAATGGTGTGAAGGAGAATAAAGTGAGATGAAGCAATAACACATAAAGGGGCATGCAACCCCTGCACTGAGATTGAACAACGGGTGAGGGAGAATGGAGGTGGGAGAGGTTGTATAGAGCCAAAGAAAAGGACACGCGACCCCCAGTGTTGGGGTCGCATGTTTTGCTGCTGTGTGCCTATGGTTAAGTCAATGGTTGAGTGCGCGGTTCTTGCGGGTGGGTGAGTTGGAGGGTGCTTTCACGGGTTTATGTCACGGTAGGCTGGTGAATGTTCCAGTGGCAGCGAAAGGCGATGGGTGTTGGTGGCATCTTGCTCATGCTTGTTGAATAAAGGCATGTGGCAGATAGGCCTTTGGTAGAAAGGGTAGTGGAGAGAAATGAAAGTGTTGGGGTGACGGCAGGACTTGAACCTGCATTCCTTGCAGTCAACTTTTTGTCGGCATATGGGGCTATCGTTGGCGCTACCACTATCGCGCCTCGTCACTAAGAGGTAGTGGAGAGAAAGATGAATCGGAAGGGTGTTGGGGTGATGGCAGGACTTGAACCTGCACTCCTCCGGCCTGCCCATGGACTTATGGAGGCTACCATTGGCGCTACCACTATTGCACCTCACCAACCCAAAAGGTAGTGGAGAAGAGAAAAAGAAGGAAGGGTTGGGGTGACGGTGGGACTTGAACCCACAGTCCTCTGGCCAGTCCCGTCTGGGCTTACGGAGGTCACCATTGGCGTTGCCACTATCGCGCTCGTCATCCCAAAAAGGTAGTGGTGAGAAGAAAAAGGAAGGGTTGGCTTGACGGCGGGACATGCACCCGCGCTCTTGCATCTCTCCAGCCAGTGCGGCTCTGGGCTTACGGGGTTGCGGTTGATTGGCATTACCACGTCATCCTCCCTTCAGATGTTAGAGGCCTAATTAGTTTTAAACAGGGGCACCGCGTGAAGGTTTAGGCCCGTGCCGGGTGTTCGCTGTGGTATTATCAGACTAAGTAGTGTCGACTATACGAAGGTTGAGGTCATGTGACACGGACTCGGCGCCTCATTGCTTCCACACTTGAGACACTTGCATACTTCTGTCTTCCTTGCTCTCGTTCTGTTCTTCGGCGCTTCGTTGCTGAAGCCGCCTCCTCCCTTCTGCGCTGACTTTTTAGCCTGCCCAGAGAACTGTCAATGGTATGGAAGATGCCAATGGACATCGGTATATGACCGAAAATCACACCCTCTCTCCATCACAAACACATTTCCCCACAACTCACCAACACCCGCAATCCCGCCATCTTCATTCTCTTTCAAATGATTCGATCTCTACCACCTTCAGTAATCACGACTCCTTGCATTCCGTCCTGGATTTTGAGGACGCGGCAGTATCCCCCATGACACAAAGAAATCCGCAAAACCATTTCCTTGTCCCTGGGGTCACATCTTCAAACAACAGCGCTGATCAAAGTGGTGAACATTTCAGTACTGGTCTTTCAACCCTCTCAACGTCTTCAGCACATTCTGTGCCAAGCACGGGATATGTGACACCTTTGGTCAATGCAGAAGCACAACTCAATTTTGACTCGGATGTTGCGTCGGACAATGGTACGACGCTGGAAATGATCACTTTGAGCGTTCTCGAAGGGTAAGTAATAGCTTCGTTGACTCTGAGATACGTTACGGAAAGGTCCTCCAGTATTGAGCATGCTATCACGCAAGCAAGGGATGCCATCAGGCGTGGTGATGTAGCTGAGTTTAACTCACGTGCTCAGAGCGTTGTCACTTCAGCAGATCTCATTCGAGGCATTGGTTCAAACCATGCCCAGAGCCGGCCTGAGCACCAGTCAGTGATGCTGTCTCGGTGGCGCCATGGTTCGCAAATATTCTCTCAGTCTGATTCGGCCATGGTGAATTCGGTTCTCAACGAATGTATGTCCTCTGCTTCGCCCGAATCTGGCGTTGGATCTCCCTCACAGAATGCAGTCGATGGGTTTGGGGGAGACTCGCAACAGGCCCAAGCATTCCAGTACGGCTTGTCCTTGCTGGACATTACGGATCCATCGCGAAAGCGTACAATCTCCACAGCAACGGCCAGAGCGTCAGAAAACGATCGGGCGCCAAAGAGTCAGAGGCGTTCCCCGTCTAAAGGAGATCACGCGTTATCCCGAAAATCGTCTCAGATTTCGGCTGAACTCGCTAGTCCTACAAAGACATCTCATACGTCACAAATCAGAGCCGCCTCCGCCGGATCGCATACATATGACACCCCTCACGTTGCCCAGCGTCCCTGGCCAGACACTTCGTTTAGCCCCAGCGTCGGACCTGCTGATGCTCCGACTGAAAGTGTCGTCACCATTCCAATTTCGTATACTTTCAGCCATGTACTGCCGCGTTCACACCCATCCATCCACCTACCTTCACCACTCAGCTCTCAACATGGAGTCCGCCCATCAAGGTCATCATCTTATTCGAGCACCCACCCGTCACACAGTTCGCTCGCATTCGACCCCAACATCGTTGGGGAGTCCAGTCAGTCTTCCGCACCATATTCGCGCGCTCCGTCCCCAGACAGCTATCTATCGGAGTCGGAGTTGGAAGCTGAGCCCGAACCATTAAAAAGTAGGAGAAACAGTCATGGCACGCACATTGATTCGAACCCTCGGCCAGGTCGTCGGACCATTCCTGGTGGAGAAGTAATCAACACCTCGAACTTCGTTCCACATGATCTCAAATCGAAGATGGACGTTGTTTTCGATAGATACTTGCAAAGAATCTGCTCAAATTGTTTGTGCTACCCCACCACTCTCCGGAGGATAACTGATGAGACAACCTTTGTGTCAAGTGGAAGCCACTGATGTAAAAGGAGAACCCATCCATCAAACACTGATGGCCAAGAAGATGGCAAAAATGGACGAATCCTTGGACTTTCGTCCTTTTAAGTTTCGCATAGCAGCGTTTACTAATGGGTTTATGGAGGAGGTACGTGATTATGCAACTCCAATTGTGCAGAAAACTAACTGATGTTCCGCAAAGCTTTCCCAGCACCATTTGGGTGAAGATGTGGTCCCACAGAAAAAAGTCCGTGTCAAAATGGAAGTCAATTCGGCGATCTCCTAATGTCTGTTCAGGTAAAAGCGTATTTATGGCATCAACAGCCCATCATTTCTCGATTCAACGAAGATGGGAAAAAATCTAAGTCTAAAGGCAATCATGTGTGGCATATCTTTGCAAAAAGAGAACCTGAAACTGCGGGTTGGACATTCCGGCCCTTTGAAAGGAAGATACTTGGGAATCCGACCCCAATTGCATATGTCGGGTTGAGATGGTCGTGGCAACCGCGTATTTGGGACCCCCAAATGTCCCGTCAGAGTATTCATGTTACCTGGGGCTCCCCATCCCTTCCTGGTTGGCTATCATGGGAAAATGATACTCTTGTTGGAACACCTTCTGCTTCGGATGCTAATGACGTTGACATCGTTGTCGAAGCTGGAGTATGTCTCTCTTTTTACAACGTTCACTTAAACTTAATTTCCACCTGTACTAGTTTCCTCAGGAAGATCGCCCCTCCATACGAACAACTTTCCACGTGCAGGTTGTTATGTTCACGATATCAGACCAAATGATGCCTAAATCCCGAGCTCAACCTTCTGTCGGTGGAAATATCACCCAGGCGCGGCACGCTGTTAATCAAACGTTTGTCCCGCCCCATCATACCGTAGAGTGTGTTGCACTTGCAAGCCCCATTATACGCAGACTAATCGCTACATTGATTCTCCTCCCTCAGTTCATCTACTCCGCGACCAGCCTCGAGGGATACCTCGGATTTCATTGGAGTTGCTACTGAAGCACCACGTCAGGTTGCTCCAACTCAGCCCGATGTTCCATGTTCACAGGACTACGACGACACCGCGAATCGTCCACGGCCACTCTCACTAGCTCAGCACCAAGTCCTGGCAGACACTCTGACTCCCGCAGTTTTGGGTGCGAACATGCCGATTGTCCCGCCAGTCACTAACGATCTAGTGAAGGTAGCTCAGGAACTCGTAGAGTTGGCGAGGAGCACATTGGTTGCGAGGGCAGACACACAAATGTCACCTGATGACCCCGCATTTCACGACGCAACCACTTTGCCTGAGGGATTCAAACCTGGTGCGGTGCATGCTGTCAACTGCGGAGACTCAGTATCTAGTGAAGTCGCTGTGATCTTGGCTACACAAGCGCTGGCACGAGAGCCGACTCAATCTGGTTACCACCACGAAGAAAGCGGAAATTTGGTTAACAGGTATCATTCCAACATAGACGAATGCCAACTTCCCTCGGATCTTGTTGACCCATTCCCTTCGGATGTTGAACGACTCACCACACCTATTCTCATTCATCCGTCTTAGCTATGTTACCCGCGGTTTCGAGCTTCAACCAGAAACAACATTCAGCACCATAAACGACGTGTCGAACATCTTGTATCCTCTACTGTATGCTAGACTTTGCCATTATCCTGAATACCAATTTTGATAGGACTAGTGTATGGCGGCTGAAATGTCTTCGTTTAATTGTTCAAACCTGGGGTTGGCGTCCTCGGTATTGTTCTCGTTGGCGCGATCAATATCTCCTCCCACGTCTTCCTCCTCGCCATCTTCATGCCCTGAACCGAAGAGATATTCGTCAGCTCCGGATGGGGATTCCCTCCGATCTTACGCATATCTCACCAACTACTCGGCTTCGTTCACTTATCTTCACTCGTTGAGCGATCCTGCTGTCCAGATCTTCTCTTAACTTCTTGAGTGCGTCCTCAAACCGTCGCTAGATATCGGAGGTGGATTAGGAAGGCTAGAGAGAGGTCGAAATAACGTACCTTGATGAGAACATTCTGAACACTTGCAATATCGTGAACTTTCTTTTCTATCGCCACCTCCAAATCTTTAATCTCTTCATTGAGAAGCTTCCGTGCCTGAATAGTATCCTCGTCCTCGTCCTCATCCTCGTCCTCATCCTCGTCTTCTCCCGAATCACTTCCCCGATCAAGATTATGCTCCTCGCCATCCTCATCTTCACCATCAGAGAAGCCTGCCACCACACCATCGTTTCGATCGGCATCCATCTGGTCGATTTCTGCCGCAAACGCAGCATCGAATCCATCATCCTCATCCTCATCCTCATCTTCCCCGACTTCATCTGTGTCGTCATCTTCGCCTGGAGGCACGGTGTCTTGTTCAGTATCAACGTCAAGCCCTTCTTGGTCGATTCCTGAAGCTGTTTGATCAAAAAGATGCTCGTTATCGAACTCGGAGTCAGACAGATCAGGATTAACATGCTCCAACAGTTCTAGATGCATCTAGCTGAGAAATGATGCCCATACTATCGTCTTGGGTGTCTCACCATAGTTTGTCTCTTCCGCAGCATCGTCCTCAGCAAGCAGCCTCTCCACCTCATGCTCGACAATTTCAATTGTCTGAAACCCACCACATTAGTCCGGATTCAAAATTGACATGAATGCTGAACGCACCGCTCTGTTTATGCGTTTACGAAACCTCCTCCTCCTTACATGACGCAACGGGGGAGTCAGCCCGTGAGGCCAAATGAAGTCTTTTACGTCAAAATTCTGAGAGCCGAGCTGCTCAATGGGACGGTCTGCTGAAGTCATAGCTGCCGCAGGCTTTTCTACAACTAACATTTGGCAGATGTCAGCTATCTTGAACATCTGTCGATTATCAAGTGTTTTCTGAGCTTCAATGATCGAGGGCAAGTCAACTAATTTGGCGGTGTAAGAGTTATCGCCCATGTGAAACACGCCCCGTCGCGAATCTAGTTAAAAGGGTCATCAACTGCACGCGCGACATTTAGTTCGGTAATAAAACGAACTACCTGTAAACTTAAACCATACATCCTCCTTGACATCCCGAGCGGCAACCATTTGCCTTAACTGGTCTGCGTCCTCATTCTCTGGCATCCTAAGTATGAACTGCTCCTCAAATGCTAAATCCTCTTCATCACTATCAAGTTCTCTATCCCAGGGTCCGAGGAAAGAAGTGTTATGGCTAGAGGATCGTTCACCGAGCCTTAGTTTAAGCCTTGGGGCCCCTCTGACCCCGAGGTCACCCTTCTTCATCTTGTGGCTAGACTTCAAGTGCTTACGCGAAGGGGCACTAGGAGAAATAGACCTTCGACGAAGTTGGGCGTACGTCATTATTTGAGGACGGATGCGGGCAGATCTTCGGATAGGGGCGGGTGGCACAGAGGTGTTTCCAGTCTGTCCTCCCGCCGGTTGCGTGGGTTGGGGGGAAACCATAGGCGAAGTATCTACTATATCAACAAACTCATCCTCCATGTGATAATAATTGGCGAGGATATGTGCAGTGAGAAAGTGCCCTCCTTTAGAGACCCGGCATACAGCACTGCTATGGAACTTGTAAAAGATCACAGTTCGCCTTCCACAGGAGCGCAGTTAAATGGGGTGATAGTGGCAGTGCAAACTGCCGACTGCGCAACATTGAACCCAACATCAGAGAGCAAACGGGCCTGCATAGCTATTAACATGGGGAGACTCGCCGAAATGCAACGTAAGCTCCTTGAGGTTTGTCAACACCAATTCAATGATGGTTGTCTTTTCCAACCCATACCTTAGCAAATGATGGGCCCAGAAACAATGGGTTTACAAGACGCCAACCTCAATTGGTGGGACGAGAAAGTATGCAAAAATTTTCTGTGTGGTACATGCCCGCACTCCCTCTTCACAAACACCGTGGGTCAACCCATTGCTTGGCTTTGCGTGTGAGCTGAGAGTGGTTGCAGAAAATGGATCTCGGCCCTTGCCCTAAGTCGCACGCTGACAAGTATAAGTTGCAGTACAATGAAGAGAAGCAAGCAAATTCGGGCAGCAAAAAAATTGCAGAGATACAACGTGAATACGAAAACAACATCTTCCAGTTTGTAGATGAATGCGACAGGCGGATCAGGGCCGCTCATCGAAGATTGGAGAAAACGCCAGAAGAGAATGCGAAGACGACAAATTTGGTAAAGTACCGCCGTCTTGACACAGAGGTCGTTGCCTCACATCAGGTATTACCAGATGCGGGAGATCGGCGAAATCGAACTTGCGATCCAGGGAGGAACAGAAAGGATTGAAAGTTTGGGTAAGTGCTGCTTGCCAACTAGAACCCGTCCCCCATCCCCTAATAGATTTGACACTTGCAACAGGGGAAGCAGGTGAAGTTGAGGAATCCATGAAAGAATTGGCGGCAGTCGAGGCCCTCAAAGTTGAAAAGGCAGAAAAGGAGGTGCGGCGTCTGGTTGTTGTCCGGATATAGCTCATTTTTGCGGTTGCAGCGCGAGCTCCAAAACCTGACAGACACGTCCGGAGCTTCCGGGCACCAGAAATTGCGAGTGTGCGATGTTTGCGGTGCATACTTGTCTGTTCTGGATTCAGACCGTCGGCTTGCGGATCACTTTGGTGGCAAGGTATTGTCCGTTTTCGCCATTGTAACGTTTATTCTGATGATGTTTTGATGATGTTTCTACGAGTTAGATGCACCTTGGCTATCATGAATTGCGAAAGATGCTGGAAGAGTTTAGCAAGAGGAGGCTTGCCGCGCCAGTCACAGCTCGCAATGCATCTATGATGGCACCCCCTGATGCACCTGTTGCACCCCGACCCTCTGAACGAGATCACCGTCCGAGGGAGGACGGCCACCGAGAGCGGGAGCACAATCACTCAAACCGGAATGGTTATGATCGTGGACACTCAAGGTGCGACTCTCAGTTTTGGGCAGAGCATCTGATGTTGACACGACCTTCAGCAGTTATCGAGATGCCGGCCGACGATCTGACCGAGATCGCTCGAGGTCACCTCGAAGAAGGTACTGAATTAATATTTTTCTGAGGCTACGTTTGTTGTGAGGCTGCCCTCAATGCGTAGATTGAACTTGAACGTAGTCGGTATGAAGCCAAAATCAAACTATTCGAGTATTGGGCACTCAGTACATACAAAAGAATACAGAAGTATCATTTTTACTGAGGGTGCTGCTTAGGCAGCCTCCATCTTTTTTGGGAGACCCCTTGGACATGGCAGCTCCGATGCGGCGGATTGCATGTTTTTTAGTAGCAAATTCACGGAAGTCAGGCATTTTGGGTTCATTCTTGGCTTTCGGCGTGTGCCGATGTGGCTGTGCGCGTCAGTCCGACGCCGTCAGTACCAACAATGGCGGCCCCACGCATTTCCATTGCCGACAACCCCGTTGTTGAGAAATCCAGACCTTCTGCAGAGGACGCCCATCGCTCCAATGGAAAAAAAATTTCTCGTCATCAAAGACGCATTCAGAGAAGAAGCGTGCTTCTCAACTGGATATTTCGGAAATCCTGGGCTATCAGGTAAAGCAATCGAATGATGATTCCGATACGCATCTCACCGTGGCAGATTCAAAGGCTGCTGTTCTTCTTCGTGGGATATGCATGGATGCTGATTCTCCCAACTCAGTGGCTGGATAGGACGACTTGGATTGACGAGAACGCTTTGCAACCAAATTCTGTATATCTGTTCGCTCATTGTAGCATATCTCATACTAATTGCTGAGTGGAGGTGAAAACACATTGGGATTGGGATGATGTCCATTTGGCCGATCGCTACTTGGAAACGATGGAATCTATGAGCTATAACAACGCATCCAAAGCTGAGTAAGTTTGGGTTTGGACAAGGATTCATTGTGACGATACCGACTTAATACTTGTAGGTATGTCCAGTACATAAAATATGAGCTCCAGGAGCTGGGTCTTGCTGCTGCGACTCAAGCCTATGAGATAAAGACGACCCTCGCCGTTGGTACTACTCAAGTTCATGCGATTAGCTCACCTCCCGCCATTCCTTAGACTCGTCGAGGGGTGAATGTCTATGCCTCATTTTCAGCTCCTCGAGCGTCCAGCTTTGAAACCATGGTTTTATGCGCCTCTTGGCTCAGCCTCTCCATGCAACCTGGGTCCCTTGGTTCCCACAATATCAATATGCGTGGCGTGGCAAGCATAATGGCGTTGGCTGGCCATATTCAAAGTGCGTCTTGGGACTGGTTTAGATCCACAAGTTTGCTCTCCTGAGACTCCGCTTCGCTCCAGAATCATCATTCTGGGCCCGAGATGTCGTATTTGTGATTAGTGACGGGTTCCTCGATGGCATGTTGGCATTCCTCGATAGCTACCACGCATCGCGTACGCCTGGTAAGCAGAGTTTTTCTCTCCTAAGCCAATCTTTACAACATTCCCAAGGCATTACTTCGGACCCCCTTGATCTCGTCTCGGGCGGAGTTATTTGGACGGCCCTTTGTGTTGACTATCCTGGGCATTCCTTTAGCGATGTCGGCTTGTACTACGGTGCGACTAGGTGACTTCCGTATCCCCAAGCCGTATACTAAGCTTAGCCCCAGAAGGGACAAATGCCCGCTTACCAAACCAAGATCTTTTGAACAGCGTAGGAGTGATATCAACATACACTGGTGGATCTTCGGTCCTCATTTACGATCACGAAATCCCTCGAACCGAGACCCTTGCCGGAACTATCTCAACGTTCCCTGGACGAACACTCCAAGCAGTGGCTGCTGGCAGCTACTTTGCAATAGCTCGAACAATTATAAGGCATCTCTCTTTTTCCGCCCTTGGCCGCCCCAGTGGGTTACATGGACTCTTTCATCAGTGGGTTTTTCCTTCGTTCTGTTCTATTTGTCAACCAACCAATCCTCAGGTTCCGCATTGATGCTGTGACCATTTTCGCAAAGCCTGCTGATGGGCCTCATGGATTTTATGCGTTAGGAAAGTCAGTATAATCCCCGTTTCCCAATCCTTAGGACTGACCCCCGCGGAAGAATAGTTGAATCTTCCGTGCGAACCATGAACAATTTGCTCGAAAGATTGCATGCTTCTTTCTTCTTCTACTTATTGACTGGTCCAACGACGTTCATTCCGATTGGAAAATACCTTCCGTCCGTGGTTCTCATTGGCATTGGCATGGAACTCAACGGTTTGCATCGCTGGGTGTCTTCAGGATGGAAACACCACCCTGAGCATGGGGCTGTTAACCGATGGACCCGCCAGCAACGGCCAGTAGCTGTTACCTGCTCCATAATAGCCGGCACCCATATTTTTGGATTGCTCTTGTTTCTTGCGATGACCTACATCCCTAGCCAAATTTGGGCGGTACGTACCGTATCTTGGCGCCAACATACCATTTTATTCTACTTGACTGATTTTCCGCCACAAGTCCTTCCCAAAACTATTACTGGTTTCAATGAGTGCCGCAATGAATCTCCCCTCTATCATTGGCATCCTACATGGACCCCCTAGCCACGCAGCTGACAAAGCATCCATTTCGTCAGTTCTCCATGCGTTGACACTATGCATTGCGGGGACCATAAGTTGCATCATCTCGGTCCTCAACTTCAGTTTTGCTGCGTGTCTGGTTGTGCTTCTTGGAATCCCTTTATCAATGATACCACGCATGACGATCAACTCTGCAGGCAGGATTCTTGGAACAATTTTTTTCATGATGCTCATGCCCGTCCCTATACTTCTCTCGACTGGTTTTGTTTGCGAGGCACAAACTATCAAGACCGTGCTACGATTGATATGGGACTGGCAAGTTTTAGAATCATGGTTTCTGCCCTCCGTCTTCTGTATCTATTATCCTCTGGTTGTTCAAGGTTGTTTAGCTATCATTCTTAATCATTAAAGAACCCCTGTCTTAATGCAGAAAAATCCGCCGGGAATAGCACCCCTTACAAGAGTGGTACATAGGAAGGGATAAAGGATTTAGAGATCGGAACTTCCGGAGTTCTCATAAATCACTCTCCGAGTTGACGGAATCTCTCCTGGATTTCCCCATATAGTCCGTCCAATTTTTTCTTGACCTCCTGCTCTCCTTGGGAAGGGCTCTAAACAGTAGCTTTTTAGCAACTCAGAGATACGATGAAAAGCCAACTACTATACCTCAAACTTCATCTGGGAAAGCTTAAACATCAAGTCGGCTGTCTTATCTTTGACTTGAGCAAAAGTGAGATCCCCATCATTGGAGCCACCCCTCTCCCCTCCCACTGCTTTAATGGCAGCATCGTTGTAGACAACGAAATTGCGAAGCATGGCGCTCGTCTTATAAAATGGACAGAAGCGATCATATTCGCTCATTCCATTTTGTTGAAGAAAGTCGTCTTTAAGCATACGTGCTACCTCCAGAGTAACTTTTTCAGTCTCCCCAAGTGCGCTTTTCCCAACTAATTGGACGATTTCCGCAAGATCTTCTTCCTTTTGGAGAATCTCCTTCGCACGGCTGCGATAATCGATAAAGCCTGGCGCTTTACTGGTGTAGTAAGGCTCGAGGACTTTGATGTACTTCGAGAATGACAAACTCCAGTTTACAGAGGGGAAATGCTTTCTCTGCGCCAACTTTTTATCCAAGCCCCAGAAGACTTGCACGATGCCGAGCGTAGCAGAAGTGACCGGATCCGAAAAATCTCCGCCTGGAGGAGAGACACTGTAAATACTCTGTGAGATATCTACGTAGAAAAGAAGCGACTACCACGAACGCTCCAACAATTGAGACAGTGCCAGTTCGTCGGGGGCTACCAAGACAAGTGACTTTGCCTGCGCGTTCATAAAAACTGGCCAACTTGGTTCCGAGATATGCGGGATAGCCAGAGTCGGCAGGCATTTCTGCAAGACGACCGCTAATCTCCCGCAGGGCTTCAGCCCAGCGGCTTGTCGAATCGGCCATCATAGAGACATTCGTGCCCTGATCTCTCCAATATTCGGCAAGGGTTATTCCGGTGTATATGGATGCTTCACGGGCTGCTACAGGCATGTTAGAAGTATTAGCAACCAGTGTGGTCCGCTTCATAATCGGTTCCTGTCGCCCTTTACCCAAGTCCATGGTGAGTTCTGGGAACTAAGTATGGGAAACTCAACGTCGTCCCTCTTGGGGCTATATAAGGACTTGAAATTACCTCCATGAGGACTTCAGCCATTTCGTTCCCTCGTTCGCCACACCCAACGTAAACTATGATGTCGCTATTTGAGAATTTAGAGAGAGCTTGAGAAATCACAGTCTTCCCCGCGCCGAATGCTCCAGGGATCGCGGTAGTTCCTCCCTGGACACATGGAAACAGGGAATCCAGTACTCGTTGTCCAGTTAACAGCGGATGGTCAGCAGTTAGTTTGTCCGACACGGGCCGTGGGGCCCGCACGGGCCAGACTTGCATCAAGCTATGCTTCGTCCTTTTCCCATCAAATTCAGTCTCCAGAACGGTGTCATCCACGTTGTAACTCCCCTTCTCAGCAATATAAGTGATAGTCCCGAGTGCCCGAGGCCCGAGGATAATTTTGTGTTTGTCAATCAAGGAATTCTCGAACACCGTGCCAAATATATCGCCACCAGAAACATGATCGCCAGTCTGGTTCCACTGAGTCATTGGGATCCAATGCCCGACAAGAGATAGGAAATACCTTCAAGTTGGTAGGCATAAAATCCCATCGAAGAGATCGGTCTAGTGAGTCCGTGTTGATGCCTTTCGGGATATAAATGGATTTGGTTTGCTCTTGAATGCCCTGACGTCTTGGGTTAAATGCCTGTCAGACCAGAAGAGGTCTGTAGATGGCTCACTCTGAGCGGCCTTTGAATCCCATCGACAATATTACCCATTAAGCCTGCGAACCGTTTATAAGGTTGACAAGTGGTTTGCGCCAATAGGGGCTCCCACCTGGTCCAAGTTCCACGCTCAACGGCTTCCCCGTGCGCAACACTGGATCACCTACAGTCACACCCGAGGTCTCTTCATAGACTTGTACAGTGACCTTATCTGCATCTATTCGGATGACCTCTGAATGCATGCAATGGGTGTCAGGTGCGTCCCAGCCAGTGTCATGCATAGGAGAGCGTCCAATTATTCGGGCTCACCTCCAACAAGCTCTTCATGACCAACTCTGACGAGCTCATACATCGCCGCCCCTGCCATGTTCTCGGCAATGACGACAGGGCCGGATACACCAAATACTTGTCCGTATCGCGATTCCTTCTCCTCATCACGTATCTTGGGGAGATCGCGCTTTGCGTTTTGGTACGCTCCGGCCTAGTCACAGGATCAGTGAAAGCTGAACACCCCCGCTTTCCGACAAACTGACCATGAACTCGTAAACCGAAGCACAAATACGAAAGCTTCGCAAACTAGGTTTGTGACCTGCTCAGTGTTTACCAGTGTTGTGGTGAGCTCCATTCGTTATTTAAATTCCATTGCTGCTCAGTCTCTCGCCAATAAGCACAAATCTGCTGCTAGTCGGACATCGGCAAACAGGCAAAGTACGAGCTTGAAGTATCCCGGATATATGTACAACTGAGATAAAACTAATTTTCGGATACCTAACATGCACGTAGATCACGCTGATCATCAGTACTCCCCGAACTCAGCATGGCCTGTCTCCTTTGCATGTGCCCTGGCGTCCTTTTCGCCTTTGATCCGCACGCCACACGTCTTCGGACATGAGCACAGAATTTCGAATTTCAACAGAGCAAGATGATTCACTTACTTGGCAACAGAGATCAAAGGTTGTAGTGTTCTCAAAGGAGGAACGGCCCACTGCTCAGCAAGGATGACACATCGATGAGACTAACTCGACTTACTGTAAACGCTCCTTTCTCTCGTCTCTTAACCGCAAGGCGCCCCGCAGCGGCGAAAATTCCTTCCGCTTCCACAGGAAATACAGTTTGATGGAAATCAGCAGGTGCGGACACTGTCGGGGACATCGAAACTGCATCATAATCTGACGGAAAGGTGAAAAGTCGAAAAGGCCGCGTCATATCCACATTCCCACTCTGTACTTACGAATGCCGGAATACATGAGGAAGCATCTGGGCAGGAAAGTACTGATAAGCTGTTAAATACCCTGCTTTCATGCGCCGCACCTGTTCTGATATTTCCCTTGACCAAATCTATCACAACGACCAGTCTCGACGTCAAAACTGGATATTTCAGTTTGGTAGTGATCTGACAGTATTGAGAGCTCTGCAGATGAAACAAAGTTACGGATGAAGAAGGAACATCTCCGCGATCCTCGCACCTATGGCACCACCCCATGATGTGGCCTTCAGAATAGTTGTGATATATTCATCGCGTGGCCGACTAGTAGAACTTTAGCAAAGCCATTCAGCAACTCGGGAGGCACTCACCCAAGGAAAACGTCGGAAAATGTATCAGGATCGCCCTTGATAGCACTTGCCACTACTTCAGACAATTCATGAGTACTGTACAACATTCAGTTCTGCTTATCTCACCGGAACGAAGTTTCGGTGCAGCCCTCATGTCTTGCTCAAAAATGAGCGCAATCGAGGAGAATAGGCAAGAGTTATCATCAGGCACTTCCTTTAATAGAATGTATATCTAACAATGTGTCTGATGGAATTGTGGTGTCCGGTGCTTACTCTTAGTACAAGAAACTGACCATCCACAGCAACATGATCGACTAATCCATCCCCTGAGTGATCCTGCACTGCTAACCGTTCACGTTCCATAGAGGATGCGCCTTCTCCCCCCGCCCCCAAAGTGGGCAACCCGCCGTCCACATCCCTGGGGGAGGCCGTGATGTGCTTTGTTGCGGATGAAAGAACAGAATGCTCCGCGGATAGTGTTGAGACAATGATCTGATCGCCCCGTTTCAAATTCAATGAGGCAAGTGGCAGGCTGGGCACCAACATAGCCTGTGTTGGAGGATACCCAATTTTTACTAATCAACCCAATCATCAGTATAAATGGCCCCGAGAGCCAAGCTCGCTAGCACTCACTGTCCTGAAGTGATGGTAGAATCTGGCATTGGGTTGTTAGAATTGGTTTTATTTCAGGCTGCAGCACCTACTTGAGTAGCAGAGGAGATAAGTAGTTGCAGATCCCCAATGGTTCTATTCGGGTTGACATGGATGGTCGTGGTCCCTTTTGGGGATCTCAGCCTCACAGGAAAAGTGTTTGCCATGGCTGATCGTATCCGATCCCCTAGCTCACGGTGTGTGATGGTACGAACGATAGATCGGTGATGTTATGCGAACGCCATGACGTGACGCCGGTAGGCGTTACATAACGTTGATTTGTCAACCAGAACGAGGGCATCTACTCACCGTTGTCTAGTGGTTGGAGTACTGACTATTCATGCCGCCCCTTTTCATCCATATCTGGCCTGGGAAATGGAATCTCTCCTCCATCGACGTGGCCTGCCTTTCTGTCGTGCTGTACCTCCAGCTCGCTTTGCCTGGTAGGTTCAGAATAGTCGAGGAAACCTCACCAGAATTATCCCCATCAGGTCAGAGACATTCTCTAGGCGCTAGCACCTTACAAGAACGACTTCTAATCTTGAGTTTGATATTCATATAGGGCAATTGCCTTTCATTTCGCACCTCGGCCAGTCTGTTTCGCCTCTGCCCTCCCTATATGCATATCTCGCTTCATTGGATCTGTCCACTCTTGATTCTGAAGAGGATGAAGAGACACTTCCACCTCCACGAACATCACTCGATAATCATCTCTCATCGGCGGAGAAAGCCCAATCTCTGGCGTGGAGGGTCTACATCGAGTCCCGGATGGGGGACTTAGTCGTACGTCGTCGGAAGCTAGATTTCATGAAAGATACTCACGTTCTTCCATAGGCACATTCTATGTACTCCTCCCACTCTAATTATTACTCGGTCACCAGGCCTGCTCTAGTGTCTATGCTGCCACTCCCTCAGAGGTTTTACGTTCCTGGCCGGATTCGTGCATTGCAGCGGGAACGTCTCCGAGGTGCATTCATGTGGGAAGAGGGCGAGGAAACTGAGGAAACTTCTAAATCCCAGTTCTTTTCGGTGGAGAAGACGAGTGGTAGTTTGATGCAACGTGCGTTCAATCGTGAAAGGGTGAGTTCTCAATTCGGAGGCTCAATACGTCCGCTCCCGGTGATTACCTGTTACAGCTTGTCGAGAAAGCGAGAGACATTTTTGAAACACTCTCTGGTCTCGTTCCCGGAAATGATTCATTCGTTTATGGCGACAACCCATCTCTGGTTGATGCTGTTCTCGCGGCGCATATCCTTTTCATCTTACACATACCGTTCCCGGATCCAGTTCTTAAAACTATCCTTCTTGAATCCTTTCCCCTCTTGGTATCACACGCGCTACTGGTGCACTCTCGCGCATTCCAGTCTTCTTCCACCAAGCCATATGTGGAGAGAGACCTGGCTGGCACGTCAGGTTTCCATATTCTGGTGCGATCCACAAATCTTTGGATTGGCGGTGTCCGAAGTGTTCTCTGCAGGCTATGCCAGGGAACTTTGTGGAAAGAATCGTTTGCTTCGAGGAATACTGGTGACGAATTGGATCAGAAGTTGCGGAGTGGGCGTCGGGTCTGGTTCATCCTCGCGGGGTTAGGAGCCGCTTCCTATGCGTACACAGTCGGACTGGTCAAAGTTATCCCCACGGTTGAGGCGGCAGAGAGAACGGACATTGAGGTTGAGATTGATTCAGAGGACGTTGCATGATTTGGTCTCGCCATTATGCTCCAACCTGTGCCAGGACGACAGGCATCGACGTCGCTTTGATCCTGGCATGCCATCTCTATCATCGTGACCTTGGGGTATCGCCGTGTTATGGTCCTGTAGCATCTGGGTCCCAGACTTCCCGAGATACTGTGTTCGAAAATATGATCATTCCTTAGCGAGTAAATATTGACCGTCATCATAAGTCCGAAGCATGTGCGCCACCGTGCGAAACGAAAATTCGAGGCACAACAATTTAGACTTGAACAGATGCCTGGCAAGCTCGGAAAATTACGAAAAGATTGTGCATCCTAGCAAGAGGCGCCACAGCATATTAGTCTACGGCGTTGTGGCAAAAGCGATTTTGCACGCACTCGGCCTGCTCTTTCAGGATTCGTCAGGTGAAGCTCAAGGTCTTGCGAGCTTAGGAAAACTAGGTTCGGATTTGCAGATGGTGGGAATCGATCGACCCCAGTCTTGTTTGTGTTTACGTAAAAACTGACGCTGAAAATGCGTTTAGTTTTCATGCCGTGCTCGTATTCGCTGGCCAATCGCTAGGCAGGTGACCAGCCTCTCTTTAAGGGGAGCCAATCGTTAGGTTACTCATTGGAATACTCAGAGTTACTCGATGACTCCCCACATCGGTCAAACAACACTTTCGCATAGGGAACGTCATCCACGTTGCTGGGATCCACCCAGTAACACCTGTCCTCATGTCCTCAATGGCTTGTAGCGATTCTGACTTCGTGATGCTTCACTCTGCCAAACATGGGGTCGATGACACTGGCATCAAATCTACGATTAGGCAGTTATCAAGCATATGGATAAGGAAGTGCATACAGCTTGGTTCATGGTGGTCGGGTCTGGAATGGCACGAATGTCATACAGGAGGACATTTGGTCCAGTGCCCTGGGCGTTCGTCACTCACGGCAATTTCGCATGCTATGGTTGGTGCTTGACGGTGTATGGCTATCGTCAATGGTGGCACAGCTTCCTTGTATCTGGCTGGGCTTCCTGTGACCTAGGACCTTGCATGGGCTCGTTGTTGGCAGAAATATTTAGGCCGGACGCCTTAGCTCCTCTAAAGGTCTGCTCTTGCATTGTCGAATCGAACTTTTCATTGAGGCCGTAAGGCCTCAACTCTTTTACCTTGAGCTTCACACTCTCTTCCAAGTATTTAGCTTGCGCTACACTCTTACCACTGAACTTGGGCCTGCGTTTCACACCCGCACACTCGGCCAGCTCTCCGCCCGAACACATACACTGGAATGAAGCTTTTCTCTAGTCGGGGTTCACAGCCTTCGTAGTCGGGTTGGGTGCTTCCTTGCCAGGAGCGGCACTAGCAACTCTGTCAAAGGTAGGGCCCCCGCTGCAATAATCACGTCATGTACAATATATCGAACCACAGTTTTGTCCTTGTGCGCAAACGCGACTTCGTGGATACCGATCAATCTAGCACACTCAGGAGCGTCGTTATCAAAGCTGATGTCTGGTTCGTATCCAGCTAGAATCCAGGTGCAGTCTTCCATTGATTCAACGATTCTGAACACGTCGCTGAAGTATACGGTGTTATACAAGAATCTGGGACCTCGTGCTGGGGACTTGAGAAAAAGAGAGTTTGGGTTTGAAATTTAATGTATCAATTCAGTTTTTGTAGTACGGGTCCCCACATGTGCGCTATGCAGGTCCGGGTGTAGCAATGCACGCGCCCTAGTCCATCTATTCAACATGCAGTTCTTTCTGCACAAGAACCGAGATAGGAAAACTAAGGCATAAACATATGTAAACACATTGCTCGAGCCTAATTTCCACTAATACGGTACACCTATTGCAGTTCTGTGACGCGTAGATGGCGTCGTTACCATCTCGCAACGCGTCATCATCGAGTCTTAAGCGAAAGGCTTCGTCATCTACGATCGTTAGTCAGGTGGAGAAATCGAAGAGGGCGCGGAGCTCCAAGCGCACAACCTCAAACGCCACAGCAAGCCAAACGACCACGAATGTTAGCTTAGATTCGGACGAATGCGAAGCAGTAGCGAGCTCTCAAGACATATCCCCACCTTCATGGAATGGAATGCCAACTAACAAAGTGCTCCCTGCTGTCCTCAAATTCGACCCGAAACAAGGTGTTCGCATCGTATCATGGAACATATGCGGTTTAGCGGCTGCCATCAAGAAAGGGCTTCTAAAGTACCTCACCGCCGAAGATCCAGACATTATCGTTCTCACGGAAACAAAGGTGAATATTACTCGGTGTGCAGTTATTTGCCACCAACCAGCTTGGCCCCAGGTGAACCAGCCACCCGCAGACCCCAGTCTCGTTGACAGGTTCCCTCATCGGTATTGGAGCGTGTCAGAGAAGAAAGGCCAAGGTGGAGCAATCTAGCACCCTATCCTCCAACTGACCCAATCATTCCTTGAAATTTGTTGCAGCTGGAACAGCCATACTGTCTAAATACATGCCTCTCAGCGTAACCTACAATCTTCCGGGCTATGACAATCCCTCTGTTGTCAAGGGTCGAATTGTCACACTGGAATTTAATGAATTCTGGCTGATTGGAACCTACGTGCCGAATGCAGGTGCAGAACTCAAGGTGCATCGTTTCAAGCGTTTATATCCTCCCAACTTAAATATGCCCACTCATAGACGTTGGGTATAAAAAATGCATGGAACACAGCGTTTCAAACGTACATCCACAATCTCGACAGAACTAAACCAGTAATATGGGCCGGGGATCTTAATGTTGCCCCAACATCGAAAGGTTGAGTGTTAATGCCGAAAACTTAATGTCAATTATCCAACGACAATGCTTTCCTAGACCTTAAGAACGACAAGTCTAACTGGAACAAGACTGCCGGCTACACCTCGGATGAATGTTCAGCTTTTGCCAGGATCCTCGAGAACCTCAGCCCCACGGCGACATCACAAGTCTCCAAAACCGGTGACGAGTCATCAATAACTAATATTCCCAAATCTGTGCAAGTATCTCCCACAAGTCGACTTCTAGATATTTGGAGGGAGACACACCCAGACGATGAGCATTATACGTACTTCAGCTTCCGCTTCAACTGCCGCGCAAAACAAGTAGGTTGGAGATTGGACATGTGTAGGTTCAAGGGCTTTATTATGCCACAACAATCACTAACCAATTCCAGTCATATTAAGCGAGAGAATCCGACACGAAGTGAAGATGTGCGGAATTAGGTACGTGCTTTCGTGATGACACCGAGCAGTTCTTTACTGAAGGTCTAAAGAAATGAGATCTATGGCGCCTCTGATCATTTGCCCATAGTATTGGAAATTAGCGAATCGTTATTGTGTTGAAATAATGTTAACAATGAAGATAGGATACTTGCGACGTTGGCCAAACCCTTCTAATTGTACACTTGATATAAGGGTCTTCGAAGAGATCATATCAATCCTCCGGCATGGATGGTGCAGATGGTCAGCGAAAACTTACGTGCTTGAAAATTTCGTGCCTTGCCGAACTACTTTCTCGACGGCGTCCAAAAAATCACGCTCGGTCGCGACCTTCCTTCGGGCGCGGATAGCAAACATGCCCGCCTTATTGGCAAAATCAGCTTTTCACAATCCGGGAGGAGCTGTTAGGTGGGACGTGCCTCTGTTGCTACAGACTTCAGCTCGGCCCCTGTAGTGTTCGGGCACAAGCGAGCTATGAGGTCAAAACGGATGTCGCGCTCGACACTCATGCTACGAGCATGAATTCTTAAGATGTGCGCTCGCCCTTCCGTGTCGGGAAGTGCAAACTCGATCTTTCGATCGATTCTACCTGGACGGAGTAGCGCTGGATCCAACGTGTCGGGTCTGGAGGTGGAGGATCTGAGTTGAGGTCTCTTGGGTTGTAAGATAGCGGTGTACGTGCCTATTGGTCGCCATGATAACTTTGATGTTACCCCGAGGATCAAAGCCATCCAACTGGTTAATGAGCTCCAGCATTGTCCTCTGTACTTCATTGTCGCCCCCAGCTCCATCGTCAAAACGGGCCCCGCCAATAGCGTCGACTTCATCAAAGAAGATGATGCATGCTTTCTTTCCACGAGCCATCTCGAACAGTTCACGAACCATACGAGCACCTTCGCCAACATATTTTTGAACGAGCTCGGACCCAATAACTCGGATGAATGTGGCATCCGTTCGGTTGGCTACCGCCCTGGCACAGAGTGTCTTACCAGTTCCAGGAGGACCGTACAGCATGACCCCCTTCGGGGGATCGATGCCTAGAGCGACGAAACGTTCTGGCTAAATTGGCTCAGCAAGAGAGAATCGAATTGGGCATAATGCAAAAACCCACAGAAAGCAAAGGTGTCTCAACAACCTCCCTTAATTTTTCGATTTGATCTTTGCAGCCCCCGACGTCCGAGTAGGTAATGTCTGGCTTGTCTTCGACTTGCATCATGGTGACAGAAGGGTCAATCTTTGGAGGCAATGGGATCTGAATTTGGTACTTGTTACGATCCACTCTAAGAAGGAGGATCAACGTCTGAAACTACAAGGTGCCAATTAGCAGGGCTCCTACCCAACACGCATTCCTTCCTCCACATCAGTGGGCGCGACACGTTCACCGAGACCGACGACAAATTTAGCAATCTGCTTGATATTGATAACATATTGGTCTTGCTCATCGGCGCCTTTCTGGCCTTGTTCCGCACCTGGCCGATTCATGGCAGCTGCGCGAGCAGCTTTCTCGGGGTCCATACGGATAATTTTCGTGCATCGCGCAACCTGCAGAGGCTGATCTTCACTCATCCTCTGCTTGTCGGCGGCAATGTCCCAAAGGTTTGGAGGTGCGAGGCCGGTGTCGGACTCCTTAACGCCTGGGAGGTATTATGAGATTTGGCTTGTTAGATGAGCAACTACTCAACATACCCATCTTCTCGTTGACTCGCTTCTGAACCTCTTTTATATCACTTTCTACTCTCTTGAGTTGAGCAGCATACGGGCCTTGGCCCTAAGACGATGAATTAGGCTAATGTAAGTAACATAAAACGGGACCAAGCGTACGTATGTCTTTAATATTTGTATATCGTTGTCGTCAAGAGCTAGCAATGGGCATCAGAAAGGAGCGATAGATAACGTTCTGGACTTGCACCTACCGATTATTTTCTCCTCTTTTCTTTCACTGAAACGTTTGTCATCTAACTGAGGTTAGTCAACGCAACAAGCACACTGCAATTGAGGAATACCTACATTTGTCCCAATCGCTATGACAAAAGAACCGCCATCAGTTCCATCGAGCAAGGACTTCTAGCTATTTGGTTGGCCTACGCTTTGGGTGGCATGTTGGCAGCCTCTTACGCGTCCCAGACACGAGATTAAATGGGGCTGTCTGAGCACAGCCACACTTCGCGTTTGTATACCAGCCGTCATGTGACATGGATAGTAAGCTACAGGGGTTCCACCAAAAAAAAAGGAATGTTCACGCTCGTAGAGGAAATTTCATGTTTCATTCTGAACTAATCACCAGGAAGTGTAGAATGGAAGGTGTTTGTGGTGAGAATGGAAGTTGATATAAATGACGCGTCGACGATGATGGATAATGCGTGCCAAGTCTGCCAGTCCTCGATATTTTACGTGCTGGGGATGGGTTACCTTGCTCAGGGCACGCGCGGGGCAGAGACCCAGATCAGGTATCATCGAAGAGCTTCGTGGATAGTAAATCCTATACAAAGTCATAGAGCTCAGGCTGCATGGAGTCCTGCCTAAGCACGACTTCGGTGCATGTGTGTTGCATGCCTACCTCACAAAACACAACATATATACGCCTGGAAATCTATGCACTAGAGTGCGTGCTTCGCATCGCTGATACCTGCACAGCATACATTGTTCCGGCAATCAGTAAGAAACATTCAGAAACCGTGAATATGAACAGGGAAGAGATGGAACAAGAAAGAAGTGGAACACGGAAGTTACAATGCCAAAATGTGAAGGTAGAACGCAGTTATGGTACAGTGAAGATATGGCACAATGAAGATATGGTACGATGACTTGAGGATGTGGGAGCAACGGTGGACAGCAGACATGGAGATATATCGGCACAGTTAGAATGGAGACAATGAGATCAACTCTCGATAGTTGTAAGAGAGACACTCACATAGCATGCGCTCCGAAGGGGATGCGCTAAGAGTCTCAATATCATCCCTGATCGTCATACAGTGCAGTGGTGAGCGATGAGGTTAAGGTAAGGGAGCGGATGGACAAAAGTGAGAGTATAAGTAATGGAAAAGCGGAGTGAAATGGGAGACGAGCGTACATTTGGTAAAGGATCTAATTATTCGGCAAAGTTAACAGGGAAATTTCATGAGCAAGGTCATGGGTGGACGCGACGATTGCTTAAATTTGGAAGGACAGAGAGGCAGTCAAGGACCGCTTTCTCCCAGTATGTTGGAACCTGATGAAGAGTGTGTAAATTTGGAGTGTTGGAAATTTTCATAGTTACCGCATGCTGTTGTGTGCAGGGTAATGGAACGAGGACATCAGAAGTGGATGTCGGGATTAATAAGGATGAAGGCGTCAGGGAGGAACATGTGGTTTTCTAGTCATTGATTCCATTCTCGAAATGGAGGAGGAGGAGAATCTGGTTTATTACCCCGCGGCCTCGTTATCACGTGGCAGTGCGGGATCGTCATTACAAAAGGGAGAGTATACGGGTGTGCGTCGTCGGGGTTTATGATCCTCGGGGAATTCTCGAAATGGAGAGTTGACGGTAAGTGGGTGAAAGGAATATTCTCACTGCAATAAAATTTCAGTCACATGGTCCTTAGTCAAATAAGGAAAAAGCATTTCGTCAGCAAAAGTGACAACTTTTACGTAATTTCGGGAGGTGAGAGTGACACTGCTGTGCAGGTAACTTGTTAAGCCTTGATCATCTAGCAGATATAATGCCATAGCCATTACGCCTCGATGCAGAGTACGGGGCCTGCAAATTCCTTCGGTTGTACACGAGGAACAGTAGGCAATGGCGGCGTTCAGTATTCTTCCTGACTGGATCCTATTTCCACAAACCCCTTCCTCTTTCCGCTCCCAGCTAATCATACTCAATAAGCCATGCTTCAATGCTAAGTGCCACCAGAAGGCTTCAGAATGGAAATAACCTGAAGTGCTAAGCATCATGTTGACCCGTTGTGTGGTAAATCCAAGACCAGATCTGCAATTACTCAACGACGATAAAGTTGTAACAGCTCAGCACACTCGCCGTGCCACTTGTTGCCTCAACGGTCCAACAGTTGAGATAACTACAAAGCTCGAAGTTGGGACCATACACTGCGATGAGGGGAATTGATGATCCCACTTCAAATCTTCAATCGCTTCTATCATCCTGTGTGGTGCCGAGACTAGCGACAATCCCCCGACGTAGCTGGTCTTCCTCAGACTCGTTCAAGAGACCATACAGTTCGGGGAACAATAGAGTCAACATGTCATCAACGCTGTTGTAGATGAGTTTGTGGTCGCGTGAGTTACGAGGCACTCACCTTGCTATCGAGTCGCCCTTATCTAACGCCCTTGATTTGCTCCGTGAACTTCGGGATAGTCGATGGTCATCGCTGGCAATGTCGCCGTTTAGTTCAATACCACCCTCAACATAGAGGGATTGTCCACGTCGGTACGCAAGATCAAGAATGTTTCTTTCGATGGTGTCTTCCGCATAATAACAGAACACCTTCCAAAATCCTAAGAGTTGGAAAGGCCCGCAGTAATTATGAAAACTTACCGAGGTCGCTTTATTCTGTCCCAAACGATCCACTCGGGCGATAGCTAAAGTAATGCGTTGTCTTCTTCTGGGTATGATCGGAGAATTCGTCCAACACACCTTGCACCTCGAACGCATGATTGACAACCGGTTCCAGGAGAAAGACATACTTTGCGGCAATTATATTCAATCCGGCGTTGTCTCTCTCACCCTTGGGGGAAAGTATATTAGCTAGCTGATATCAAGAAAGACGTTTCGACGTACGTGGAGTAATAACACGGAGATGGATTCATCACTGCTAAATAAGCGTACGGCATTCGACTTCGCGCTGGAGTCGATCTTTAAATGCCGGATACCGTTGGATGTAAGTGCATGAGAAATGATGTGGAGGGAATCCGACCAAGCGGAAAACACAATGGACTTCGCCTTTGGGTCAGATTCCTGTATCATCAAGATATGCTTTGCGAGAGTCTGAATTTTACTGCCATAATCCCCCACAGCAGCGGTTGCATTAATGGACGACATGAGCGAGTTCTCAATCCTTCTATATGGAATATTGGGTATGGGTTTCGACATGACTCCTGCATCTGTTGCAGATGGTATAACGTGATGATAGCTAGCGATCCTATGAAGGGTGCTTGGGCCAATAGTTGAGCTGTCGGAATGAGGAGGTAGGTGAGAAGTGGGCCCCCGAGGCAAAAAAATATTATGGAGTACCGGCACACAGGACAGCCCTTCCCTTCGGGTCGCCTCTTCATCCATTCTGTCAAACAAGTCTGGAGCCCTGTTTCAGCACATAATCATGATTCCCTGATGGCACGTATCTCTACCTGACAAAACATGCTGAATTGCGAAAAACGAGTCCGTGACCTTGTCCCTAGCAACACAAATGGCACTTACTGTGCACAGCTCGTCATGAATCCCTTGGTTCCGACAGACTGCTCAAGATGGTTCAACAAAAAATTGTTGCATCACACTCACCTTATCGAACTCGGACTTACACATAACACACTCATCGTCGTCACTCGCCTGATTACTGGCCTGTTGAGTAGCCAAATGGGTCAGGTAGCGTGATTTGGCAAGGAGGGTTTGGGTTTTATGCGCGGCCTCCTCTGCCTTCTCTCGGGCATCTTCGCATGCTGTTTGGATGGCCATTCCTTCAGGCAACTCTTCGTCTGCGACTGAGTCAGAGATATGTTGAAGTTGCCTGGACGAAATGTCTGGACTTTGAACCCACTCTCCAACGATTCAACCTACCGAAAATACCTGAAAATTGATTGGCAGCAGCAATGCGGTACGTTTCAAGGCACTCACAGAACCCTAGCATTGAATGCCTTGCGAATGGGTCTCAGTTCATTTTCCAGGGCATTCATCAATGTTGCTGGAGACAGAGCATCAAAAAGTAGATCAGTACCTTGATACAATGCTCACTTTGAGTCGCGATGACGTTGTGCAAGCGAAGCGATTCATCAAGCACGCCTGGTATCTCATCATGAGTACGGAACGCCACTGCTGCCGCCTTTACAGATTACCAGAAGCATAAACAAGATCAATACTCTGGCCTTCAAACACTCATACCTTGAGTGGCATACGAGTGTGATCACGGCGCATGGCGCGCCGCTGGATTGTGAGCTGTATTGTTAGTTCTGGCTGCTCAGCGGATTCTAAATCATGCTCCGCTGTGCCACTAGCTACCGCATCCATAGCCCTATGACAGCTTAAGTCGCGGCGAGCTCAGTATTCACGAAAGTCACATACCTTTTGGTGCGCCGAGACTGAACCTCACGATCTTCATGTGCAGCGAGGGCGGTGCGCTCCGCAATGAGCGCCTCCTTCCTATCCGCTAGCAACGCCGCCCACGACTGGAGATAACTTTCTGCTTGACCCTGGACTTCCAAACTCCGAGTATATTCGTTCCCGTCAGGCCCAGAATGGGAACTGTCGGTCCCCAGTCGTTCAGAGAGTAAGGAAATAATTTTTTCTCTGCATGAATGCGTCTGCATGAGTTGCACGCCTCAGTATTAGCTAAATATGTCCCACCTCCACTTCCAAAGCAATTGTGCTTGTTTATCAAGGAGATCTATGGCATCTTGTGTCTCGGCCGTCTACACGCAGTAACCGGTCAGTAATGACCCATGAAGACGCAACCATACACGTACAAGCTTAGCCAATTTCGGGAAAGCGGCAAGACTCATGTTGGGCTCAATGACAAGATCAGCGCGGCTGATTCCATTGCGAGAGCTTTGCGCCAATTCATCAATTGCTCGATTCGCTCGGTCCTCCGCTCTTGATGTCACAATTAATGCATTGGGGTGCGCCACTCATTCCAGAGAACTCACCGCTTCAGGATGGACTGTCGTATGACCTCCGCAGCGTCATAATTCTCTACCTCTTGACCATTCTCCCCCATCGCATGGTAAATGTCACCGAGTGAGAATTTTATTCTGTGTAGGAGAATTCGGGCATCTCTGAGGCGTTGAAACAAACCATGACGGTAGGACTTTCGTGGATCAGCGCCGGCAGATTCGTCTAGGCCAATTACCTCTGCCGTCTCGTCAATGTACGTGTCGATGAGATCCTCATCATCCGAATGGCTGGTGCCAAAGTCTGGCGGAATAATCTCGTGTCCCGTGACATTAGTTGTTCCGCCGCCCTCTGGTCTGGTCAGCTCTTCGTGGATGTAGAGTTTGACGTCATTGATGAAATTCTCTGTTCTTGCACGCGTCTCGAGTAGGAGATTTAGAGCATCATTTTTTCGGGCAACCACGTTGGAATCCTTCTGGATAAGGAGCGCGTAGCCCACAAGTGCATGTATCTATCATAGACCGGTCATTGGTTTGAAGAAGTGAAGGTAGTTGAGTCGATCACTTACCTCCTCCCGTCGACTATCTAAGAGACTTCGTCGAGTCTGTTGGATCATGTCCTTCAATACATCTTGAATCGATCGGATAACGTTGGGGACATTGCGATTATGAGCGCCGGGCAAATTACCAACAAGAGGATGAGTGCATGCTTGACGTAAACCGCGAATGAAAGCGCGGAGCCGAACGATATCCAAATCAAGTTCGGGTATGGATGGAAGGTTTCCTTGCGCGTCCAAACCAAGGTTGAGCAGTCCGGAACGGAATCTCTCATGATAGTTCTGGGAGTACCATTTATTCGGGAGATACGTGGCCGACCAGCAACACTTACATGGCGCTCGATGGCCCCAAGCTCAATCGGCACTAGCACCCTTCTTTGTGGGGGCAGCGGAGCCTCCTCAGCAATCGCCCCTTTCGACGTGCGGACAGCAACCGCCCCAAATAGGTCTACAAACTCGGTTGCACACTGAGGCTGCAAAAGTGTTTCCCACTGCCTCATGGACGATATCTGAGGGACTCGGAGGAATCTGCAGACTTCTGCTTAGCCTCCAAAACTCCGTCTCCTCACTTCTTAGATCTATATACACACCTCAATGGATAGACCAGATCCTTAACACTCGCTTTTGCCTAAAGGATGCGAGGTTCAGTAAAAGAGAAGCTGAACTAATTCGTCACTTACAGGCGTACCGCTGACAGCAATTGATGAGACTCGTGGCACCAGTGACACCATCTCGGCGGCTCTTCCGCCTCCAATTTGCTGAACCTAAACAGCAATGAACATAGTGGTGATGGATATGTCATACAAAACTTACTTCATCCATAACGACGCGAGAGAATCTAATTACCCAGATTCAAGATAAGATTTAGACCTCCTAGAACGGAACGGACGAACTCTAAGATGACCAATGGGCTACGAGGACAAACAGTGGCTTCAGCGTAATCAACATTACTGCGTCGGCTGCGTTTCACTGAAGGCCGTGCAACATAGAGGTCAGCGCGCAATACATCGTCTTGAATTGCAAGATATGAGATATAATACATTCAGCAACTGATACCTGAACTCACAAGTAGTAATAATGACGTCAAAAATCTGAGCATAATCAAACCATTGCGATACAGCTTCATTTGTGTATGGACTGCCAGACAGTTTGCGTTTGCGCCGCGTTGTAATCACAGACTCGGTAGTGTGCTCTTGAGGAAGACGGAGCTTTGCCCATCCGTCATAGACTAGGAGACGAAGCGTCGGAGCGTGAGTCTCTATCTCTTCAATCCACTGTTGTTGTAACGATGTCGGGGTCACAATAAGAGTGCCCTGGAATAAAAATTGCGTGAGGTTCAGCTCTCGATGAGAACACCATAAAAACATACTTTCACCGGTTTCACCCAAAAATCGCTGGACACATCATATTTGCTGGGAAGTTCATTGCGACTTGTAGCGGGGTGGTGAAGAATAAGTGCTATCACTTCCACCCTGAGGTGTGGAGGCTCAGGAAATGAGTGCTGTTCAAATGATTAAATAAACGTACGTTTTCCCAAGACCCATACTTTCTGCAAGAATCCCACCTTGAAAAATTTCCTCCGCTGGACGTCCCGTTTCATTCCTTAAATCACCCGTCAAACGGTTGTACCACCAATGTTCCTCTTTCCCGGTCACAAGGTCTTGGCCAAGGTTTGGAACACGAGTCCAAAAAAGCGGCTTCACTTTCCCACAGCTCAGAGGGGCCGGGACAGCACAACCATTTCCATCAATCGTCATGCCTTCCCGCTGCAGCATCCAGAAGACAGATTTTCGTTGGAATGGGTATAGAGCAACTTCTAGCGCGGGTGGCTGTAAGTGGTGTAAGGACACGTCAGGTGGAAGTTCGGGAGCTGGTTGCAAGCAGGAGAAAAAAAATGAGACGTTTGTTTCGCCCGGATACGCCAACTCCCCTGGCAGTTGCGGAACAAACAAGAAGGAGAAAATCCGTGCTTGTGCTTCCGCGGCATGCTTAGGAAGTGCTTCACTTGGTTGAAAAATGTCCGGGAGGCAAAGAGATATCCAAAATTGTACTTCAAAGCAGAACGGAAGGCAACGAAGATCCTGCCGTTGTTCGTTCTGGTGGACCGCCCGAATGTTTACCTCGATCAAGACAGACATCCGGCCATGCAAAGAACAAAGGTCTGCGGCGGCTAGAAGCTCACTTCCGCAAGCCGTTTGACTAATAAACTCATCTGTGATACGAATTTCATGCGGCGGAATGGGCAGAAGTATGTGACCGAGCTCCCCCAATTTTTCCCTTGCGTTCGGAGAAGATGGACCAAAGGATACATCCAACGCTTTCGTTCTAGCACGGCGGAGCAAAAGACCTTCACCGATCCTTATTGATTGCTGAGGAAGTTTATCTAAGGCAGAACACATCTCCCCTGAGACCGTTTCATTGAAAGCCAATTCTCCAAAGAGTAGAGGAATGTAAAGTGTGAATGAATGCTTCCACACCGGTAAACGGCGCTGAGGGTATGCAAAGAGGTTTTGTGAAAACGAAGTTTTCTGGAGAGCTCAAGTTGAGATAAATACCTCTCCTTCCAACGAGTCCACAACCGTGCCAGCACCACGCCCTTCAAGCGCAAGTTGTAGGCACTTATTAATTTCATGCGCATATCTCGGAAAATTTGAGTCGCTAGGGATCTCCGCCTGAGCCAGAGTCTCCTTCATGGAAGTAAAGAGCAAGGCGACTCGATCCTCGAGTCCCGGCAAGTTGCGAGCGCCCGGGCAAAAACTCCGAACCACCAAGCCAGTGGCACGCAGGAGGGTTGGCAGAGACTGCGTTCAGGGGAAGTACGCTGAGACCACTAGGACCAGTACGGTGTGAGCAGTGAATCTACAGAGTCACTTTGCGTAGTTCAAGTGTCCGTGTGCATGCACGTGTCTGCGTTTTCGAAAGCCCAATATTTTCATAACCCATATACCTCTAGTATGTCACGAATCGTTTATTCGGCGCCCTTGCAACAGATCGCCCGTACTTGGCCTCAGGACCGACTGAGGCCCAACATTCAGTTCAGCCAAGTCTTAGAGTTCCTCTCAATGTCTCCAACCATCAATGCGCGATCGGTGGCCGCTGCTCGGGCGCTGACTATTGACAGAATCAAGGGTCAGGTATGCGGATTGGCAACACAGTGTCCAGAAACTGATGGCCAGGCTTCAGGTCACACTTTCCGAAAAGATGACAGCCCCTCCTTCGTCGCCCAAACATTATAGCAAGTTAGTTGAAGGTGTTAATCGAAGCATCAGGGGCGAGAAACGAAGCTGGATCGAGCAATTTTTTGCCTTATAGTATTCTAATTAAATGTCCTCCGTTACTCACAATGTCATGTATTGGACGCCAACCAGAACTATTGTAATACAACTCAATACTGCTCAATCCTCTGGGGTGGTAGCAAGGTTGTCGATCGCTAAAGGGCGCAGGATTAATTATGCTATTGTGTACTTTCCATAGTTCTTTTCCGGATCGAAGACCTTCAGTGGGAGTAGATGAGCGAATTGACCCTAAGCGAAGGATGACTAATGGAGCGAACCTCCCATCGCGATGCGGGAAAAATGTGTTTCGACCGTTGATACCACGAACGTTCCACCACCTTGCCCGCATGAGACTAAAGGAAAGCTTAGCATGTGATAAACTGAGGGTAATGATGAGAAAGACGAGCCTCGTCCTTTTCAATAGTCGCATCCACCATAAGACGAACATCGTCATGAACATCGAAATTAAATAAGGGACCAGATTTGCCCCTAGCCTTGTTTACTATGAAATCGTAGAAGGTGTGATGCTGAGTAGTGACCGCGGCAAGTCAGGCGCTCCATTGGTCCTACGGTGTTGAGATGTACTCACATGAGGAATTATCAAGTCTTCCTTCACATACATCAAGTTATCCACAGAGACGCCGCGCAACTCTGGCACCTATAGGCATAGGGATACCTCTCAATAAGCCGAACGTTGTTATAGCAGTGATTGGATGAAATACCTGAGCGCGAACCAGTCCAAGGAAGGTGGCCACATCGTTCCCCTTCTTGCACTCCAATTCCAGTCAGACCACTTGATTCTCACATCGCGAACAACGCGTACTTTAATAGACTTCCGATGACCACTTCCATCCCAATAGCTGTAAACAATTTCGATCTCTTCAGCTTTGATCTCTTCCTGTTTCCTGAGCCACTCTTGACGAAGCTCTTCACGTGCACGGCGCTCCTCTTCTTCGCGCTCACGATCGGGGAGAAAGGATGTGTCCACAGAAGGATTTTTAATGAGCTTCGCACGTTTTTGGGCCTTCTCCCCTAGGTCGAGACAATGTGAACATTACAATCACCAAACCATGTCGCGCTAAGTTACCTTCACGATCTGCACTGGGCTGTTCGTCGCTGAAGGATTTCGTTTGGTCAGAAGCAATCGGAATGTCGCCTTCCTCGTCGAGAGAAAAAGAGAGGGGAGCTGTAGTTACGCCCCTTTTCCTCTTCTTCTTGCGTTTCTCTTCCCTAATAGTCAGGACATCCTCCCAGATGTCGATCATGAGGATGTGTGCCCGGCAGTGAAACAGCATACTCACTTTAAGTCATCTGTTCTGGCCGCCTCCCTGGCCTTGGCTTCTTCGAGAGCTTTCCTTGTATTCTGAAAGTCCTCAAGTCGAACGAGGCCAATGGTTGATTTCTTGAGGGTCTCTTCGACGGAATCATTTTGCCCGACAAAGCGGTTCGAGCCTGGTCGACTTTTTTCCGTGTCCTGGTTGCCTTTATTTTGAGAATTCGGTGAAAGATGGGGAAAGAGAAGACTCATGCTTTTGTTATGGCTTCCCGCTGACGGTCGAACTCATGCAGCATCTCTTGTCGTGCTTTATCGAGCGCCGCCTGTTTTCCACAAGAGGCACCTCATAAGTATTGTACCAAGGATGAAAAGAAGCGCCTTTTGACCTGGCGGCGATGTTCGGATTGACTGGAGTGGCCAGACATTATTGTTGCAGTTTTTGCCAGTTCAAGTGGCTGTGCCTGAAGGCACGGTCACTTCCTCCCGATGAAGAGACACTGGTCACCTGTCCATCACTTCCCGGTATTCTACCAGGCGTTGTCGTCAAAAGCGGGGTCTTTAACATATGTAGGTACTACCCATGCTGCCAACAGACGAGGCAATAACGTTGGAGGGATTTAGGCTAATTCTCGGCCGTCAATTGCCTGACGGGAAGGCACTCAAGGTGCGAGCTGCGTTCGTCGTTTAGGGCCCGCATGTTCCGATTAATGCACCATACCATACACCCACAGATCGCCTTGACCGCGTTCTACGGGATTGGACGTCACACAGCTGAGCGTGTCATGGCCCGATACTCTATACACAACACAATTAAAGTTGGCGAATTGACCCAGGCTCAGATAACTTGCCTTACATCTTTCCTATCCTCACCTGCGACGTCACCTCGGCCAATACGTACGTCCCTCGCCTCCCATCGCCATCCACTGAACTCCCTGTCGCGACTGGCGTCAGTGCCTGGGAAGACGAACCTGGAGCACATTCGGCCAAATGATCCCCTCGCTGACCTGAAAATCGAAACCGAACTCCGAAAAGCGATGCTTGATAACATTGCGCATCATAGAGCTGTTGGATCATATGTTGGGAGAAGACATGCCATGGCTTTACCTGTGAGGGGTCAGCATACCCGAAATAACGCGCAAACTGCGAAAAAGCTCAATCGTATCGAGAGAAAGCGGTAGTGTATTGGATGATGATAATATTTTAAACTCCATATCGGAGCGTACAATGGATCACACTCTACAGAGCAGGGCCGTGCTATGTAATCTCCCGCCTTGCCAGTCCTCCGACCGTCGTCCACCAGTGTCCCATCCATTCACTCTTTACCATCTCTTCAGTCGCCGGATCCGTGAGACCGCTCCATCCCAGACCCGACATGACTTGCATCCATAGTATCCAGCTTGAGGCCCGAAGATTCGGATAAAGGGAGGTAATCGGGCAGCTCACCGAGCGCGCCGTTATTGTAGGGGTTGATGGCAGTGGCACGTAGGGGCCAGAGTCACTGAGTGCCCATTCCGACGGCCGCGTGTTTAGATTGCCCCAGATGACTACGCTGACGGGGTTGCGCTCTTCGACAAAGAAAGGAAAGCATAGGTGAAGACCATGTCACCATATGTAGTGGAATTGAAATGTGATAGAGGCAGTGAGAGGGGACCTCGGTCACTAGAGGCAAGACATCTTGTGTCAACACCCGTCCTAGGGGTGGCGGGTTATGTATATCCTTAGGGTGGATACACTCTGATGGGTAACATTACCAGAGTGTGTTATCCGTATTTGCGATGTAAAAATGGTTGCGTTCTTAGCAAGCGCTCGGATGCAAGCAAACCGCTACAGAATAAGTTATCTGGAGATTCATTAAACCTAATAACCCCCCTTAGTAGAACGGACAAAAGCCACGTGCACAACTACGTAAATGAGGAAATTCCCGCTACTCTGTAGCGGGTCTTGCGTGCACAAACTGAATACCTGAGCACCGTTATTGGTTATTCCCTTTTTTACCTCAGCTTTCTGACACTCCAGATTACCTCAACTTGCTTACGGAGCTAACCCAAGTTGTCCCTCACCGCTGCGGATCCTAACTCACCACTTGGCCCTACACCCAAACCTCCACCCTCCCACTCTTTCCTGCCCAAATCCTCCCTTCCTTCCTGCCCAAACTCTTGCTCCACACTATGGCGTCCTCTCCACACCGAGCCTTTTTAAGTGGCCCCTGGCCATTTAAACTCCTTACCACTGAAGCTGATTGCGATTATCATCTAACCAATCACGGCCTATATGATTTTTCATTGTCAATCAACGATCAATGGAATTTGCTCCTACGCCATGCCCTGACCGGCGATTGTTACTCAAGGTGCATGTGTTGCGCACCGCTCTCAATATCCCTCTTGTGATTTGTTTTTCCATCTTCTTTTTGACTACCTTCCTGTCCTCTCAGGTTCCTGCATACTCTCAGGTTTCGCGCGCGCTTTTACACAGCGTCTGCATTGCTCTCCTTGCTGTTGACAAACCAATCACCTCCCTCTCTCGAACACTGTCGTGACATTTTGCTTGTATTTACTCACCGAAACCAAATAATATCACATAAACACCTTCGCCAGTCTTGGAGTGTTATACTGCTGTGGCGTTCAATTCAGGTTCATAATGTCAGGGGGTTGTATATGCAGACTGGGGGTGCGGTCCTGATTTAAAACTTAACGATATTTTACATTTGTAGTACCACCTAGTACCACGGCGCGCAAAGACGGCTCCAGAGTGACTTCTAAGTGGGCTGCGACGCTGCGTCGATGTGGGAGTAGCGGGTATTGCCGCTTCAGGCGGCGTCCATCAGTTATATATTTTAAAACCAACTAGAGATACATGTCGTGAATATTATATTTATCATAAATAAATGATCAAGGTGTGGTAATCTGAATTGCTCGACTCTGAATCTGAACTACGGTATGAGCAACCCAACCCAACCGAACTCATTTTGAAAAAAATAGACACATACCCAATACACAGCCACCAACCCCAACCCAACTTCCCGACCCAATGCCCAACCCCGACCCAAAGCCCAACCCCCGACCCAAAGCCCAACTCCCAACCCAAAGCCCAACTCCCAACCCAAATGCCCAACCCACCCAAATGCCCAACTCCCAACCCAAATGCCCAACCCCCGACCCAAAAGCCCAACTCCCAACCCAAATGCCCAACTCCCAACCCAAATGCCCAACCCCCGACCCAAATGCCCAACTCCCAACCCAAATGCCCAACCCCCGACCCAAATGCCCAACCCACCAACCCAATTAGGCCCAACCCCCGCCCAGTGCCCCGGGGGAGTAAGAAAGAAAGAAAAAAAAAGGGCACAAATAGCCATGAATCGAACTGGCACCCAACCCAGCCAAGAATGAAGGCTAATCATGAATTAGCCATTACGCCGAGACACCACTAATACTGTTCCTGGACTTAATTTGTAAATATAGTAACATTACAAATATGGAAATTCTGGAATCAGATTTGCGGAACTAATTTTATGATTTTCGAGAAATTTTTCAGCGCACGTGCCTGTGCATGTGACTTTTATCCGTTCTACTAAGGGGGGTTGTTAGGTTTACTGGGAGATTCAAAGCAAACCCAAATGGCGTCAAAACAATTCAAGAGCACCGGCGAGGATCTTTGGAAATCACGAACGGAAAAAATCGTGAGTCAAATAGTATCACAACCCTCCACTTGAATATCTGTTACGAAATCCCCAGAACGCAGAGTTGTTCACCTTGACATACGGAGCATTCGTCGTGCAACTTATCCAGGATTACGAGGACTATGTGGAAGTCAACAAACAACTAGATCTAATGTAGGTGCGACATTCTTTTCCCCCATGCTTCGTTTGATTGGGGTTTGTAGGGGATATAACATAGGCACCAGGCTAATAGAAGATTTCTTGGCCCGTTCAAACCTGGGCAGGTGCACGGATTTCAAGGAAGTGGGTGAAGCCGTTGCCAAAGTATGTCGATCTTCACTCCGTCTTTGGGAGCGCCTCATCCCCAGATCATGTATTCCGATCTCCTGACAGGTAGGCTTCAAAATGTTCTTGAATATCGTCCCCACAGTTACCCATTCCTTCCTAACTGCGAATGTACCCGCCAATGCGAACAAGCAAGGCCAAAATCAACGTCCCTGCTTCGTTCTGACATTGGACGAGAACCCATTGGCCGATTTTGTAGAGTTGCCTGAGGAAGCTTTGGAAGGCCAATTATGGTTCAGCAATGTGCTATGTGGTGTGCTTAGAGGTGCACTGGAAATGGTGAGTATAAATTTTCCATTTCCCCATCTCGCCTTTACATTGCTGTTACAGGTTCAAATGCAGGTTGAAGCCAAATTTCTCTCCGACGTCTTACGAGGTGATGAATCGACCGAGATTAGGGTAACACTTCTCCGCTACATTGACGAGGAAATACCCGCCGGCGATGATTGAAGAAAGTGACAACTATCTCAAGCGCCTCTATCCAATCGGTCCGCTAGGCGGCCGGTTCCACCTGCCACGCGGGGAACGATTGATATCTGAATGCGTATCTGAAACAACCATGAAATTGCTTAGTGCGAGATTCTTGGCAAAGCTCTGACAGACAGTCCCTGCTTTAGTGTGTTGATATTGCTATCACAAATTGCTCATTTCTTCACCCATGTAACCCTGTCTTGTTGATGGATATTGGTCCCGCAACTCTTCATCTCATGATGCGATATCCAAGACCAATTGGGGCAACACAGTCCCAGGTTCCATCCTAGCATTATGCAAGTAATGAGGCCACCATGATATTCAGTATGAAGATTGGGGGAGAAGTACTCGTATGAGAGGGGCAAGCACTTCTACCAATCATCATCATCATCTCCTTCGTGTAGGGCAATGGGATTATCCATCATGATTGTATTTTTTACTGCCTCGAGTTCGCCTGTGTCAGTCTGGTGTATCTTTGCCACCGCCCCTGGGGCACCAATGGCATCTTCATCGTCTGTTTGAGGCTCCTCGAGAGTTGAAGTCGAAGAATCTTGCAGAGGATCGCCGAATATCTCTGTGGAGCGTTCATCGATGGCTGATCCCCCTGACAGTGATAGCCACATGTCCCTTATCGTCCTAAAGTCAGAAGTATCAATACACAGGTCTTGAGGTAACCCTCCACTGAATCAAGTGATTACTGACGCAACATCATTGCCTGCACACCATTCGGTGGCGTCGCAGTAAATTCCAAGCCTCTGTGCGGTTTCCTTGAGGTCCGGAGCGGGGCGTGATGTCCCTGGCATTGAAACCCAGAGAGACTTCAGGTCTAGCACATATACCGGTGCCAACCATCTCCTGGCGGTCGGGTGTTCGGAGAGGTTGCGTCTGCCAAAACGAGGTGCGGATGAAGAGCCTGAGCTGTCACCATATGTGTGGTGGGAGTCATGGCCTTGAGGAGAGCGGGAACGATGGCGTGAATGATAACGAGGTGGAAGAGATTCTCGCCACTTGTTCACAGGCCAGTCTTCATCTTCCTTGTCTACTGATATGACGGTATTTGGGAGCCGAAACGGCTGGCGGAGCAGAGAGGATGTGCCAATTTCCCACTCAGATGTATCGATGCCCGCCTCCTCCAACAACTTGAGTGAAAACGCCGAATCGTAGACTATGAGAAGCGACGGCTCTAGTTGAACAGACTTTGAAAGGCTCGTGGTGGGGAAAATCCCTTGAATTTCCCGATGAACTGGACTATCATCCAACTGGTAATAGCGTCTAGGTCGGGGCGGTTCGTGGTTGAATGATGAGACGCACACTAGAAGGAACTAATCGCTCCGTGCGACCGCCTTTGAACTCCTGACGACAACAATCAGCGCTTGCAAGACTGGAGGGACCCCCCAGATACACGTACCCCTTGCTGTAGTTGGGTGTGATATAGGTGCGGGACACATATATGAGTCCAGTTTTCCAGGGCTACCTTACCCGTATGGAAAGCAACTTCTGCCCAACCATAATCCAATGCAACGCGATCCATTTTACCTGACGTTATATACTGATGGCCGGTGGCAGTGAATATGATGATCTGGTGAACATGGCCAGTCCATGGGGGACCAGCAATTGTGTATAAATCAGGTTTAAGTTTGTACTGGAGACACCGAAGTATGACTCTTGAGATCGTGGAATGTTGGGGGCCGTAATCACTATATGAGCGTCTATGGAGCGTACCTAGAGTGTTCAAACGCGCTTCGGTGAACACTGGCATCGCTATACTCGGTCACGATCAGAGGGTTATTTTTGATATCCTCGCCATATAATATTCGGAGCTCTCTGTAACGATAATCAGCGCAGAATATAGAGGCATAATTTCACCGACTTTGAGCCATCAAAATCCACAGTATACCTGTTGTTGGCGATGCTGGTGTCACGCACAAAACCATGGGCCCTCCTGCTGTTTTTCGCCTTTTGTGAGTTCAATTTTAGTGTTTTCAACTTCTCCTTGAGCTTCCCAATGTCTGTGAAGCCAATTGGAGCCAAAGACGCAAAGTGTGTCGACGCAACTGGGGCCCCGATCTGACCAGGAGGACGGTGAATTTCCTGTTCGGGAATGAGAATATAGCTTGCACCGCTTTCTACAATCCCTGTGGGCGATATTCTGATTGGAAATGGCATAGCGCAATTTTGATAGCTAATCTCACCTAAGACTAATTCCAGGTATCCATCAATCTTCCTGAATAGCGGCGCGGCTTGATCACTAACAGACAGTTGATCAGGGTGTGTACTGAACAAAGTTTGCTCGAACTCACATGTCTCGAAAATGAGCGCGTAAACCCCCAACCTGATAAAACCTCATAATATTAGTAAGAATTCCGCAATAATGTATGGCTCACCTGATCGTGTGATCCAACCCCTCGTCATCTTCACTTTTGCTTGCAGATATCCAGAACTAGCAACATCAAAAACAGCATCACTATGCGACGGTGGCCATATGGATAACAGTGTTTCTTGCATCGACGCTCTCGATCCTCGCCGTTCCGGGAGTCGCTCTGAACCCTCCACTCTCATGTGCAGTGGTTGAGTTGTACTGACATTCCAAGCTATGACTGCGCATTCCCCATGTACCCAATTTATAGCTACAAAGGGTGCATCGTGGACTGTTTCAGTCACCAGTATTCTTCCCATCAGCGGGGTGTCCTGTCCCGATTTTCCTGCGGCGTATTCGCGCTACCCCACTTGTTTTAGGAAGTCTTCCGAGTCCCGTCGATACTGGGGGTTTTGCTGGAGGCCGTACAAATGAAGCTGCTACTAATTGCGGGAGGGAACTGTTCGAGTTTGTGGACGGTGGGCAGTTCATGTACTTACATTGTTCACAACTAAATTGGCTGCCTGAGCTACCTGAAGTATATAGTTGGTTTCGATTGTAAAAGGTCTAAGTGGTCTCCCAAGCAGTGCGTGGAGCCTTACCCTGTCGCATGCCAATCTAATCCTCCGCACTTCAAGCAATGCAGCACGCCAGAGAAACATTAGGTTCTCCGCGGACGCTGAGCGAATGTTCGCTGGTCGGCATGATGCATCTCTCGAGATTGTCTCAAGTTCTGGTTGGAACAATGGAGGCTATGAGCAAGGTTATGGGGCCTGTTCATAAGGTTTGATTTTCAAGCTGTGGTGCTCTCTACCTCCTGTTCGACACAGCTCAGTATTCACTCGCACTTCTCGTCACCACGTCAGGCGCCATGGCGAAGGACTGGCGTTTTATCCTAAGGTCGCGCTGCGAGCTCCTGCATTAGGATAGATCGTATGGCTCCGTTTTTGGAACGACTTTTTGGCCTAAGCGGCTCACCGATGATATGTGCAGGGTTTCCCAACATTTACGGACCGATTGGTACTGGGGGATGAGACGTTATTAGCTAGAATATGGTGTCACCCGACCATCTGCAGGACTGATGGCCAACGTTTCTGGAATTGAATCGGCGGCGCTACTGACTCAAGGGCAGGTAGGGCGAGTAAGTGACTTCCAGAATCATTTCAACTCCATGTTTGTTCAGTTTTACTCATTCTACGTAACCTTCCTGATGCATTTGGGTGGGGGGGTCTGCTGGTGAGTCCTCCAGAAGTACACCTCTACCGTTATGCATGTGCAGCAGATATCAGACTCCCTCTTGAATGGCGTGTGGCCAGGGTCAATCGCACGGGGTTTCTCACGTACGGTGGTCCAGGTTGGTGGTGTGGCAGGGCTTCTCTTCTGGATTCTTCTCCCCCCAACTGTTCAGTCCCCGCTTGAACCTACCGTTATCCTCCCTGACGATCTCTGAGGCTCGAAATGACTTTCTGGCATGCACGGTGAAACTAGATGACGTCGCATGCTGGTTGAAAAATCATCGTAGTATCGTATCATATGTATATGTATGGTGGACACAACACCACCCTGATCGAGATCGAGATCGAGACACATGTTACAAATCCTAGCACTGAGGGAACCCAGATTCTAGATGGCATGCGTATTCCGACTATGCTCTATATGACAATGTATCCCACCGAACCTTCACCTGGGTTTCCCGGACTTTTTTATGGGATTTAATGGAGGTACGAGATTGAATAAATCTAGTGAAAATGAGGCTAATATTGCGCTTGTGTGCCTCGGGTTCCTTCGTGTCCGCCGCACACAGGAAACTCTCCTTGACCTCGCGTACGGTATACCCACTTATGGTCTTTCAAATGCTGATGTTTTTCGCATGTGCTCAGTATGTTTTTTCTCTGATTCTGATTATCTCGGCATTTCCTAGTGTTGTTTTTAGCTGTCTTTTTGTATCGGTACGTGATTTTTGTTTGTTTTTTGCGTCCTTTTGGATGCTTCGGCCAATGTGCCTTCGGCCTCCGTGCCTTCGGCTTCTATGCCTTCGGCTTTAATGCCATCGGCCCTTGTGCCTTCGCGCTTACTATTCCGCTTCGGCATCTCTGCCATCTTCACACCTATCAACGTGCATTCCTCTTACTTTTTCGTTTTTTCTGACTCTTACTTTCCGTTAATAGTTTGATTGCTATGTGGGTATTCGGTCTTACTAAGGGTGAAGGTGTTGTGACCTTCGGTTACCTTTGGTGGGTAGGATCCCGTATATTTACGACTTTGGTACTAGCCTTTGCTCGATCTTTGCTTGCGTCTGTATTTCTGCGTTACCCACCACCACCCCCCTTCTCCACCAGTGTGTATTGATTGTTGTACTTAAATACCGGGTCGCTCAAAAATTCCAGAGGCTTTGACGTTTGTCGGGGCTATTCTATCGCTCCGAGTCGCCCGTTGCACACAAGCTACGATTTACTTTCCGCTGTGGTCCGTGCTTGACTCGCGAGATTCCTAGCTGCAACCAACCGGCAAAATAAAAATCTATTTCCACCATAAGATGCATTGATATATGTACTCATTGAGCTACACATTCTAGCTTTCGCTGTCCGTTTCCGCAGGAAGTCCAGAATATGGAATAGACCCTTTGATGATGCTCTCTCGAAACCAAGGTATTCCCACAATGAATCCGGCACCCTTTGACTGGGCTTTCTTAGCAATAGGATCACTGCTGGGTTCTATGAGCACGTAATCGTACTGGTCGAGCGGACGTGGGGCTTGGTCTAGAGCAGTGACCAGATCAGTCAGGATAGTACCAGCGGCACAAGCCACTTGACGGTGCAGCTCTCGATTGGCCCGATCCTAGGGACTGAATGAGCATGGAGCTGGATGTGCAAGACAAATGTAGGGCCTACGATTGTATCAGAAAGCACCAGAAGCATCGTTTTTCCCGCAAAAGGCTGACGAGCCGAGCTACGTGTCTGAAGAGGAGGCAATGACACATCGGTTTCCTCCCACCGAGGGTTATATGCTTGTGACAAACTCATATTCAATGTCTTTGATACCCCAGCAATATGCAAGTATGTCTCCCAAGGTACGTCGAGCTGTGAAACCGGTTGAAGCAAGTGATGGAAGCGAGAGTAATCTCCTTACCCCTTTCAACCGATCATATATCCATTGTTCCGATACACAAGGAATCCTCAACGCAAGCGCCATCAAATACTTCGGAGTGGTCGTGGGGGAGGATGAAATAAGGATTACTTTTCGCACGTCGGAGTTTATTAGACTCTGTTTCCAACGTATGTCCGAACGTCCTTTGCCAAACTCGATGATATCATCCCACGAGTCGTAAAGTCGACCTCCAGCTCTTCTTATTCGGGAGGTCAGTTCTGCTCTCATTTCAGGAGTTATCCCAGTGGTAAGTATCGCCATCTTCATGAAGCATTTCGTGTCTTTCAGAAGGGGAAGTTGCTCTGGAACTGCTTCGTAAGTTACGTAACCGCCGCTGGCCCGGAGCTTTCGAGAAGCGGAAGCTCTAGTTGTGGAGGCCCTACTGACTCTGCTGCGGCTGAGCGATGTAACTTCCAAGGGGGGCCGCGGCATCGCCCTCCTTATTGAACCCGAACGCGTGCTCATAGGAGAACTAGCTCTGAATAGATGTAGTGGTATATCATCGATTGTGAGCAACCGTTTGTCGTCCCACTCTGCCTGCTTTGGGACACGAACATATCTGGTCCCAAGGACAACATCGCCGCCGCCGTCATCCTTAACATGAAGCTGGTAGTTGCCCTCTTCGTTGACACCAAGAACCTTTCGAACAACCGCTGACGCTGCCTCGGTCTCAGGATTTCTTAGAAGCCAGATCTTGTCGCCCTTTTGAGCATAAGACCTGAGTTGCTCAGCGTGAACATCACGCCGTATCTCGCCGTCGTCAAATTTCACATCACACTTCCCAGAGCCCCGCGCTCTGGTGACCGTTCCTAGGTAGAAATGCTGCTCTTTCCCCCAAGGGGCGAAGACGCGAAAATCGTCTGAGGGTGATGGGTTAAGAGAGGGATCATCCGCTGATTCACCGTCTGACACATGTTTGACGTCCGTCGTGTTTCTGGTAGATGTTGCAGTTCGGGCGCGTTTACGCCGAGATTTAGCAGGGGAAACAGAAGCGTAAGTGCCTCGTCTTCGAGGAATGCCAAAATCGTCAGGATGGCCAGGTATGAACGATTCTTCCGTCGTCTCCTTGTGGTCAATGGCCTCGCCTAACTGTTTCGCAATGACCTTATCCTCAGCGGTAACATCACCCGTTTCCACATTTCCATTCCCCCTCTCCTCACGTGTGTTGTTGCTTTCTTGCTCAACTTCCTTGTCCGATATTGCCTCATATACTCGCTTTGACGGAGAAATACGATAGTTAGTGGGACTCGCAAAGTCCTCTGCTCTGCTCCGAAAGGGGGCATGACGGCCATCCGAGCGAAGTTGGGGGGCCTCAATAGGAAGGCGCCCGGTGGATGGCCTCGCGATTTGCGCACGGGAAGGAGAAGCCGGGGTGTCTGGGGTACGCCGCAAATTTCTCAATGGGGACCGAGCGCGGCGCCTACCAGAAACCCCGTGCGGTGGAAAATCCCCGTCTGGGGGGTTGGCTAGGGAATGAGGTACACCAGCTACTCTCTCGCGATCACTGGCGGCGGGCTTCGGGACTAACGTTCGTTTGCCGGAGGCCGAAGGCGGTGTTCGAGGTGTATTCTCCATGACATCAGATGGATGTGCTCCCCCCATGTTGGTTGTATCGCGACTTGGCGTGGTATGCTCGTCCGTCCGTCCGCCTCTTCGCGAAATGGTGGCAGGGGGAAGCAGGGCAGAACTTTGACGAGCGCGATCTTCAGGGTATGGAGAAGGCGCAATGTCATGTGAAGAACCACCATCATCAAGTGAGAGCGGTTCCATTCGCATGGAATAGACTACAGGCTGTCGCAAAACCCGTTTCTGAGGCGTGAGCGTCGGTTGTGTAGGACTGATATGCGGCGAAGTTCGAGTCGTCCGTCGGTCAGGCGTAACCGCGCGTGTCACACTATGGGAGTGATGTGAGACCTCTGCATCAGATGGTGGGCCCGCCGAAGGCCATACACGGGATTGGGAATGGCGCGACCGAGAGTCAATGGAGGAAGTAGGCCTTCCGAAGCTAGGTTGATTCGGCTCCACGAAGTCCATGAACGCAGGGTATTGGGAGAGTGGACTGGGGTCCGAGAGACCCGAGGATGGAGGGGTCGACCGGACCAAAACCTCGGGTTTTTGAGAGGTCTCTGGGTGTTCTGGCTGAAGGGGCACTCGAGGGTTGGGAGGTGGGACCCATGGTTCAGACGGCAAGGAACGCTCTAGGATATCTGCAATTGATTTCTGAAATCTTTACACATAAGGAAATGTCTTACTCTCGATGGTGTCCGACAGTTCTGCGGCTCTCCCTTTGCCCTTATCAAGAGGCATGGGCAAATTCCCCCCTCTATCCTTTTCCTCCACCTTGCGCCTTTTACGCGGGGACTGATAGTTTTGGCGTTCACGGGCTTGTTTTGCGCGTATGTAGTCATCACCTTTGGGAGACGCGTCGGAGCCAATGAAAGAATCCACAGACGCAGAGCGATTATGCCGTTTGAGGGATACAATCTCGTGAGTGGACCGAGGAGGACGTGCCAGGATACCAGTTGTTCGGCGGTGTAACAGCGTCCGGGTGCTGACATAGGGTGCCTGGGGGGATGTATTGTCAAACCAGCACAAGAACGCATCATCCTTTAGATAGAGAGACCTACAGGAAACTCCGAGCTTGTACCGGAACGCGCTTCATGGTCATGGGGGCCTCGAAACGCGTCCTGGGAACGGGTGCCCTGGTCGGGAGGAGGGGTGGGGAGTGAGTTAGACGTGTTATGGGACCCCGAGCCTTGGGTGCGGAATTGGTCTACATCCAAGTTGATAGGCTGAGAGGTGCGAAAGCCTTGAGTCTCTTCATTCTGAGGCACTGGCTGCAACGGAGTGTTGGGCACAGTCTTCAAGTCAGATGGAGACTGACTGAGTGCTCCAATTGCAATCCGAAGATACCTATCTCCGACTGACTCCCTAAGAGAAGCAAGCTCTTCCACCATCGGAGGAGAGTTATTCTCTCCCGAGGTCATGGACATCGCGAACACAAGGAAGTCCTGCCTGAACAAGGGGAACGTTTCAGTTAAAGGGCAACTACGGCACCGCAAAAGCCACGTGATTCATATCACCTGACGGTATCCCGCCGTACGAGTACCAGCTAATGTTGGACTGACCATGGCCAGACATAAATTCTCGTCAGCACTGTACTAACCTCTGGTCAATCACCGTGGAACAGCCCGCACGTGTACATCGAGATGCCATGCCTACTAGAATTCCACCAACCTTGTACGGTCACATGTTCAGGTCTCACAAATGTATTGGTTTGACCAATTTATCAGTCCAAGACCGTGGAACGGCCGTCGGTCTGTCATTTGACCGTGTGACTGGGTGGTCTGACGTCGGTCAGCCCAACGGTGCTAAATCGCCACTTGACACCATCTGGCAGAATGCCTCCTAAAAGGGCAGCTTCAGCCACGAAAATCAGTAGTGGGGAAAAGAAAGCTCGATTTTCTAGACCGCCCCAAGAGCCTTTATCCTCCCAACAGAACCATGAGTTTGACCAAGCCGCTTTTGATGACCAAGTACAAGCGGACCTTGAGGAGGTTCAAACAACGTCAACACGTCGCGGTGCTGTTAAGACGGACGGATACGACAGCGATTCCTCCGATGACGGGGAAGGCGTTGTTTTAAGCCGCAAGCCTGGCACGAATGAAGCCACAGACCGTGACGACGACATGTTCGCCCTCACTGCATCGAATGCTCCAACTACCACAGATTCGCCAGGATCTTCTAAAAAGCCCAAGGAGAAGTACCTCGCCTTGGGTGATATAGAAGGGCAAGAATTTGGTGCTGGTGATGATGGGAGTGGCCTAGAGTCGCTCACGGATGATGACGAATTTGAAGATGAAGACACGCGGGAGCGTAAAGCAAAAGAAGGGATGGGTTACGAAATTTCCTCCTTCAACATGAAGGCCGAAATGGAAGAGGGAAAATTCGCCGAAGATGGGACATATCATCGTTCATTCGACCCTCATGGTTTACATGACAAATGGATGGAAGGTATTGACGAGAGAGAGATGCGCAAAGCCCGACGCGTGAAGAAGAAGATGGAAGAACGCGAACGATCCCTGCAGCAAAATAATGCAGCAAATAGCGCAGAGGAGGTGTCCAAGGAGCTAGTTTGTCTGTTAGAAAAGGGCGAAACCGTTCTCGAAGCGCTACAACGGATTGGGAGGGACAGCAAACACAAACAATCATCAAGCCCAAACCGCCTCCGAAAGAGGCGCACCTCCATTTCTCAAGTGGATGCCCCGCACCTCGACGCCACGTCCCCTCCCACCCAATTCCCTCCGGCTGACCAGTCACCCATTGAGTTGGTGACATCCCTCGCTTCAACCCTCATGTCCCTCGGAAATTTGGACGTATACGAAGAAACCTATGAATCCCTCCTCCGTACAGTGCGACGTTCAGGTATAGTCCCGCGAGATTGGGAACCTCCCAAACCGCCTGAACCGGAATTCGAGTATCGTTGGTCTCCATCCTATCTCGCTAGTACAGGTGCACCGTCTTCCTCAGCGACCTACGGACCGTTCAGCAAGGCAGAGATCTTGGCATGGCGTAGCGCGTCATATTTTGGAGAGTCTGGGGAGCGTATTCAATTGCGAAAAGCGGGAGAAATGGATTGGGGAGGGTGGGATGTGATTCCCATATAAATTCCTGATTCTCCTTGGCTTTCGTTCTCGCACCTTGATTGTGACCCTTCACCTTTCATGGCTGGCCATGCATCAGCCCGGTCCCTTTACCCAACTGTTTGTACCTTTTGCGATACCGCCCGAATCAGACTAGGGCTCCCGCGTTCTTGTATATCTCGCTAATATCCTGGCCGACTTCAAATTACAAGATCACTGATAAGTTGACATGACATCTGGACTGCATCCGCCACGCCCCAGCGAAGAGAACCACATAAAATATGCGAGTTCAGCGTGTATATTATACCTACATCATGATGATCATTCGTCAGCCGCGGGGACATGGCGATTCGACGTATTCACTGTTCCATGATCCGTGCTGTTAATGATGGTAACGTGTAGCTTCCTGGCTCCCTAGAAGACACCTAAGGCACAGGTACAGGTCGCTACCGTACGTATTACCAATGCCTTCAACTCGTGACAAACCAACGTCCAGTGTCCAATATTCAATAACAGGACACGAAGGCGTCAATACAGCTCCAAAGGGGATCGAAGCTCAATTCAATTGATCAGAGCAAAGAAACTTATTCAACAGCACCGTTAACATGGTGAACATTAGCATTCATCATTCGTCCTTCCAAAATGCCACTGCACGCTACCTTAACGTCTACAGGGTGGGTATAAATAAAATACACAAATTACCCACAACCGCCAAGGGCGCGAATCCAGCCAGTGTGATGAAAGGTCGGAAATAAGATCAAGAAGACTTTTCCCCCCTACCTGCCCCTTTACGCAATGGTTGGATCTGAAGCCACCAGTTACGTAAAGAAAAGGTAGAATGCGCAGAAAAGCAAAACGATGAGCCCGATTAAAAGTTCCGTATATATACTGCGAATAAGAATGCCCGCAATGGATAACCGAATGAAACAATGAATGAGAGCAATGAAACGAAGTCAAAGGGGTCGTATCAAGACATAAAGGGCACATTGCGATACTGAGAGAGGACAGCAAACGTCAATGCGCATGCTTGACAGGAATGCAAACGATCAGGGACGAACCTAGCACAACTGCCGAGCGAACGATCATACAACGAAGGGAATCATAATGCTCAAAAGTGCCACCCAAAGCGAGAGGGATAGGGTCAGACCCGACGCCGCACGAGATAAAAACGCAGCACCAGAATGTATCGTGGTGCTCGTACTAGTACTCGTGGACGTTGTCCCGGTGGGTTTCTCGGAAACACTAGTTGTGGACGTCGAATTGAGCGGATTTGAGTTCAAACAGCTTGAATCCGTTCCACGGCCAACCGTGAACAAGTCCGTGCTACCCCCTTTGCCTCGTCCGTCCTTCTCATCGTTCCCTGCGACGAGCAAAACTTGAGTACCCGCGGGAAGGTTCACTATCCAATCGGAACGATTCAGGCTGGCATTTTGGGGATCTGGTTCAGATGGCAGTGGAATTCGGAAAGTCGTTACGCCAGGCATGACAGCCCAAATGGATATCCCAGTGACAGTGTCAGGCCATGAAATCCTCCAGTCATCGCATTGGGTAGGTCTTGACGGAGTCAGGTAGAAGTAAAATTCTGGCCTGGGTTGTCGGGTGGCGAGACAGGATGAAGCACCTTTACCGCCAATTAAAGGGGAACCAACTGTGAGGACCTGAGTTGTGCCTCCTGTCCCTGCGCCAGTGGCATCACTCAGAACGGCGATGAACTGTGAACCTTGAGGATAGGACATTGGAATGGTCACTGAATCTGTGGTGATATTCTGGAGAGATATGATGGTGCGGATTTCGAGGGGTTTGACTAGGCCGACTGGGATGAGGAGGAGCTCGTAAGGCAAGGTGCCGCCGTTCCATGTGGCGGTCAAATTGGAACATTGGTGTGGGGTGGTAAGGTTCAATTGGAAGGCAGCAGCTTTGAGTGGGTTGAGAAGAGCGGCACATAAAAAGAAGAGGAGGTTTCTTCTAGCGATCGTGGGTCGTGTCGATATCATTGTTGTAGTGAGGCCGTGGTAGTACCGTGCTGGGTGAGTCGTAGACGAAGAGGCCTGCTCGAGATTGAGGAGGTGCACGAAAGGACTGGGAAGCTGCTGGGAAGAGGATTAAGGAGAGATTGGGGGAGAGTGAGAGCGAGGGAGGGATACGGGTGGGAGTGAAAGTGCTGTATAAATACTGTTGAGGTGAACGGTGGGTTGTGGTGGCTGTTCTTTGTTTTGGGTAATAAATCAATAGATATATCATAAAATGCGTTCATCGTGTGGGTCCCACGTTCTCCGCAAATATAGAAATAGGATCAAAAAAAGGAAATAAAAAAAGGGTGACCGTTCTTGACCCGATCGGGAGATTTGATGAATGAGTTGATTACATAAAGGAGTCACAAGTCGTCATGTCTCCGCTTAGATACAATTCAATCTGGGCCTCGATTCCACCAATCGACGACCCTCGAGACACACAAACGCACCCCAAAAAATTTTAGAGGGTTTTTCGTCACTGTCGCACCTGAAATATTCGCACGATATCCCCATGAGACGCATAGCGAACTAGTCGCTTTCACTTCTGAGTCGGCCATCAACTGCCCGTCCTCTCACCCTCTTGTCCCCCCCCCATTCCTCGTTCATTCCCATATCACAACCTTTCTCACGTCTTCTTTTCGTTCTTCCTTTTCATCGGGCCCGTCATACTCTGTTTGTACTTCCCTGTCCTTAGGTCTGATAGCTTAGAACCAGTAGTAGCAGTAGTACTTGTACAGTGGCACCCCTCAAGTTTGCTATTCACAACAACGTTCCTCCGCCGCAGCACCCTCATCCCTACTCTCTCGCATCCCCTGGCTCGCATCACCCTCATTGGAGAAGCCCAATATCCCTCTTCCAAACCATCTCCAAACGATCATCCACCTTTGATCAAGTTGCTGCCGCCGCCACTACCACCTGTGCAGCACGTTTCACATGTACATCGCATCGCACTCAATGGTTGTTTTGCTTCGAGTCATTCACAATGACGAAACAGAGGATGGTTATTCCATTAGTGCGCCACCACCGTCGTGAGCGCGTATATCCACACGTCTTCCAAGGCCATCGTTTTGCTGGATAAGACAATACTGCAAGCACATGCACTTATATATCTCTCTGCACGCTGGTTAGGGCCCTCCGGACTCGGGAAGACTCCTGATGAACCAATCTTCCATCTTAAAGAAGACCACGTCCATCTTAAAGGAGACCGCTTCCAACTTCCTGCCCTCGAATTCAGTGCCTCACATCTGACGAACACAGGTGTATGGACGGCTTTTAAGAATCATTTTGATATCTTTCTTCCTCTTCGAATTCACAAGTCTTCGGAGCTGCTGTATACGTATATGCGTCCCTTGCATTCACGCCTTCAGATCGGCCTACGGTCCAATCCACGATGGACTGGATCATCCGGCCTGACGCGGCGCGCACATCTATATTTAACGAAGCGTCTTCAATTTCTGGGCTTCGGAATCTCAATGTCTTCCCGAACATCCGGGCGGTATATAGTTGGCCAGTCACTTGTCCCCGCTTGGCTCAAAGTAGCTGTGACTGCAGCTGCACCTGCGCGGTCGGCACTAGGACCAAGGATATCTACTGCACCAAGACCGATCATTACATGATTCGATAAACTCCAATGCGGTGCGAATAAAGTAGGTAAATAACTTGAGACATCCCACGCTTACCGACAAACAGAAGAACAATTACTCTCTTCGGCTCTTCGTTTCAATGCTGTACGTCCCATTGAACTGGATTGTACGTACAGACAACGCGACGGTAGGATGCGAATCAACTGTCCTCTCATTCCAGCATTGAAGTTGCAACCGGCATACTCTTTCCCTACCTACGAACGTGCACCATTGCACGGGGGAGACCATTCCTATCCCCCCTTAAATGGCTGGGTGGGATCCATCGAGCTAAGGGGAACTTCCGGACGGGCCTGGCGGTCAGAACTTACACCGTCAAGATCTGACCGCGAGCTGAGACACTTGGTGCTTGCTCAAAGTCAGTCCCGAAGCATGGACCCATCGTACGGTACTGTCAAATCCGAGGCTGTGAAGCGTTTCACACTTACCATGTGGCACGTATCGAAATCACCGGCTAGCTCGATTTTTCGGGAAGGTGGGGCAGGTGAGAGTTCCTTCATCATTCTCCCCGCCAAATCCAGCATGTCCGACTTATTGTTTGATTCCCGCTGTACAAAGTCGACCGATCGCGCGAAGAGTGCAGGAGACCGCTTCTCTCTCGACTTCCTTACGTTCTTCGACACATTGAAATGGTAATTACGTTTAAATGGGGGGTTCCACGCCCCCTGTCCCGGTCAGTGGAATGCAGGGCAGGGTCCAGGTTTTGGCTCGAGCCTTCTAGTAACAGCGATCAGAAGCGCTCCTGTCTGGAACGCAATGATCGACGATAGCGTGATTCCGTGGATCCGGGAGCCGCGCTGCATTAGGCGCCTACTGGATCATTGAGTTGGTTCTAGATCGGAGTCACACTATGGTTGCCCACTTACCCACCAATCAATTTCATGCAGGAGCATCGGTTCGTAATTCCCTAGCTGCAGTGACAATCTGGAAATGCTGCGCATGTGATTCCCAACTCGTAGCAGTGTACCTCCCCCATTGCTCACTTTGCTAAGCTTGTTCTCAAGACCCGAGCCCCCCGGGTTGTCTATTTCCGTTGCCCCTATTGATCCCCTTGCAGATCCGGCAAAGAGCCAGTGAAATTGTTTATTCGTATGCGATAGTCGCACAATCAACACGTGGAAGGCCGAACTCTAAGAAGGTTAGTCGAACCACGGTTGCTTAGCCAAAACAGGGTGATATATTTTAGCAGCCTGTTGCAGAGCGGGATGACATGATTATGTGTACGACGTTTGAAAGCCGAATGGCAAGTGATAGCTCGACGTCTGTGAAAAAATATCATGAACGAGGTCTGTTTGACCAACGATACCGAACGGAATTTAAAATGGGGAGCAAAACAAGCAATTGGGCGAAACGAGTAGAAAGAAGAGAGAGGGGTCCAAGCATAAGCATCGACTATTACGCCACGGTCGTACTGCAAGAAGCACCAGCACTAGCAGCAGCATTCGATTCTTCGACCTTGAGCGCTACTACATCTCTCTGCATCCACAACCTTTCTCCAGCCTCATCATCAAGTTTCATCAACGGTCTTCTAGGACATTCAGAACCAGGAGGGAACAATCCCGGATCCTGACGACGCAGTAGCCATTTCGTTCCGGCTACTCCAGCTAATGCAATGGTTCGATCTGCATTCGCAATGATTCCCTGCAAACGTTGTGCTTCTGCGAAAATCGATTTGCGTGAGAGATCGGGCTGTTCGCCTTTGGTTGGGACAGGAGAAGATGGATGGCATGCGAAAGAAAGATCGGAAAGAGTTCTGATGGCATGGGGTGCCACATTTGCGAGGCCCGTTATGGCGCCGTGTGCGTTTGCGAAGACGGAGGGGAGAAGAAAGTCTACGAACCCTCCAAGCACGAGGAACCTATCGAGGGAAGCAGAAAAACGAGATTGTCAGTTGGTTTCTTTGCTCTACTAGTAACGGTCAAGGGGATGCGATCATGGACTGATACTGAGACCTGCATGCCAAGTTTGGCCAGGCCGAAGTCGGAGAACGGGATGGACCGCGCGCCTTTGAGAAGTGGCGCGATCCGAACGGAAAAAAGAACCCCAAGAATCCCGGAAGGTGATTATCTTCCGGGTTTCAGTGTCCCGATTTTAAATCAGACTCACGGGGATGGAATGCTTCGGGGATGAGCTTTCATCCACACAGGATCCGCAGTTTCGGCTGCTATGCGTGTCAGCTTCCCCACATTTCCACACCTAAAGGGACGTCAGTGCTCGCATCACGGGTTGGGAACTATCTGCTTACGTTAGCTTGATTCCAATGATATTTGGGTTTTCCTCGGCGAGTTCTACGATCAGATCCGATTCTAGGTCAATACCACCGGCTGCACCTGGATCTATTCATCATTGTATCTCCCATCAGTCTACCCAACACAAATTATCCTCAAAAATAGCTAAGCGCTTACAGTTATAAATGAACAGCGGCAAAGGGCTGTTCTCCGCCACATCACTCCAATACCTCTTCAACGCATTCCTGTTAGATGCTAGAGCACCTGCAAAGAAGCCGCTCATGATGACAATTGCGTAATCGGCTCCTGCCTGATACGCATCGTGTGTAAGTTCAATGGTTTGCTTTGTTGACCCGGAACCTGTGCCAGCGATGATGGGCACATGAGCGAGAGAAGGGGAGGCGTCATCGAGCGCACTCCGAGCTGCCTTAATAAGCGCAATGCGTTCCGATGGGGAAAGATGGTGTGCCTCGCCCATAGTACCGGCGATGACGATTCCAACTCCTGCGATCGCCACTTTGACAACCTGAATCTTGAATGTTTCCAAGTCTGGAAATTCCATAAAGAAGGTTCCAGGCACAAGTCAGTCAGCAGACACTATATGTTCAAATAGGGTTGTATCCTGAAGATAAACTTACCTAGGTCTTGAGTCCCTGCCGTAAAGAAGGTGGGGATTGGTGCAAACACTCCAGGTCGAATCGAACGAGGCGGTTGGGATGGCTGACTGTGCCCGTTTACGAGTCCATGGATGGCCATTGCAACTGAGGAAGTCGGCAACACTTGTAATGGAGTAGATAGACACGAAGGTGGATGCGACGAGGGCGAAGAAGGGGGGAGGAGGAGTGCAGGTCCTAGGTCATAGCCCTGGGTTAGATTGCTTTTATAATGAGTGTTGCAGCTTGGCTAGGATGGAATAAAGTGGCCCGGCCCGCACCGGACATCAAACGGTCCGCCTGTTCCTTGTCATGGAATATTCCTTGCCAATATTCGACTTGATTAGGGATGGCCTTGAACGGACGTCCACGACTCACGATATTTGAGATCTGAGCGCGCCCCAGGCACCCATATCACACCCTCCCCTCCAACCAGCACCAGGCGTCATGCATCGTTCTAAATTTCATGTCCTGGTCCTCGCTTACCTTTTGTCACACTGAGCTAGCATGGGATGTTTCACCCTCTTGGCTCAACTCATTCGGTGCCTTTGAGCATTCTCTCACTGATTGCATGCGAGCTCATGACATTCATGTCCCCATGCTAGTTCGTGTTACTGAGTACAACGAAGCGCCCGCGGGATTTATTTCAAATCATGATGCTCCCGGTGTTTTGGGTGCCACAAGCTGGTTAAGCCAGTGCCAATCATATGCCACAAGATCGTTGATTATCCCCTCTCAAACGCCCCTGCATGCATGGCATTAGCCACGTTGTTTTTGTGGCTAAGGGAATCAAAAGTACCGGTTCAAGGTTTACGTCCAGCCACATTTGGCCTCGATAATTTCCAGATCAGTTGCAACTCTGAACGATTGGGATCCAATGAGATTGATATACAGCTGGGTCATGAGTCCCGATCCGGCACAACTGGCCGACCTAGAGTAAAGCTCTTCCACATGTCAATCCACAACTTCTTGCTGGGAGTGAGCGAGAAAATGGTGGCCGTTACGTTCTATGAGTAAAGACTGACCCCAGTGAGAGACACTGTCTCCGAGCGTAATGCACGCGCAGTGATATCATTGTGTCCACTATCAGCATTCATTCGTCCAATTCGGTCCTCTTGAACTTCTTACTCATGGATGATCTCCCCTATTCCCGTCAGACGATTGTTCTGCGAATCTTTGAGGCTTGTACATATGCATCACAGGAATTGCTCCCACCCAGGAAATTCTTCTGATGTGGTCCCACAGGTCGTGTGCTGCGGATACATGGGATGGTAACCAAAATTGTCGTTAGGCTCCAGCTTTCCGCGCGTCCAGTTAGCTAGGCAAAGACGACCCAAAGTCCCGCGAGGTGATCCAATTGTGTGGGTTTGTTAATCAGTCGCGGAACGAACACGATGGTTGTAACGTTCGGAGCGGCAAGTCCCGAGATTGATCCTGGTCTGCCAGAAATTGACTGATCAATCCTGAGGAAAAAGGTAAAGTGGCATCACAGGATCGCCTCAGTATGCTGACCTTCATAAAAGGGCTTCTGGCTGAGGATGGCCTCAGCCTCTTCTCACCACGTCCCGCGGGAACGGGGGCTGCCATGGTGAGTTTCACAGTAGCTGATGCCACGCAAGTTTGCAAGGAAATCCCATGATCCTGCGTTCCTGGTTCCTTCAAGTTGATGTGGCTTGCTGATGCACTTGGCGTTTCACATGTCAGGTCTCTTGGTGTGGAAACACAATCCAATATTGTATCCCTTCCTGCAACAGAGCTGCATCATCGAGGGCCCACTTCTGGTGGAAATGGTTCCCTTCCGCTATCGTACACCTCACATGTCTTGCCCGTGGCCTCCCCTTCCTTCACATCATCTACTATGAAATCACCTACAAGGCAATCGCAGTTTCACAAACAGGACCCACCAAATCCCAAAATATATGACATCCCTCTTAAATACTTCTCGTATGAGCATTCTAGAAGCCGCTTCCCTCATGTGCTCATGCTTCTACTAGGCTTATCACCCTTGCATTACAAAATGCGTCTCTCACCATCATCCTGCACTACTCCCGTGTTTTCTCACCACCCGACAAAATGTACTCTGGGGCTACAGCTGTTCTCCTAAACGAATTACTGAAAGGCTCAATATCGATGGCAATAGCTCTCTCTCGAATTGATGGACACGCGACTGCAAATGCGGATAGCGAACCTGTCACAACGTCGCAAAGGACAATCACACGAAAAAGTGTCCTAACGCGCGCTAAAAACATGCTCATGAACGTTTCAAAGCCCAATGTTGAAGACGTACGAAGAAGGTTTCGGACGCTTGTGAAAGAGGTTTTCAGCCCGGACTGTTGGAAACTGTCCATTCCCGCCATCCTTTATGTCGTGCAGAATAATTTGCAGTTCGTCGCGGCGTCTAATCTAGATCCTGCGGCGTTTCAGGTCACATATCAGATGAAAATATTGACGACCGCTGCCTTCTCTGTATTGCTGCTGCGAAAGCGCATATCCACGAGGAAATGGATCTCTCTGCTATTCCTTGCCATGGGTGTTGGAATCGTACAGATGCAGTCCGGATCAAAGTCAGTGTCGGGCTCATCTATCGTCAGATCGCCGCCCACTCTCCCGAACAGCACTATCTTCATCAACGTCGACCCTGGGCAGACGATAGAACCAGTAACTGTTCATACGACGGAGAAACTACTCACCCATGAAATGAACCGCTTCAAGGGATTCTTAGCTGTGTCCTTTGCGTGTATCACTTCCGGATTGGCGGGTGTGTATTTCGAGATGGTTCTAAAGGGGAGTAGATCCGACCTTTGGGTCCGAAACCTACAACTTTCGCTTTTCTCCCTTATCCCCGCTCTCGTTCCCATCATCTACAACTCAAGCCCCAATGCAGGGATTAGGTTTCCATTGAATTTGTTTCACCACTTCGGATTTTGGGCATGGACAACGGTCTTAGTTCAGGTGGCTGGAGGTCTTATCACCGCCGTGGTGATCAAGTATTCAGACAATATCCTTAAAGGTTTTGCCACAAGCCTAAGTATCGTTATTTCGTCCCTCGCAAGTGTTGCGTTATTCGGGGATCAGATCACCCTTACCTTCACGATTGGGGCAACTACGGTACTCGCGGCAACGGCAATGTACAACCAACCGGAAACACCCGTGTCTGAGCTTCTCAAGGAGCAAGATAGCTATGGTGGGGGTAATAAGAGCGGCTTTGTGGGGCCAGGGCTCGTCACAAATAATAAAGGGTTCAGTCCGGTGGACCGGAATGTATCAATGTTGGGCTCATGGCAGCAGGAGACAAGGAATGATTCTCTTTGGACAGACGCGAGTCCCGCCTTTGGGTTATCGACAAGCTCTGCACATTCGTCGCCTGTTTCCCTTCATGTCATGTCTCCGATGATGCTGTCTCCGCAGATGAGCGTAGTGTCATCTCCCAACCAACTCTCTTCACCGTCCATCATATCATCAACTCGTCCCGATGCCACGCCCCATCCTGCTGGAATTTCCGTCGCTGCCTCGGGTAGAGGCAACTCACATTCGTCTTATTCGCCTGATTTACAGAGAATTGGCCTTCCTGGGACAAAGAAACACGCTGGTTGGGATCGCGATTAACATTCGTTTTCACTTAGCCAACTCGAGGGACAGTATCCGTTAATCTGCCAGGTTATCATGCTATCCAGATTCTCGCCTGCGCAGCCCTCTGCGCACGGTAAGGCACTATCCCAACCAGTATTCACTTCGTTATGTTTTTAACCACACTTGTTTAGCGTCATGGACCAAAGTAAAAATGAGAAACAAGATTACACCATTGATATCACTATTTGTGGCAACTGTTACGCAATGTTGGTACTGCCTCACACTTTAAGTTTTCACTAGAGATTTGGACATGTATGGCCCATCAAGTTCGTATCCCAGTTTGCGATAGTAGTCTCTAGTCCCGACACCTGCACATGTTTATTGTCAGATGGGGGGCATCGAGTCTTGTATTTATTATCATGCAACATACCTGATATCACAGCCAGCTTTACACTTCCGTGCTCATCTCGAGCTATCCGCTCTGCTTCCTCCATCAGGAGTGTCCCGAAACCCTGAGGAAAGTAGTGGGTTTTGGATGTCAACAACCTTCGTAAAACGTAGCGCCTCTCACCTGGTGCTGGAACTTTGTCGGATCCCTACCATGAACCGGCACTGCTGTGCCATAAACATGCAGCTCTCTGACAATACTGACCCCTGTCCCGCTACTTCCATAACCACCGCCTTCATCGCCATCGTCTGATCCAGGGGCAATGAGCTCGGGTCGGAATGTCCCTTCCTCGGAGCACTTTCGTAAACGTAGAAGTCCCACCAGGATATCTTTTTCAGGGTCTTCGAACGATAGGAAGGTCTCCCACCCACCGTTGGCGGTGTAATCGCGCCGTAACAACTCAATATGGGTTGGCCGAACTTTCTGATGAATTTCGTGGATCTGTTTGCAATAAAAGCGAGAGCCATTAGATATCTGAGGATGGCAACAAATAGACCAAGGGAGTCCCACCCCAACTTCGCGATACCGAACATCGCGGCATTCGACACCGAAGTCTTTCATGCGAGCCAAAGCGAGCTCCCGCAGATTACCCGAATTTTCGCAGCCAGATGTGACGAGTGGCAACGGGATGTCTCTGATGCAAGTGAGAGTCGATCATAATATAAATATCTCGACTCGATTTACCTCTGGACTCGATATACTCGTGTCCACGGGGGAACCAAGGCCAAAATTCGTGCGACAACATCCACCAGGACATTGGGCGTATAATTTTTGTACCTTCCCGTTCGCCACAACTCGTACAACCCAGTGCCACGAATGACGAGAGTAGGATATATTTTCAAACCATCGGATCGGAACGCTGGGTTTTCAAAGTATTCCTGAATAGTCATACCATGAGGTGAACATAGACGATTTGGGGGGTAACTAGTGTGCACCTTGAACTGCTCCATATCTCGTTCCACTCCTACGTTGGGTAGATCGGGCATCATGTGGGCCACCACTTTAAACCCAGCGTCCTTTGCTAAATGGAACGACTCCGAAACGGCTCGGACAGTGTGGCCCCTATTAGTGTCCCTGGCTACATCCTCGTATACAGACTGAACCCCAATTTCGAGCCGCGTGCATCCATACCGCAACATTTGACTGCAGCCGGCCGTCTTAGCATACATTCCTTCAGTGAATCAACGCCATGGTCACCTTAAATGTGGCCGAAGACAGTAATCTGGCCGAGTCTCGATGGTGATGCCAATTGCTTTAGATTTACTTTGCTCTGAATACCTATTGATCGTGCCGTAATGAGCAGATGAATGGGGGACGTCGGGTAATTTACCTGACAGCTTCATCGACATTTGTCCCCGTGAATCCGGATAATGCGTTATGCAGCTGGGCGATGAATTTGTTCCTGTAGTCTTCCGCCATACTCATGAAGGTTCCCCCCATGATAATAAACTCAATCTATGGATTAATCGGTCCATGTTCCATTTTGTTGACCCACACATAGGCACTGGCCTTGTCCACACTATGACCTAAGCTTCGAAGCTGCTCCACTCGGCCCTTTGTCTGCTCGTATGGGTCGTATCTCGCTCGGATTGCCCGCATACTCGTCGGTTCGTAACCAGTGTAACTCTGAGTACTATAATCAAAATCCGAGTCAGGTCCTCCTGGGCAATATCTGCAAATGTCGTTTCAGCGAAGATATCTTGGAATACACGCGACGATAGTTACACGCAGATGTTGCCCGTCATTGCGATGTGTGGGCATCGATGCGGTTTGCACATCACAGCAACAACGGCGATCTGTGTTCACATACTATTTAAGCAAGTGTGGACACAAGTCTCATCAGGGCGACTCACGCCACTGGCCGTTCTGATGGGCCGTGCCCTCAACTTTGGAAGAAGAGTTTTCTTATATTCCTCAGGGACCGCACTGATTATATCCACAAGACGCGGCACAGATCCATACCCCATTTTTTTTGAAAGCCTTGCCCTGATTTCATTCAAGTTTACGGTCTTGCCACTTTCATGAGCTTGGATAAGCTCGAGAGCGATTGCAGATGACAAACGTAGTAAGGTCTCCGCAGAACCTTCCATTGAGAGAGTAATCAGTAGCACTGGGGTGGGTTCTATGTAGTTTCCACACCTTTTGAGTTCCCTCGATCGGCCTTTTTGCTTGATGTTACCAAAGGCATACCAAGTACTTTGAGAGGGAACCGAATAAATTGAGTGCGAGCCGTCACATGCCGATCATGTTCATCCTCGACTCCATAGACTGGCTTCTTTCGAGGCCAGATATTTTGGGCGATGCCTCGAGTGCCGAACCAGAAGTATCCGTTAGATGGGGTGTTTGGGTTAATAAAACCTTCTGGACCTCCGTCTATGGTTCTTCTTGACCGTATGAAGCCATTGCTCTGGGAATCACCCCTCTTCGTGACTCGAGAAGAGGACAGAAGGAAAAATCAAGACATGAGGTTAAGGAGTACAAATAAAAGTAAGAAGCGCCACAAGCAATACGGATCCGTGAAAGTGGGTCAAGGAGGAACGCTAGATCCTCTGGCCGATGGCGTTCTGGGTAATTCCGTAATCATCTTCTAATACGTTCAGATATTGAATTCTTCACTTCAAGTTGTCGGCATTAATAAAGGAACAAAATCCCTTTCACAATTCTTAAATTGCGCAAAGGTAACTCCTGCTTGACTTCCTATCCTGCAGTACTGATTCGCGTATTCTGGTTATCCAGGAATATTATGCAACCGCAATTCTAGGCTGTGAAACTGACACGTACGACAGTGAAGGGGCTGTGGTTCGACGGGCACCGTTTGCCCATGTAACTCCTGAAAAGTTATCTGCTGCTCTCGGTGCATTCAGGGGATCAATCAGCCAACTGCCACCTATGTTCGCGTCCTCAGCTATCTCCTTCACAATAAACCCTCTGACTTCTGAGCTCGTTCAGTTATTCGGCATTGAAGATGGATGGCAAACCTCTCTATGAATACGCCCGTTCGGGTACACCCTTACCCAGACCCATAGAAGCTCGCCAAGCCACAATCCATGATATTGAGCTTGTTGGATGGCAGGATGCTGCGGACGGCATGTCGCCGGGTCGCGCATATTCATGGCCAACTAAGCACATTACTGAAGCGCAACGCGCTTCGTTCGAGAGTATACAGAAACTCATATTGGCGGCATCTAGTATTTCTGCAGCCACATCTCCGTCCCCATCAGAGCCCGTACTCCCAGGTGCCACCATAATTGATAGTGCCGAGGAAGAACTTGGAAAATCTTCAACTTCGAAGGCGCCAGTCTTCACTCTGAGAATGAGGGTGTCCTCTGGTACCTATGTCCGGTCCATTGTACATGATTTGGCTCACTCCGTCGGCTCTGCTGCGCACATCGTCAGGCTGACTCGGACTCGGCAAGGGGATTTTGCTGTAGGGACCAATTATTTCAAAATCCCCGGTCCCCTTCACAATGCCAAATTGCAGGAAAATACTGCGGCCGAAGCGGTCGAAGCTGAACCGAATCCCTTGACAACAGCTTACGGCAACTGCATCCCTTGGGATTTTTTCGAGAAAGCACTTGGGATACAAGAGAAGGCGGGCGCTCCTGAATTGGGAGTCCAAAAGAACGAAGATGCGAGCATGAAAGAATGGGAGATCGAGGTTCTTAATAGACTATTCCCTGTTTCGGGATGATTTATGGCATTGTTGCCCTTTCGAAATGTGTGTATTATTGGGTGTGCGTGTCCATGAAATCAGGTATTTGCCGTTCCGTGAGAAAAACTTTGAGTGCTCAGTTATTATTCAGCGCCATCGGTTTGAAGTCTGAGCCCATGGCTACCCAGACGTACTTTATCACCTCACATTATGCCCCATTAAACGGTAATGCATACCTTTCTTCCCTTGAAGATTGTGGTTCCTCAGTGGAACTTGAGAGGTCCCCGTCAGCAAACGATAGAAAGGAAATGGACAAAATCTGGACTAGAGGGCCGTCTTATCGGGCTCGCTGTAACATTTACTCCCAAAAGGACTTGGGAAAGCCCATATTCATCTCCGATCGCGCCGCCCACCCCCCCAAGTTCCTCCCTGCCACCCCAAGAACTGAGGACTTGCACCCCAGTATGTCGACGACCTCCAGTGCTGTGAATCCGTTGGCTCAAGGCATTAGTAGTTGGTACAAATCTATTTCAGCTGCGGCCAAAGAGGAAAATGCTGAATTGGGCATGTTTGACCCCTTGAAATCATCCTCTCCTCGACAATTGCATTCGTCTCTTTCGCTTCCTTCACCGTCTGTGGATTCGGGGATTACGCGGTCTTTGCCCGCGGACGATACCTCTCCGCCTAACAAAAATTTCCCTAATCCAAACATTCGGAGACCAGACTGGTTCATACAAAACGCACTGCGGTCATCCGGCCCGACACGTACAACTGCTTCTCGCACATCCTTCATGAACGATATTCTGTCTCGTGCCCCTCCACCATTACCTTCCGATCCTTCATTCAGACCTCCCACTCACACAAAATTGGGGCCACCCAACAGAGGGTATAAGATTCTCGAAAAAAGTGGATGGCAAGAGGGAGAAGGTCTTGGGGTGTGGAGCCGCGGAATCCCGTATCACACCAGTTCGGGACTTACGGGTACTTGTATCGCGACGGGCGAGACGGCATCGGACGCGATCAACTTCACTCTCCCGCCATCGGATAACGATTCCGATTCCCACTCCCAGCTTGGATTAGGGACATTGGAACTGTCAGACCCAGTAACCCCGGCTCGTACTGTGCTTTTACAGCCGGTACCAGCGTATCTTCGGCCAGATCGCCTCGGTCTTGGTGCTTCGTTGGGTAGAGGCTTAAAGTCGAGAACGGGTGAAAGGAGACTGCCACAAAGGATCAAATTGGTTGATAGCTCTCAAGCCATCCAGTTCTCCCGATCGCGTAGAGAATTAAACAGGGAGAAGCAGTCAAGGAATTCTGCATTTATCTCGGAGCAGATCAAGGGTGGGAAGCGAGGCGCGAATGCATTCACAGTAATTAGAAACAACGAAGAGCGGCGTCGGCGGGACCTGCTGGCCTACATGAAGAGTTAAACATAATGATGATCAACACTAACCCAAATGTGTTCTTTAAACGCTTCTGCCCAGACAATGAATATCATTCTCTTGGCCGTCGTTTTAGATGTCGAGAACAAGATAAAACATGTGACAATAAGCTTCGGTCGCGTTCTTACAAATAACCAGAACAGAGATCAGCACGACACATCTTCCCGGCTGGTATGCACGTAAATCGTCGTCCCCCCCGCTCTTCGCTCCTTTCCCTCGTTCGCCGAATGCATTTAACACAGTCCACTCTCGTTTCTTCGAGTACAGCTAGATTGAAAGCTACCTCAACTTCTGCCCTCTCTTCGTCCACGAAGAAGTCTCACGGGAAAGAACCCAGTGATATCTCCGTTCTGCAGATCATCACCCATGATGTCGCTTCATCTCAAACTCAAATACTTATTCCGCCACTTGGTAGTACTAGTATATCTCCAATGATGCAGAGGTCCACTCTAATGACGACGACCTCAACCCTATCTCATGTTACAACACATGTTTCTCTAAGCTCCCCCACGCCCTGGCATCCGACTACGAGCTTCGCCACGTTAAAGGCTTGGCCTCCGCCACCCCTTTCTCAGTCAGCTCCTGCTGGTCACGATCAAGGCATTCAGTTCCCCACCCTATCTGTAGCTCTTGTTTCAAGTGGAGGTGCCATTATTCTTCTCGCCATTTTCATCGCTTTCCGTAGATTACGTGCAGCCTCTAGGAAACGGTTAGCAACTGATGTGTCTCATCGCGAATCTTCTCTCTTTGGGGACATTAAGCTTACAGGGGAGCACGAGTGGGCTGAAAGCAAAGATAACGGTACAAGGGCCGGCATGGGCTACGGCAGAATGCCAGAGAAAATTGGGAAGCCTCGACTATCAATGTCAAGACTTGGCATGAGTCTCATGCCACCCTCTACTGGTCCCAAAGCCATAAATCACGGTGAAACAGGCATGAAATACAATTATTCGTTGCCAACGCTTGCTAACAAATCCATGACAGATAGCGACGCCACAACTGAGGTTGCCGGTCTTGCTGGTGTGGGCGTTTGGGGGAAACACGTCAATCCTGCCCCTGGTCTTGGGGGTAATACGGTGCCTCCCAGAGCACCCTTAGCCGGTGCAACAACCAAGTCCTTTGGAAGAGAGAATGTGGTTCAAACGGATGGCGCTGTATCGCAAGAAGCGAAAAGGGAGGTGCCCTCTGCCTGGTCAGCCTCCCCGGAGTCCAGCTACGAAGCGGAAATAAACATGGCATCACGATCAAAATTTGTCAGTCCCGCCTCTGCGGCCTTGAGCTTTTCGCCACGAACTATGGATTCTTTCACTGATCAACGGCCTGAGACGATCCCCTCTGCGTACATACCTGTACAGCCGTTGTCACTAAAGAGGACCGCTACTGTTAAAGGGAGGCTAGACGATGTTTCAGATCCTCCAGTGAGCGACGCGACTTGTCCCAATCTTCCAAATCATCTGGGTTTTGGAGGGTACCAACTTACCACGGACAACAAAGTTGAATCAAGCACGATGCCTTCAATAATGGCACACCAAGGTGATTCATCAATCCATACCCCAGGCTCTTCCTCAGTTTATCGCTCTCGTTATACCCCTTCTTCTGGTCGATTTCAGCTTCCCGTAACCGCCAATGACTCTCGACGTGATTCTGATGACATAAATGTGTACAAGCTTGGGTTTCCTCTTCCCCCGCCTACAACACCTTCTGCAGTGGTTGCTTCCTCGACCAGTCTTCCGTATGCGCACTCTAAGACTAGGGATGCTGTCCCGAAAGGATCAGGACGTGTTTCTGCGCGTCTTTCATACGCACTTATGACTCCGGAGAGCCCGAGCCAGGGACTTGAAAGCCTGGGAGACATGATGATGAATGATTACTACCTGAGTGACGGAGGTGATACCAGCGAGATCGAAGACTTGCCAGTTTCAATACGCACCAAGCGAATTTCCCGAAGCAAACATCATGCGGCTCTGACTCAGTCTAATAGCTTCGGCAGGAAACCAGACCCTACGGTCAAGGTCTCCGGATCCATGCGCAAAATCATGTCTCCAGCCATTTCCGTTCCTCATATCACAATCACGGCTACCCCCTCGTCAGAAGACATAAAGAGTCTGAATCGCCGTCTATCTCAATCTCGAGGCATCCTTCATTCCCAGATTAGAACATCCGCCTCCACGCCTGCTGGGAGCTCCTTCCATTCGGGACATCCAATGTTTACTCCATCCATATCCGCTCTCCGCGTGACTTCAAAAGAATCTGCTGGAGACACATCATCGAATGAGGAATGGCAGTCCCTCTCACAGATGAACATGCAGCGGATCCATCCACAATACCGTAGCGCCACATATAGCATATATGGCCTGTATAAGGACAATGTGGATGAAGAACCCGCTGATTCTAATGTTCCAACTTCAACGATGACCCCGAAAACCGGAAGAGAGCTGAACGACACAACTGAAGGACGGAAGGGCTCGGTACGATCGATTCGTCGCGGTACCCAGACTTTGAGCACGATTTACAGGAGTTATGACCTTTCCAAGAAAGACGAAGATATCAGTGCGAGTTTTGCTAGGGAAGTTGGTGATAGCTTAGGCAGGATTGGTATGATATAGATGATCACTTCCTTTCGTGGAAAGTTCTTTACCATGGGCAAAATCGATAGACAGCACTTCATTATTTTATCTTACCTCCGTTTTTTTGTAGTTCCCTATTTGGCTCGTTCTTCTAATTCTTCGTCGCATTGTGGGTTCTCAGCATAGATAGTTTTGTTGTACCTCCCTATTTCGTCCTAATTGAATCATTTTGAACATCCTATCTTGGATTGTTATACGTTTATCCACCTGTTGTTGGGCCTCTGTAGTTGCTAGGGACTCTCTGCGTCTCCAACATCCATCACACATCCTCTGTTGACGCGGCGTTGGGTCAAACAATGGCGATTGAATGGCTAATGTCAGGGGAGTTGCCGCTTCACACAATTTGTCCAGGTCTTAGAGCACATCTAGAAATTCATTCTTTCCATTTTCGAAAGCCATCCACTCTGTACAGACGAGCGCCACAGGAGCTTGAATGAGACGGTATAAAGCATGCTCACAAAGGCAGATGTGAGTGAGTTCCTGGGATACTGTTCGATAGGCGCTTGGATAGGCGCTCAATTCCCGTGAGTCTCGATCTACGATCATGGCGATGTCGATGTTTATAGACGTTCGATGCTCGCTATCTGCGCTGCAACACTTCAGACAGCTTATACATAATGCTAAATTGCAATCCGTCGAACATCTCGCTCTCCCCTTTCTTATTAACTGGTTATTTGGTGAGCCGATGGAAGGTCTGACGTCCGGTACTCATAGGGCTCACTCACCTGAATAAGGTGACATAACGAATCTTATCGGTTAGCCGTGTGGTCCAGTTTTGCGGACGAGATGTTTAGCCCCTTTTTTGTCAGGTTGCATCCTCACTCACCAACTCCCATTCCAAATCTACGTTGCCACATACTTTTGTTTTGTGGACATTTGTCTCTTTACACAGTTTATTTACTACTCTCAGAGACGCTTCAAGAAAGCCCAGACTTCACGGTACTCTACCTTAATCTATCCATCTTCACCGATCGACACAGTCTCAGCTCATTCGCGTATGCGTGTCCGTTCCCAAACATACCCTGTGGTCCCTGATCAAAGATCAGCATTATCAACTCGAAGATCCACGTCAGCCAACCCTTATGCAATTAATGATATTCCTCGCCTACGTCACATTACGATAACAGCGTCGCATATCGCAGCAGCAGCTAATGCTGAGTTAAACGCTAGGCTGGCTGAAACCGCTCAATTAGATGATGATTCCCCTGTTACCGAGCAAGTGGATGGTGATGGACATTCCGGAGGCGAAGAGGAAGATGCCGTTGGTGGGCTCATGACAGCAAGTTGGATATCGGACAGTCAGCGCCATGGTCATGGACGCAATATCTCTTGGGGAAGGGAGCTAGGAACAGATCTCGAACGAGACATCCAGCGCTCACAGTCCATGCCGCCTCAGTCGTCAACAGACCCACCACTTTTATCTCGTCCTGGCACTGTGTATTCTAGGACAGCTATGGACCAGCCCCTAGAAGACATGGACATCTCCAGAGGTCGCCCTCGTAACCGGCCCGTACCAGTTGAGGAAGACCCGCCTGTCAATGCAACGTCAATGCCAGCTCCCTTTCTTCAGGTGTCCGTAGAGCATCTGGGCGCTGTTCCGAGGGAGCCATCTCAGCAAGAGACCACTTCGCGTAGAGGCTTTCTAAGGCATTTCATACCCGTCCTACCCCGGTTTCGGAAGAAGAGCACTGGTGCAAGTAAACGAAGCGCTAGCATGGTGTTTTTGGGAGTTTTCCTCCTAATCGGATCCTTGAGGAGTCGTGCTAGTGGAGTCGTTCCGGCTGCAAGCAAGCATGGAACAGTACTTAGCGTTCCAACGCTGGAACACCTCGGGGTCATGAGCACCCGTAAATCGGCTACGTTGTGGGGTTGGCAAACCACGCAAATATCTGTTGGCTACAGTGGCACGGCAAATCATTCGGAACCCAGCACCCCAGAGCCCGTCATAGGAAGAATATTTGCTTGGACGTGTACCACCCTTTACTTGACCTCTCGGCTCCCCCAGATATGGAAGAATGTACGTCCCGCTGCTGGTATGCTGTTGGGTTCGAAAAAATGACGACATTTGGTGCCAAGTTTGCTCGAAAGTCGGTGGAAGGTCTCATGATGTCATTATTTGTATGCGCATTTTTTGGGAATTTCTTTTATGTTGCCTCGATCACGACGAACCCGAAGCTTGACGAGCCACCTCCTATTTCCAGAGCATTTTTGAGGGAATCTGTTCCGTGAGTGTTGGGTCCGCACTCCAGTGAATGCATCTTTGACGGAACTGGACACTAGGTATCTCCTCGGTTCAGGCGGTACTCTGTTATTCGACGTCATAATTGTGGCACAATCATTCATCTATGCAGGACGGTCCCCGCTTCCACCTTCCTCATCCTCAGGTTTCGTAGGTCCTGTCCAGGCACGTTCTCGATCTTCGAGCAAGGTATTTTCGCGTACAGGAGACCTTGAATACCTCGCTGCAACTCAGGCAATCACGGAGCGTGATCCATTGTTGGCGCGATCACGGAGTAGGTCAATGGCGACGCAGGGCGGAGGAACTGGCAGGTTTAACTCAGTTGATTCGGTTAAAGGAACGCGACAGTATGCGGCCAGGGGGCCAGGTCAAGGTGGAGGGAGTTTAAGAAGCCGCACCCATGGGATGGACCCGGGACGAAGAGTAAGTCTTAGCCCTGATGTTAGGAGGTCGGTATCCCGCACAAAGGCGTTCGACGAACAAGCGTATGACAGAGCATTCAACTCAAATCATGAGTAATCGATGGGAAGATGTACGGATTCTATCTACAGCAATGATAATACTTTCTATGCATTTTCCTCGTTGAGACCGGGAAGGTTGTAGCAATCTAGAATAGGTGATCTAATTCTCTGCTGGCAAGAATACCACAGTTCAAGACCACCACAGTCATATACAACGCATTTCGGTCGTCCGGATCCTCGGTGCGCAAGATTTGCAGTCGCCTCATTACTTCGGTGGATCCAGAGGGCGCGATGGCGATTCCTTGAAGGAAGCCCCGCCGGTGAGGCTTGGGAGGAGTGATCTCATTATGGGGTGGAGGGAGATGCGCGAACAGAAACTGTCTATAGTGTAAGCAAGCATAGGGGCACTGGACATTTGTGATTTACTGACAGTATCACGAGATGCCAACACGTCGTGGAGATGGCGCAATAATTCTTGGTCTTCTGCAGCGCTGCCATCATTGCGCCCAACTCCAAGCGCGCCCAGCGGAGCGCTGGATTGAAAAGCGAATTTAAATATTGCAGTAACGTCATACTCGTAGGGAAGGATGACGGTGGTCCTCACCAGCGTGCAACCGAGCAACGCTGGAATGAAATGAAGTTGCGGAAGTGTAGTAAGAACCTCTTTTGGCGAGAAGTCTCGAACAAATGCGGAGAGTATTCTGTCCAAGATAGAGCCAATGTCGCGTCTTGTAGTCCGGAGATTAACTTGAATGTGGATGAGCGGCGATAAGGGGTCGACTTCCACAACGTCGACCGCCGGCGCTGTGGCGGATATTGAAAAAATTCCCGAATGAACACTGAGGGTCAGGTTGATGGGAGGTTTTGTGCGAGGACTGTAAATATTGTAAATGTACGCTTTACTGTTGTCAGTTGATGGGCTATGACTAACACGGGGGCAGGAGTCGGCAACCGCTGTGATTCCTCGCGTTTGATAATGTCACTGGTAACCTCCAGCTCGGTGTTCAGCTATCGTGTTGAGGAGAAAATGCATACCGAGCCTCTTTCCACTTCTTTTCCCTTTCCAAACGTTCCTGCTTTTGTTTGATTTGTTCTTCCGTTTCCTCGACTTCAACGTCTTCCACTATTTCCTCCACATCCTCGAAGTCTGGAAGGTCATCAAAATCTTCGGAGGCCATAGGTATTGCGCTGGGAGTAGTCACAGAGGAAGTAGAACCGGTTGCCACACTGTGTGGCAAAAGTGGCACGCTAGGTTTTTCTTGTTCCGGCTCAGGTGACCGTCTTTGAGTGGATGACCCCTCATCCATCGGGAAATAAAGACTACCATCATCATCATCATCTGAAATATTCGGGCTGGGATTTTGGTCCTGGCGCCGCAGAGCACTAAGGGACTTCTTTGAACGATCATATGTGAGTAACGGAGCGTGCTTTCCTTTGAGATTTAGCACGGCCTCGGGTTTAATGGGTTCTAATTCGGCCTTCTTCTTTTGCTTCTCAAAGACAGAAGAGGACATTGGGAGTCGATTGTCGGCATGGCCCCGCAGTTTGGGTCGTTTAGGTCGCCCTCTGGCTAATCCGTCGACATCCAGATCAGAAGTATCAGTCTCCGTTTCGGAGGTCGTAGTACATGAGTCTTCGTCTGTGAACTCAAATCCCAGTTCACGGACAGCAGCCACTTTGTCAGGGTTCCCTCTAACCCAGCGTTTCTCGGCTTCTCTCCTGTCACGCTCTATTCTGCGCAGAACGTGCTTCATGTTCTTTTTCTCTTCAGCTTCACGCTTGAGTCGCTCCTTTTCATTCTTCAGCTGATAGGAATCCTCTCCCCAAGTAGTGGTATACAGTTTGTTTCTCTCTTGGTCAGGTTCATGGTCAATGTGGCCATCGCCTAGAAGCTCTGTCCATAGGACTCGTTTGGGTATCACTGGGCGTGGTCCTGACATGTCTTCCTTAAGCTTCTCTGCCATGCATTGCGCATATCGTTAGATTATCTCATTTATGCTGAAGTATGATACTTACTAGCGAATGGGGTCAGGTTAGAATCGCTATACTCATCGGAAGATTCGAGCTCATCTTCCTCATCCTCTTCGGACGAAGACACTGAATCAGTAGCATAGCTCAGGGTCGTCCATTTGGGTTGCGCTTTGCTCCCTTCGCTTGAATTGCCATCTGGATCGGATGACACCGAGGTCAATCGGATCTTGGAAGGAGGAGGGCGGTGGCTCGCCCATTTCCCTTTCTGAGCCAAAGTAGAACGACGCTGTCCGCTCATGTTTTAACAGACGGAGCAATACGAAATTATGGCTTGTCGGAGTTAATGTGAGAAACTAGCACTAATCAACCCTCCCTTTCGGGTCACGGGACTAAAAGCCTAGCCCTGTTTAGTAGTACTGCTCTTCCTGCATGTAAATGGCAGGATTAAGTAAGGAGTGGCCAAAAGTCCTTTTCTCTTAAGTTTGATTGCAATCAAGTCATGTGGCGGTGCGTGAGGATCCAAGTATTAATGCTAATACAAATATTATTTGAAGTAACTGCGTTGACCATGGGCTCTTCTGTACGAGATGAGTATTCGCATCCAGGCGTACGCAGACAGTATGAGTTATTGGAACATGAGGTGTCTTTACTATTAAGATACAGGACAGATATCACGAATCGGTGTCATTGCATCGGACAGGGGAGTAACAGGATACCCTTTTCACAATATTTCGAATCGTTCTGGTAGTAAAAAAGTGAGTGTTTCTGGCCCACTTCCTGGGTAACGAACGCACTGGGATTGATCACTGAAACTATCACTTAGCCTACGGTTCAATGATTGGTAGAAACTACTTACACCCGATTCTTCCTGACCCTCTGGACTTCTGCGCTTTCCACAAGCCTATTACCGTTGTTAATACGGTGACCCAAGAGTGGAGGAAGCTCATACGAATCGAGCCTTGGTGGATGTCATCAATTCCGTCCGTCAGCAATACTTCCCCTTCTTCGTACGATAAATAGCCTTTCGGCGCAATCCCTTGAGAACGCCTGTCAGCAGCCTGAAGATGAAGAATCCACATGTATTGTTGACCCACATTTTTCTTTCGCTCGAATCCGGAATCTGGGAGCTGGTGTTTCTTTGTCTACTTTGACTATGAGCGCGAGAGGCTGGTCTGAGGACGAGCCTGGCCCAACCCCTTTGAGAACCGATATGAATTCCGCATCCATAGCCGGCTCTGTGTCAGATCGCTTCAGGAATAAAACTGATCGTTCTGGGTCAAATCCTTCTTGAGAACAAAGGAATCTTCTGAGGGCAGCGGCTGTATGGGGCGGTGGAATGGTGTCTGCGTTTATGCGGGCAAACGAGTGGTCATCCGGTGTAACATAGTGCCTGGAGCGTATCGATTCACTCTCGGAGTACAGTCTGTAAAACACTGGAGATGAAAAATTGTATGTGGAACTGACATAAGCTAAGGAACAGGACGCACGTCGGGGTGCCACGACATCTTTCGGGGGAGGTACGGGCGGTCTCGTGGCCATCTCTCCGGAGCTATTAGCCCAAGCTCTCAGGAATTCATGCGCCCACGTATAAATGGGGACACCAAAGATCAGTGGCGGTGGTGCGAAAGTTAAGGCTTTGCGCACAACACTGCGTGTGCCCTCGCTTCCACTCCTCCTATCTTCAGAACTCGAACTCGACGCAGTAGTTGGGGATGAGAGCATTGGTTCAGTTTGTTCGGGGTCAAGCCGGTGACCAGCCTCTGTTGGTCCGGGATCCTTAGTGAGGTCTATAACCTCTGTTGGCGACCCAGGTGTTGTGGACATGATGGGAGCAGCGCAACCCCCCCACACAGGTCCTCATGGAAGCCTCATGCGTGTAGTCCAGCTAGAAAAAGTCACGGGACGGTTCTCTATTTCTGCGGTTGAAGCAATGGAATGATGAATTGTAAATCAATTAGCAAAAAGGAGGTGGTGGCGTCCAGCAGCAAGCTGGTATGGCCTTGTGAAGCGCGCTGTAAAAAACAGGAGCAAGAAAGACCGGCTCTCCCAAGTCTGTGTTGAAGCTCAGTGGAATCCATGCCATTGGGTGACGGCTAGACCCCTTTTTGGATCAGTGTCCCCGCCAGCGCAACCGAGCCAGGGGTCTATGTACGAAAGATCTAGGCCATAGGCTTATCAGCGCTAGTGTCTGGCTAAGCACGCTAGAGGCTGGTCACCTGCCTAAGGCATGCTGAGGAACTGCTCGGAACACTTATTAGGTCATTTCCAAGAGAGAACGGCCCAGCGTCTGAGGCTGGGCGTTGAGGTGTTCCAATGTTAGGCTTCCAGCGTCAACAGTATCAAACTACCGAGGAAATCGGGCAAAACAAGAAACGAAAAACCGCCTAAGTAGGGCGCCCGTGGGAAAGTTCCAAGGTTGTCACCAACGCTTCTCAACGATGAGTGCACAAGTCTCAGCAGCAAATGAGATCAATGAAATTTTTTCGGCAAAGAAAAACGGGACTGCTTCCGTATCCGCGAAACTCCCCTCATCAGGGCCCTCCCAATCCGAGCCTCCAACACCCACTGCTCCCAACTCAACCAAGAAGAAGAAGAAGAAAATCCCTAAGGCTTCCGATGGGAGAGGTAGTGATGCACAATCTGCATCAGAAAAGCAGTCATCGGTTGCTGTGGAGCTTGACAAAAGAGTTAGGAAAGGTCCTCCCAAACAACGCCAAATACCAGAAACTATTGTCGATCCATCAATAGCTTTGTCAAAGAAGAGGAAGAGGGGAGAAGGTGATGGGAAGGACTCCCAGTCATCAAATGTAATTCCCCTGGACGACGATTTGGCGAAATTTGTGGACTCTAGAGGGACTGGGCCGAGTTGAGTCGTCTTCCAAATTCCTCGGGAAAGATTAAGTGTGGTCTGATGTACGAGGCGTCTGTGCGCATTCGTTTATATTCCCGAAAACTGACACGTAGGACGAAGGACCGAGGAGGGCTACTTGATTTACAAAGAGGATGAGCTTGGGATACGCGAGTCTGGAGGAGGCGAGCGCTTTTTTTCTTTCCGCATTCCCCGGAACCTAACGTGTGGTTCCACCTAGATACTCCTCTTTGCCCATTTGACTGCCATTGCTGTGAGTATCGAGATCCCATGACATGGACCTAAGAGACAAACTCTGATTTTGCACGGACTCGATAGGCTTCTGAGTTCCGTCAGGCTGGCCAACACTCATGACAGCACAGACTACCCTGTCCGTCATCCTTGATCGCTTCATTTCAAAGAACTGCCACTATATGAAGATTTCTAACCCGAGAGTCCCATAATGACTACTTTTGTACACCCTTCGACAACATTTATAATCATAAGGTGTCACTATTAATTATCTTCAGCGTTACTTTGACCCACGACGTCTCTCACTAAAAACTCAAGCTTGTAACATAAATGCCTGTCGCTTATCCGCGCCTCCGATGGACTCCGCGGAAGCAAAACTAAAATGCGGAACAATTCGGTTTCGCGGCGCTTGGAAACGCGGATATTGGTGAAGTTATCCACTTCTCGTTCATCCCTCTTCGTCCAACCCTCCTGCTTCCTCGTCGAGGTGAAGTGGTAGAAGATGAGAAAAATGGCAACTTCACCGGCATTTCCAGGCAAGCTTGGACAATGCGCCATCATTTTCTGGGAGAGCCCTAATTTTTGTCTTGGCGTACTTAAGGGCTTTTCTTTTGCTTCTCTGCCATGGTGCTGCTCATCTTCGTATGTTCTTTTCATTGCTTCTTCCCGCGGTACGCTGACCGATCTTGCCTATATGCCTCTTCCGACTTGCCTGCATACAAATCCTTTGTGCATCGTTTAGGTCTCGGTCTCTGTTCCAGTATGGAGCAAAGTATCATTTCTGAATATAACAACCGATGGAAACGCCATAAAGTTTGGTGTTTGGGGCTACACCGGTTCCGCGAAAGGGCTTGGCTACTCGTTACAGCCATTTGGCATCAAGTGTGTATTCGAAGTTATGCTCAAATACACGAATTATTCTAATTGGGATTATTTCTGTCAAACCCAGCGATTCGTTTCTGAATAACGGGGCGCTCAAGAACTTGACGTACATACTGGTTTTCCATCCCGTTGGTAAGGTGACGGCCTTGACGTTGAAGCGCAACAATATTCACTGTTCCTCTAGCTGCTGGGCTCTCTTTTCTCTCTGTTGTGTTTGGAGGTATGGGTCACATATATACCTGGACCTAGATCAATTTTTTAATGCTGTGAAAATAGCCTGCGGTGCTTTAAACTACAGCCGATTCGGCGCGATATTCATGACGCTTGTCTCCGCATTAGCCTTCCTCATCACAGCTATCGCCTTTGCTGTCGATATGGTCTTGTGGGACATCGTTCGCAGCAGGATCAGAAACGATGGAGGCTCGGCTAACTTGGGCAATGCAATCTGGATGACGCTTGGTGCCCTCGTCGCGCTCATTTTTGGTTCGTGCGCTGCAGGGTGCGGCAGCTTTGGGAGATACAGGCAACATCGACAATCACATCACTTTTAAATAATTCTTATCTTATTTCAAGGTTTCAGTCACAATTTTTTCGGCACACGCTGTATGCATACAGAGCTCTGTGATGGAGGTCTGTATTGCTTTCCGGCCCCACCGATGTGACTTCTGCTTGCCTTATGCCTTGGGACTTCTGTCCGTAATCCTGCGAATGTCTTCTCTCTTCGCATTCGCCGCTGCTTGAATATTTTCACAGATTTACGGTCATGCTTTGATGATTATTGTCGACTTGCCGCTTTGCGAGTGCGGACCTTTTTCTATGATACCCGCCTTCATTTTTGAGCATGTCACCTTGTTTTCGATGTTTTTTGTACTTCCACCCTGATAGTAATACTCGAAAGTGCTGTGATATTCTGTAACCATTATTGAAAGTTATATAGCCGACGCGACCTTCTCTGGAACCCTCTCTCAGCGCCCTGACCAGGCATAAAGATTATTTGACTCAGGATGTCTGGTAATGATCGAAGCGCGTGGGTAGTTAGCCTGTAGTGCTTGCACAATAGCAGGAGATGCGTGCATAGTAGTAGGCGGGTCAAGTAATAATTTGAGAATCCAGGCACAAGTGTCACGTCATTTGGCTTACCAAAATCAAAATAGAAAATAAACTACATACCGCCAATTTTTCTATTGAATAGTAATTGAATTGAAGACCTGTCTTTCCGCCGACACCGCAACTAATTATTCTTGGCGCCTACCTCCTCGCGATACGCAACCAATTAATGGCGGCGAGGCCGTGGGCGTCTATTTCAGACGGCTCTCTCATTCCACCTGAAGAGCCGTGCTCCGTGTTTGTCTGCGTTTGCCGCGCCGGATCTTGGGAACACATAAAGCTGTTCGACCTCCCACACAGCATATTAAACTCTTGATGATGACTTAAATGACATCGACAAATTATTCCCACCACAACTCCTCCATCACTCCCCCTCGATTTTTTTGCCTCAACTTTTACCCCCTACGCAGCTACGCCACTCGTTCGTCACGGAATCATCGCGCAAGAACGTAGCTGTGGTCTAAAACGGCATTTCACTAGCTTCAGTATCAGCTTCCAACCGCGAGCCTTGTCAGCATGACCTACTCCGTGCAAGCAGCTTTGGGAGCAGTACGAGCGACTATCGCAATAATAGCTATCGCGATCACCCAGTTCTTCGTCGACCTATGGCTCACTCTTTGCAAAACATTTTCGAGACGATCCCTAGTGACGCTGACGCTCAACGAGGACAATTCACCTGTCATTGATCCAAACACGGGCATGACTCTTTCCGAGATGATCAAGCAGAAGTGTCCTAGTTTGTATGGTAACAAGGCGTACTTTAGGCCTGTCTGGTGGCTCCCTGGGTATGTTCCTTTATATCTCATCATTTCGCTATCATTCATCACATTCCCTCACCAGCGGAAACCTTCAAACCGTCTGGTGCGTCATTGCTGAGCTGTTCTTCCGTGACGAGATACCGTATCAGAGGTAAGTAAACCATATTGCTCACTATCGATCATCCCGTTTATGAGCTTGGATCCTTATGACTTTGTTCTGTCTCGGGGCGCGCTCCGATGACAATCATAAAGGCAATTGTTGCGAACCGCGGATGGCGGGACCTTGAGTCTAGACGTTTACCCTCCCTTCGTATCCCGAGATGATCCTACTCCGATTCTATTCATTCTCCACGGGTTAACAGGCTCAACCCAAGAAAGCTACATTCGTGCTACGGTCAAAGATGTTATTCGACCCAGGGAACAAGGTGGTGCTGGCATTCGAGTTGTTTCTATGAACTTCAGGGGGTGTACGTTGGCCAAACCAGTTGCAGATTCACTTGTCTATACTGACCACTTGCAATAAAATGTTTAGGTGATGTGGATACGCCTGTTACTACCCCAAGGTTATACCATGTAAGCGGGACACCCTTCCGATGTCGAGTACTATGGGGCGCCCCACTATATTCACTGATATCTTCCACTAGGCTGGAGAGACGGACGATACTCGGACAGCCCTCTTATGGTTATCGAACACATATCCCGAAGCCCCGTTATTCGGTTGTGCATTCAGCATGGGCGCTTGCACCATGGCGTGCTATCTTGGCGTGAGTGATCGCACGTTATGGCCAGGATTGCCGTGAGCCCTCTCCTGATATCCAGTCTAGCAAGAAGGGGAGGATACCCCACTCAAAGGTGCTATTTGCATATCTAACCCCTTCAATTGGGTAACCTCCACACACTTTATCGAAAATGGGGGTTTCCTCTGCAAGTACGTCTACGGTCCAATCCTCGCTGATGCGCTTCTCGCGGTGTTCAAGAATAATCGATACGCATTTGAAACCGACAAACGCCTCGATCTTAAGGACATATACTCTAAACGATACGTCACCATTCGATGGTTTGACGACCGTGTGACGGCTCCGTTGAACAAATTCCGCGATGCGTGGGATTATTATACGCAAGCGAGCAGTTACCAGTGGATACCGGGCATCAAGATTCCTCACCTGACGCTTCATTCGGAGGACGATCCAATGGTTGCACCTCGTAATTTGCCGCACAAGGAAATTGAGAACAGTAGCCATGTTGTGATGGCGAGTACACATGCAGGTGGTCATGTCGCATGGTTCACGGATAAGGAGTCAAGGTGGTTCACTATACCTACGAAAGAATGGGTTCTTGCACTTTTAGACGTGAGTGGCTATCATTCCTTCCAAATGAATGGTGCGGTCTTAGTGGCTCTTGCGTTCAACAGGTCGACCCCTCCCCCAAACGGCCTGTACCTGCGTTACCGGTAGACGCAAAGGGGATTGTTCGGTCTCAGCAATGGCCTGACCGTATTGGGTACAAGTGCCTCGATAGCGCTGAAGGGTTGATGACTGCCAGGATTTACAATCAAGACGCTCAGGCGCCAGCCATTGGATCGTGAACCTCACTTCCAAGCCAGAGATTTCCGATCACGGTTGTGTTATTATTTTCACTTATTAAGCTGGGTAGTTCAACGCGTATTGGTCTCCTAGCGTACATCCATTCCACTGCTGCACCAGACACGGCACGCAGTCCACTGTCCTTGTTGCATTCCAAGCACTAGAGTCCATTGCTGTCATGTCAAACACGTGTTTGACTTCCTCTCTTATCACACCTCTGCTTTCTGAACTTGCAGTAGATTGGCCCCATAGAATAGATGTACCATCATGCATCATTAATGTACTCCACCATGTGCATTCAATTTGAGGTGCATATCATGTACAGTAACCCCGGTAGATGGTAATATTGGTATTGGGTTGCTCAGGTAGCTCCATCACTAGTTGACGGGTTGACCATCAGATCCCGAGTGATGCAGCAGTCTGACGGGGTACGTGCCCTGAAAGTAATATTGATAGGCAGCCGCGCCTGTTTTAATACTGAGTCATATCATTGGATCCTGGAAGTGCCGGAGAAGTAGGAAACATTGTGGATGCCCAGCGTTCCTTCCGTGCCTCCTCGATGTCTTTGTGTGGGCTCTCTACGTGGGACGGGGACAGGGAGTTTGGTCTCTCGGCTCTGAGACATGCTTCTTCCTCGGCCAGCTCGTCCGCGCGTCCGTTTCCCCTGATGCCGCATGCAGTGGCCGGAGCACTAGCTAATTGTGATTTCGAGGTCATCTCTGTTATTGTACATCATGACCGGGCGTGCTCTTGGGTTTTCCTTGGAATATGCGTTTGACCGCACCGTTGTCCGAGTAGAAGACTACCCGTGATGGTCTGTGGGGTTGGGCGTCGGATGTGGGGGGGGCGGGCGGGCGCGGAGTTTCTACCGCCGCAGTCCTCAGGAAAATCATTACTGTAATACCAAGGGGGACCATACCTAAACTTCGCCTCGTGTATATAGTCCCGTCGTCTTAACCCTCACCGTCAACACGTCGGTCGAATCAAAGGCACATAATTCTTTGAAGATACCTTCCCTCATGACTCAGAAGATACGCCGCCGAATTACCCATAAAGTAAAAATTCTCTGCTCTTTTCCCCATTCCTACTACTACCCGTACACAGTGGAAAATATATACCATTTTTCGTCTGGTAAAATACGAGCTCAAACACCACCGGAGCAGTGGTAATGTACCAATTTGTAAGTAGTAATGGACCAGAAATGGATACCAGACCAGACATGGTGAATGACATCGATTTTTCTGGTGATGTACGATGTTTTTCGTGGTAAACGGCCATTTTTACCAGATTGGTAATTGGTCATTTATTGATTCATTGTTGGTACTTTACAATCTTTGGCATGGTACAATTAGTATGGGTCGGAGAATACTCATTTACGATAGGGGGTTTCACGGTTGACTGAAGTCCATCAGCAAAAGTCCGTTATGCTCCGGAGCATCAGGAGTGGCTGGAGCATGTGGGAGACAAAACAGCAGATTGGGCACTCCTGGAGCCAATAGTGTTCTCCTGGGAGGGGGTTCAGGAGTGGCTGGGAGTGGTGAGGAGTATGCAATGTGCCAGGAGCAGTGGGAGGAAAATTTTGGTCTCTAAAAAGTTGAAAAAAAAAATTTAGGGAAAGAAAATCAAAAAAAATTCAGGAACTATAGTGCCTTTAAAGTGCTTTCAGGACATATAATTATTTGCGAAATTGAGGAAGAAATGATGGAGAAAAATGGAAAATACTTTTGGAGACCCGAGAAGTAATGAGAACTGAATTGATGGGAAAGTCTGAAAATTGAATAGGAAAGTGAGGGGAAGCCTTGTAGCATTGTTATTTTCTGCTGTTGTGATTTTTCCTGATTGTTCTTGGTCTCACTCCCAGCTGCTCCTGGACCCTCCCAGGAGCTTTCAGGAGCTTCCAGGAGTATTGAGGAGCAGCTGGGAATGAGACCAAGAAAAATCACAACAGCAGAAAATAACAATGCTACAAGGCTTCCTGTCAGGGCACGCCCCGCCTGACCCCGCTCTGCACCGCCTCTCCCTCGTCCTTTCTCCTTTCCTCCTTTCTCCCTTTCCTCCTTTCTCCCTTTCCTCCTTTCTCTCTCTCTCACATGGACCACCTTTCCCGCTCTTCAATGTATCACCGGCATGCACACCTATTTCCCCTCCTGTACCTTACCACCCCTACATCACTGCCACCGCTGCCGCTGCACTCGCCCTGCATCCACAGCGAGCCCTCTCGGGATCTCCCGCGGAGACACCTGGAGAGCCGTGGCTGTGTGCAGGGGTGACGTGGCGCCCCCCATGTGACTGATCCCGCATGTATATAATACCGGCTGGAGTGGGAACCGAAGAAGTAGCCTTCTTCTCATATTCCCACTTCAGACTAAGTGGTCGGGGACGCTCACCCCGCGACGGGATCGCCGCTACGCACAGCCGCTATTCCTCTCACCAAGTCCCGCGCGTGCAGGGACCTCGCCGCTTTCGGAGCTGTCCCTGACACTTCCCCTCACTTTCCTATTCAATTTTCAGACTTTCCCATCAATTCAGTTCTCATTATTTCTTGGGTCCCTGAAAGTATTTTCCATTAGCTGCTCCTGGACCCCCCCAGGAGTATCCAGGAGTATCCAGGAGCAGCTGGGAGTGAGACCAAGAAGAATCAGGAAAAATTAGAACAGCAGAAAATAACAATGCTACAAGGCTTCCCCTCACTTTCCCATTCAATTTTCAGACTTTCCCATCAATTCAGTTCTCATTATTTCTCGGGTCTCCAAAAGTATTTTCCATTTTTCTCCATCATTTCTTCCTCAATTTTGCAAATAATTATATATCCTGAAAGCACTTCAAAGGCACTACAGTTCCTGAATTTTTTTTTGATTTTTTCCCTAATTATTTTTTCAACTTTTTAGAAGTCCCTATTTTTCAAATTTTCCTCATTTCCCTCTATATTCCCCCCTCATTCTCCCCCTCATTCTCCCCCTCATTCTCCCCCTCATTTCCCCCTCATTTCCCCCCTCATTCTCCCCCATTTCCCCCTCCTCCATATTCTGCAAGTCCGAAAGTGATTAAGTTGCCAGATTAATCATATATCAGGCCATAAATTTTGACTGTGTATTGGTGAGTCTCAGTGTCCTTGATGTATAGTATAGTGTTTGATCTAAATGTTAAGTAGTGTCTTGTTGTGTTAGTCTTGTGGTAGGAGGTATTCATGGAGAGTCTTCCCTCTTTTTTTTTTTTTCCTTTTCATTTTCAAATGCTCCAGGAGCTCCCAGAAGCTTCTCACCCCTATACATTTTGAAGCATTAAATTGTATTTACTGGATATGTTTGTGCACAAAGCAATGCTCCATGCCCTCCTGGGAGTGCCCTGGAGTACCTGACCAACTCTGGAGGAAACAAGCTGTTCCTGGACCAGCCAATCTCCTCCTGATTCTCCCAGTGCTCCCCATACTCCGGAGCACTCAGGAGCATAACAATTTTTTGCTGATGTCAGCTAAACTGGATCTAAAATGAAATTTCTAAAGTGACACGTGAGCGACAAAACTGGACCTAAACTTGATCTAAACCGACCACTTTGACTTGGGGCTTGGGAGCCCCAATTGGCCTGAAGTCAAATTTCTAAGTACATCTGAACTCGGCCTTACCGCTTACTAAGTCCATAGACACTAACTGTACAGTTCTACCTTTCAGATCACCTGTCCCTTCTCTCCCTTCCACGGCACCATCATCATCTCCACCACCGACCTCACCCCCATCACCTGTCCCCTTCGTCGCTGCTTAAGTCCACATTGCCATCATGCCCCCCAAACGCAAGAATCCTGAGGAGGGTCAAACCACACCATCTCAGCCACGGTCTGGGCGCCGCTCACACACTACCAAGGATGATGAGTCCACCACCATTCCCATCATCAAGGCTGAAACCAAACCTGAGCCTCGCCCCCCAAAGATCCAATGGGATTCCAATGAACGCTGGACAGACCGCCTCATTGAATACCTCACAAACCACCTAGATGTACGACTCAAGATGTTCAGTGACTCTGTCAAGGATGCAAAGAAGGAGTCATGCAAAAAGGTGAGCCCCCAATGTGGTAGCACCAGCTCTCATCATTCACATTCACCTAGGTTGTTGGTAGCAAACCCAAGGTCGAATACTATCATGAGATAGCAAAGGCAGTCTTTGATGTTGGGGGTGAGGAAGAACGCGGCGCTTATTTAATGGAACCTGAGCGCTATGCAACTTCTGTCTTGGGTCGGATCACCTAGTAAGTCTCTCTTGTGCTGTCAGCTAAGGCCATCTCATATTTTCTCAATTACAGTTTACAGAAGACATATACTACATATCGCAAGACAATGCGGAACACTGGTGAAGGTCTGAAAGATGAGGATGAGAGTCAGTCCGAGGTGTATAGAAACCAGCTAGGTGAGGCGCTTATTAATTCCTTACATATGCTGCTGATATTTTCATCAATTTAAGAGAAGATTAAAGCATCTTTCCCTTGGTGGAACACACTGCATGCTTGGTGGTTGGAACATCCCAAGTATGCATTTCAAATGGTAACAAACTCGACGAGTGGTGCCGGAAAAATGGTAAGTGATTTGGAGCAAGCTGTCTCTGCTCTGCAGCAAGTCGTGGATGAGGCAAACACACCCTCCCATCCACCTCCTGAATCACTGTCTACTTTCCAACTTCCCCATGTCAACTCCCCACTCCCTTGGGCTGAACCGGCACCTCAAGCTGACCTGGGACTTCTTAATACCAACTTGCCACTTTTTCACATTGACATGCTGCTTCCGGATTTGCCACTCTCCCATCCAGACTTGCAGGCCCCCAATGTTAAGCCAAGGATGGATCTGGAAGACTCCAGTTCCTCCTCATCTCACACGCTTGCAAGGGCAGCCTCTGCATCAATCACACTGAACTCTAAGGTTGACTCCGCTCGGCAAGCTTCACACACTCCAGGTCCAAAGGGAGCCCGGAAGGATTTTATTGCTGAATTTCATGAAGCAACGCGAGTTGACCAAGCACAAGCTCAACAAGAGGCTCAGTACTATCACACACAGCAGATGGCACGACTTGAACTCAAGAAAGAGAAGATGCGTCACAAGTACGAAATTGAGTCCCTCAAGCTCCAGCTGCAACTTGCACAGGTACAGTCACAACAGCAACAGCAGTGGCCGCAACAACAACAACATCCTGTCCCAGACTTTGCGATTTTTTAGTCTACCACT